TTGACTTAGATTTATTTTTCATTGCCTTATTACAAGTTTCTGGGGAGAAGAGAACACATTTTGCCTTTGGCTTCTGACAAGGCAGGAACAAATTTAGGCTCATTAAAAATAAGAACAAATGTGAAAAAAGAAAGACAACCGTAACTTTATTTGGAATATTAATCTTTACACATTGTGTAGGACCATAAAATATTTATTTTACATGAGGGTGATCACAGAAACACCTGCTAAATGATTGCCTTTTGCAAGCAGCTAATTATTCTGTGGGTTTTTTTTAACCCTCATCCGAGGATAAGTGTATTGATTTTATAAAGAGGAAAGGAGGGAGCGGGGCCAGAGCTAGGAGAGAAAACCATTGATGGATTGCCTCCTAAATGCTCCCTGATTGAATCTGCAGCCTCTTGGTGTACAGGATGATACGCCAACCAACTGAGCCACATGGCCAGGGCAAATTGCATTGGTTCTACTCTAGCTTCTTCTGCCTTCTTTCTCCATAATGTATTGTATTGGTATAGCCTTTTTGATATGAAGGGCTAAAGTCATTTTCAGGCAACCAGTTCCGACACCATACGTACTATAATAACAGCAAGGCTGCTGCTTTTTTCAGGTTTTCTAGTTTTATTGAGGCAAGGTGACAGAATGCTTTCAGATATGCCTGTGATTTTATTAGAGCACCATCTCTTTTTCTATATTCACCTTAGTGGAATCTCTTATATTTATACGAAATATCTATATTTGGATCATGAGTTTACTTTTTTTTGTGTGTGTTAGTCCCGTAACTGTAAAGAGTATAGGGAAATTCACAAATCACGGGACACTAAGTACGTGTCAAATCAAGGAAGTCAATATTTTTTATTTTCTCATACCTATTTCAGTAGAAATGCTCCTACTTCCCAAGGGTCCTGGAGAGCTATTTATTTGTGGTTAACGGAGAAAGGGGTGCCATGTAAGCAGTTTTTGCTCAGTCCATTGAAACATGTACTGAAATTTTATGTAGAATACTTCCATATTTTTCCTTTGAAAATCCATGTGTGATTACCTTTTCACTCAGAAGTTATAAAAATGTCTATGAAATTATATCTGTGTTTAGGTATCGTAGTACATTTTCTGGATTTATAACTTGAAGACATTAAGTTTAAATTCATGTATTCTAAGCCAAAAATTTAGGGAATGGCTCTATTATCCTCCACAATTGTGAAGAGATCTCTAGTAGAGAAGGATCATGAAAAGAAGCTCCCCATTTTGGGGTGAGATACACACACACACATACACACACACACACACACACACGTAGTGTTAAGACTAACCTAAAAGAACAGCATGATGCATTTTTATTTTTTTTCCAGCTTAATTTTGCTGTTTTCATAAGGGTTTTGGGTTTTTTTTCCCCTGAGCTTTGGAACTTGAGCTTAATTTCTAATGACTGCATGAATCCATTATATGACTAGACCACAATTTACGTAGCATTTCCCTGGTTTTTATTATTTAGGTGGCCTACATTTTTTATGTTCTTAATAATGTGATGATTATATGCGTACATATATATTTGTTAGAACCTCTGATTACTTCCAAGAACTACTGTGCTGAAGATTATGGGCTTCTTTAAGGAATGTGGAAAACTGGGTGTATTGCATTGAATATGAGGTAGAACTAGTTGACTAAAGATATGCGTTACAAAGAATGGGGTATGTAGCTTAATGCACGCCAATGATAACTAGCATTAATAGCACTTAGGTTAAAAAAACATGCAGTCTCTGATTCTAATGACAGAATAAGCAGAGATGCTGATAAATAAAGAAAAGAAGTAAGCAAAAAAAAAAAAAAAGTAGAGAGGAAGGAGAATCCAAAGCCAGTCCTTTTCTGTCTCAGAAAGCTGAACAGTCAGAGAGTTCCCAGGAGATAGTCAATTTGTTGTAAAAGTATTAGATGGAAAAACACAAGTGTAATACACAGTTTTTAAAAAAGGAAACAAAAAATGAAAAATCACCCATAATCCTCTATCCAGAGATAAAAATTAACATTTTTTTCAAATCTTTGATGAGGAGTTTAAAAGTATATATGAATGGGTAGATAAATATAGCTGGATATCAAGGTATCATTTAACATCCTGTTGTGGCACCTGCTTTCGTCACTTAAACATATGAATTTCTTTGCCAGTCAGTATCAATATACATTACAATCTTCTAATGCATAGAATTCTACTACATCATTGAACACATGAATAGATGTTTAGGTTGTTTATTTTCTCATTTTATAAACAATGTAAACTTGTCTCTATGGCCAGTGCCCCTCGTATATTTGAGGCTGTCTTGTTTTTGGTCTCAACTGTTAGTTCCTTAGTTTTTCCTTCATCTGTCCTTGCCCTCTGGCCATCTGTTTTCCATACTTTTGAATGAACAGTGCTGTGGTGAGCATTTTGTAAATATATCTTTGTGTATGTGTTTATTTGTTTGTTTATTTTTACTAAGTCTTAGAAAAGGAATTGCTGGATCCAGGTAATAGGTATGTATATGGAAAGTTTTTTTTTTTAAAATCCTCACCTGAGGTCATGCTTATCGATTTTAGAGAAAGGGGAACTGGGGAGGAGAGAGAGAGGGAGAGAAACATTGATGTGAGAGAGAAACATCGATTGGCTGCCCCTTGTACATGCCCAGACCAGGGACTGAGTCCTCACCCTAGGCCTGTGCCCTGCCTGGGAATCAACCCTGTGACCTTCTGGTTTGTGGGATGACGCTCCAGCCAACTGAGTCACACTGGCCAGGGCGCATATGGAAGGTGTTGGTATGTACAGGGTGGGGCAAAAGTAGGTCTATAGTTGTTTGTATGGAAAATAATACAATAATTAATAGATAATGCAAGAATAAACTCTGTTTTGTGTACTCACAAATGTAAACCTACTTTTGCACCACCCCATATTGCAAGATTGTCTTCATAAAGATTTTTTTAAAATTTCTGTCATTGTCACATATGTGTTGGTCCCATATCCCTACACTCTTGTCAACAATCTTTTCAATCTGATGTTCTTGGAAATCCCCGATCTCACTAAATTTTATGCTAGTCTGTTACCTGCAAATATTTGTGAGGTTGTAGGAGAGAGTTTTAAGATAGGTATTGCACATATCTGTAATACTGTCATTTCCCTTTCTGAGGCTGTACCAAATAGCAGTGATTGATACTGTCTGAAGTAATTTCTCAGGACTGGTACAATATTTTAAATTGCAAGGAAGTTCTTGAGTGATCAAGGAAGAACTGTAACAGACAAACACAGGCGTTGACTGAGTTCACTCTATTCTGGGATTTTCTGTCATGTTGCTTATGGCTAGGTGTAGTGGAAATGGAATGTTCATGCTTTTGGCATTTCTAAAGTGGGGACAGGGACAGAGGGGAAGCCAGTGGGGGACTGTTGTTTCATAGTGACAATTTAATACCGTTCTTCATTAAGGGAATCCCTGCTGTCCTGAAGTACATACGTTGAACTTAAAGCAAACCAAATAAAAATTATAAAGGTTAGCAGACTTTCAGATAAGATTAGAAGCCTTATGTATGCTAAATATGCTTTTAATTGTGCACTTACTGCAGTAAGGAGATAAATTGGTTGTCTGTGCTTTGTAGGTTTCACTTTTGTGGTTTTCTTATTTTCTTTTTTATTCAAGCCAGAATATCAGCAATGTTGTTTTGAATCTTCTTTTAAGTACAATTTACATAACTTGTTTTTACTGATAAAATAGAAAAGTTTGTTGTTGGATGTTAAGGTTTGGTTATGCTGCAGCTTAACTGAGTTTAAGGTTTTGAAATAGACCTGCTGTAAATATGAAAAAGTCTTTGGGCTTCATAAAATAATTCATTATGTTATTATTTTTGAGGAAAGGAAAGGAGTTTCAGATTACATTTCCAATGACTAACAGGACCATTATAGATGATTCATGTGGCTGTTGTACTGATGTGGAATGTGATAATGGTGTCCCCTGGCCTTGCAAAGCCATCTGAATGGGACATCTTCTCCTCTGGCACAGGTGGAGAAGGACTGGTTGTCAGGAAGGGGGGACGGGTGAATGAGTGATGACCCTGGTCTTCCCACTCTTGTTACCATCGGCCTGAACTGACATCTGGAAGTGTGTCAGGCCTTCTTGCATGGGCTGGAAAGATTAGTGAATGAATCCTCCCTCCCCCATGAGCTCCTGCTTTTCCAGAATAAGCTGGAATTCTGGATTTTTATCTGAGTTTTCCATTTAAAAAAAAATTCCAGTATCCTTATCACTCTCCTTTCTGGCATCCATCAACTCGTTCTCTATCTGTGGGTATGAGTACATTTTTAATTAAGCTTGAAGGTAGACTGACTATAGCTGAAGATAAGTGAAACAGTGCTTTAATTAAAACCTTTTTGTTGCAGCGTAAGAATGGTTATGAGAGGTGTTTGGAGGGCAGAGTGAGGTGTAAGTTTTAGGAAAAGTGGGCTTGTAGGGAACCGTATGGGCAGCTTTACAAGATGTCTTGTATACTCTTGCTTTTTAAATGGTGGATTCCTTTTTTACATTTAGTAATCATAAACCCATAAGAGTTTTGCTTTGTAGAGTTTATAGCTTCACTTTAATTAAATATAAAAATTAGAAAGGCTAAATCATCTTTGAATTTTACATTATCTTAGGTTCTTTCCTGTTTGAGGTGGCAGCCCCCTAGGAGTAGCAGCACACTCGGTACCAGAGGCTCTTTGCAGACGCTAGTGATTGAGGGAGGGAGCGCTTGCCAGGAGCTGAGACCCACCCATCTGTGGCCTGACATGCCCGCTTTTGAAGAGAGCCCTCCCATCCCCACAGCGACCTAGTAGTGTTCATGATTACCTCTCAGATTTTCAGTTTTATTGGATTTGTTATTAGGCCACAGCAAAAGGCATTTTCTCTTGTGAATCATTGAACCAAAGAAAAGAAGCTGGTGGAAGTGGGTGCTTGATATAATTGGAATTGATGTTTTATCAAACTGTATTTGGTTGTATTCCATTTAAGATGAAGAAGATGACTTTACGTCTAAGAAGGCAGCCTCTAAATCAAAAGAGAACGGACGGTCTACAAATAGTTACCTTGGAGCATCAACCATGAAGAAGAATGAAGAAAACACTAAGACCAAGAATAAGCCTTTATCACCAATAAAACTTAGCCCCACCTCAGTGCTTGATTATTTTGGAACTGCAAGTGTCCGAAGATCAGACAAGAAGATGGTGGCAAGCAAGCGAAAAGAGGTGAGTGTTCTACATGTAAGCAGGAGTGTTCAGGGATTTTGGAGAATGTTCACTTACTGTTATTAAGAAGAGGAGAAATTTGGATGTCATAGTAGGTCATCCTATTTTATTGATGAAAATAATTTCCCTATGATGATGGACACAATGTATTGACATCATTTTAGAGGATGAGGAAGTTAGAATAATTTTTTTATATTTGAAAGTGGGAAAAGGTTTAGGTTGTAAGATAAAATTATAATTCTTAGGATTTAAATTTAATACTCAGAATGCAAACTCATTTTACTGTTGATCTCAGCCAGACAAAATTGGACAATAAATTCATTTCCAAATGAGGCTATAAGTGCATGATTTATAAGTAGAGCCTACCTGTGATTCACTTTTGACACTTTATACCTTGGCTGATGTTGGATTCACCCTTTTCTGGAAATTTAGGAAGCAGAAATACAGATAAATTATAGTGAAAGTAGTCCCCTGTGTTAAAACCTGCCAAATAGTGTTTGTTGGTTCCATTAGCGCCTCCATAGGACAGTGGGATCATTCTCACCTGCTGGTTTGCCGGTGTTGTAGACTACTTCTCAAACCAAGGCATTAATCTACAAGTGGTTTTCTTTTGTGTGTGTTGTGGCGGGGGGCGGGTGGGTACTTTTCTTGAATATTTCAATAGAATTAAGCGAGAACCATGACTTTCTGGCTGGTGTGAATTGGGACTGTTTCATTACTGATAAAGTTAATTCTCACTGGTGTATTTAGTCAGCTATAGTCAAGAAAAAGCACCTTATCTTTAACTTAAGGTTTATGCTGATCTTGCTTGATTTTCTTTGAAATACAGCCTTCACAAAACGCAAATGATTCCAGACTGAATGATGAAGCCATTGCCAAGCAATTGCAACTTGATGAAGATGCAGAGGTATTGCCATTTTGTTTAGATATCGTTCACAACTTCACGTTTAGACTTGTTATTTAGTCCACCCAGGTAAACAGTCAAGATTGTTCTAGGTCCCCTGGCCAGTGGCTCAGTTCGTTGGAACATTGTCCCTAACACCAAAAAGTTGTGGGTTTGATTACTGGTCAGGGCACATACCTGGGTTTTCGCTCTGATCCCCGGCTGGAGCTTGTACGACAGGCAACTGATTGGTGTTTTTCTCTCACATGGATGGTTCTCTCCCTCTCTCAAATCAATAAACATATCCTTGGGTGAGGATTAAAAAAAAACCAAAAAGATCATTCTAGGCTAATTTTAGATTGAATCTCATCGTAAGAGTTATGTGTAAAATAAGTAAAACTCTAACATGAAAATCTAAGTTTTCTAAAATAATGATAAGAGCAGGGGATAATTATTTATTTAGAGCTATCTTACTACATTTCTTTGAATGGAAGCCTCCTTTAGTATAGTTAAATAATTTAATTTGATCATAACTCTCTTCACTGTGGGTGATCTCATTCACTTCTGTGAGTTTCATTAGTCTGGATGTGCTGCTGATGATCCCTAAATTGGTTTCCAGTTCAGAGTGCTGTCTTGAGCGGTAAACTTGTGTATTCAATCAATGAGTATTTGTTCAGCACTTCCTGAGTGCATGACACAGTTCTCATAGGTGTTACAGATGCTACAGTGAAAAACAATTATGTCAGGTCATCATAAGTGCTATGGAGAAAACTAAAGGGGTAATTTTGGGGTGATCATTAGGGTTATGAGTGTTGTTTCCATTTTTATTTTAGAATAAACACCTTTATTACGTGAGCTAGGATAGGAGGGAAGAGGATTTGTTTGCCTTTTGGGACTTGATTGTGCTCAGAACCCCAGCTCCTTGTCCTCCGGCCCAGGGCCATCTGCTCTGCGGCGTGGGCCTGGTCTCAGAGGGTGCACACAGGAAGCTTGCCCTGCTGGGACTGCGCCTCCACCACACTGCTGATTTGGCATTCTTTTTCCTTGCATTATATTTCTTCCAAATTTCCTTGGATTGTTTTTTAAGATCTCTTCCTCCTCAGGAGGTGGCTTGGCCTCCTTTTTGCGGCCCAGTGCCCAGTGGGACCTGTACCACTGTTGGTGCGGTGTGCTGGCAGTGAGCACCATGCAGCTCTTTACCCGGGGCTTGGCGTGGACCAGGTTGTTGTTGGGTACACTGGAGTCCACATCAGTAATCCTCGTTTTGCGTGGACCACACTCCGAGCCCCAGGGGAAGATGCCCTTGTCTAGCCTCAGGGTATGGTGCTTCTTGTTCCCTCCTGACTGTGTGTGGGGGGCGAGGGCCAGTCTCAGTGCTGGCAGCTGGTGTTCAGCTCATATTTCCGCATTTTTTTCTCATTTTATTTTGTTTTATTGTTGTTCAAGTACAGTTGTCTGCCTTTTGCCTCCACCTCTCTGCTCATATTTCCACTTCTTGTGGTGGGGCTTCCTCTTGCCCCCAGTCTTGCGGTGCTTCTGCCAGCTGTCCCGGGAGACGCCCGTGGCTTGGCGCCAGCCGGAAAGAGCATGAGTGTTGTGTTTTAAGTAGAGGGGTCGGGAAGGCCTCTCTGAGGAAGTGATAATGGGGCATGACATGAAGCTGGCACCAAGCCATGAGGCTGGCTACCCAGAGGAAGTCTTTCTCAAAACAGAACAGCAGGTGCAAGCATCCCGAGGTAGAAGAGATTGAGTTTGATGAATTTGAGAAATGGCCAGCAGCAAATACTCTACGTCAGGACAGGTCTTTAGTCCATACCAAAAGGACTTGGGATGGTACAGACTTTGGGTTTTAATCTCTATGAGATGAGAAGCCATTAGAGTGTTGAGTAGAGGTAACACGAATTGACGAATCTTCAAAGAAAATTATTCTGACTGCTGTGAGGCTAGTAAGCCGTGGTGGGGCCAGACCAAAAGCAGATCCGTTGGGACACTCTTAGGGCAGGGTAGGTGGGTGAGTGGTGCTGGTGGCTTGTACCAGGGTGATAATGGAAGAGATCATGAGAAGTGGTTATAATCTATGCTTTGAAGATGCAACCTTCAAGTTGTTGCTGGTAGGTTGGATATAAGGTAGGAGGGAAAAAGAAGATTCAAAGATAGGCTCCATGTTTTTTGGCCTGAGCAACTGATGAGACTGGAACACTGGTAGGGAGAAATCAAGAATTCTATTTTGGACATGTTAAGTTTGAGACACCTAATAGGCTTCCAAATGGAGGTGCAGAGTGGGTGATTGGATAGTGGAATCTGGAGCTCAGGGGCGAGGTCCGAGCTGAAGGTGTGTGTTTGGGAACCACTAGCCTTTGCATGAGGTTGTGGGGTGAGAAAGGTAATGGAGAAGCCTAGGGGTTGAGCTCTGTTAACGTTTAGATAAAGGTCAGGGAAAGGAGGGTGAGGGCACACAGGGGAGGCAGCCAATTTTCCCACTCACACTGATGTTTTTGCTCTCACTCTTGTCTTCCCTCTCTCCCTTCTCCTCTCGCTAGATTCAGTAAAGGAAAAGAAAAAAAAGTGGCTAGTGAAGTAGGGAAATGAGGAAAGCTTGGTATGTCATGGCAGCCAAATGCAGGAACCTCTCCATCTCTGACAGAGGTTCCTGTTCTTGGTACCTACCTGCTGTTTGAATCCCCTTTCTGTTGATTAGCTTAAGTATCACTTTCTCATATTCCCTTAACTACATTAGAAACCCCTCCTGTATACTCTATTGTACCTCATTGTAGCTACTATTAATATTTGTTAGAATTGCTGTTTAGGAACCTAATGAACAAAACAAACAAATGAGCAAAATAGAACCAGAGGCATGGAAACAAGGAACAGACTGACAGTGACCAGAGGGGGTGGGGGAGGGGGATAACGGGGGAAAGAAGGGGAAGGGTTTAGTCAAGGAACAGGTATAAATGACCCATGGGCATGGATCATTTCCATGTCCTGTGGGAAGGGGAGGGGGAGTGGTGGGCGAGGTAGGGGAGAGCAATGGGGGAAAATTGGGAGAACCGTAATAGAACAATGATAAAAAAAGAAGAATTGCAGTGGAAATGTCTTCCGATACACAGGCTGTGCACTCCACCCCCCAGGGCTGTCTCTGTCTCCTTCCGCCGCTGGGCTGCCTCTGCTCAGTTCGGTGCTTGGCGCATTGTTGTGAGACAGTGGTATTCTGCTCTTCTGGGATATATTGGATTTGTTCACATTTTATTAACATGACAGTTTACAGTTGGTATTTTCAAAATCTTTTTCCTCTTACTTGATTACTTGGAATTACATAAACTACAAAGCAGGTATCCACATGGCTCAAGGTAGCACAAATGGCCTAGGTAAAATTTTGAAATGATTTTTAGGGACCCGAGTTCTTACCTGTCGCAAATACTGGAGTCTTACCCCATCCTTTCCAAGCTAGGTGTGGTGCTCTGTGTCACAATTCCCTATTTTCTCCTTCCTGTGGCATTCTTTCAGAATCTCACCTGAATAATTCATTAGTCTGATGAAGAGTTTTTAGGGTGTTAGTGACTGATGGTGTCTTTCCTAACTATCCCTCTTAAGATAAGTTCCTTTTTTCTCCTTTTCCCCCCTCACATTCACCTCTTTGTTTATTCCTTTGAGTGTGTGTCCAGTATCTAAACCAGCCTGTATGTAGACAGTATGTTAAACACCATCTGCCGTGCTCACCATTGTATTCAAACGTGGGATTTTTGATCACATGAGGGCATAATCACCAATAGTGAATTTTTGATGGAAATATTTAAATTTCTTCTGTCATCTAAAGCATCTAGAATCCTCAGGGCTAGAAGTGTACTACATAGTGTGACATTTTGGAAAAACAGTATAGGGTTCTACCAGAAATTCTTGCAGGGTCGCTGGAGGTTTAGAGTTTGAAGTACCTTTTTATGGTGAAGATTTTCCTATTCTTTTTAGCAATTAGATGTGTAGTTCAGGTTATGGTAAGGAGATACTAAACAATGGAATATGTTGATGTGTATCTCTCAGGCTTATAGTTCTCTGTAACTTGACTTAGTTCATTTATTAGTAAGAAAACGCTTGGTTACACTGTCTTATCAGACTCAATGCCAGTTTCCAAGTCTTTTTAGGATTGGATGGATTTTGAGGTCCTTTCATTTGTTTAAATAATACAGGGATGCCTTTGTTCAATTTTATATTAGGCCATTTTATCAGGGGGCATAAAAACATTTAATTTCTAATGAGAAATATTCACTGCTCTTTTCTGGAAGAGTTTCACTTTGCTGACAGTGAAAATCTTTGGAAATAACAGCAAGGGTAACTAGAATGTCTGCGCTAACATTTAGCGTGTTAGGAAGGTTTCTGGCTGACATGATGACTTAAATTTTCAAAAGTCAGAACAGATATGTTTGAATTAGTAATTGGAAATAGGAGTTTGATGATATAAGTGATAGTTATGCTTGTGTATAGCTTACTTTTTGTGTGGAAAGAAAAATTTAATTTCTTGATTTCTTAGACTCACTCTTTTTTGTGTCCTCCAGACAATTTTTTTCCTATTAGGGTGAGATTCTTTGCAGAGCTTTTTCTAGAGTTTAAAAATAACTAGAAATAAGGGATCTGTAAGTGTTGCATTAGGACCATTAAGAAAAAACTGTAGATTTTAAACTTTATAAGTGAGAAATATGGCTTTAAAAATATGCTCAGTTTATCTGTCATGCCTGCAAAAGTAGATGCGTTTGTTCTGAAATCTAACATGGCTTAGTGAGGCAAGCCCATAATACTTAACTGTTAATATTAAAGGGAAAACGTTACTTTCTGGAAAATGTTCTGGTTTCTTCTGGGTATTATGAATCAACATTTTAAAACTTTCATTCACAAAAAGAAAAAAAGCAACTCACTCTGTTGACACTTTTTACAGCTGGAGAGACAACTGCACGAAGATGAAGAGTTTGCCAGAACATTAGCCATGCTGGATGAAGAACCTAAGAAGAAAAAGGTGGCGTTTTGGCTGGGCTTTTTGCACTCTGAATATACAATGCAGACCAACATTCCCGTTCACATCTTCAGAGCTTGTGTACTCTAAGCTCTGGAGATAGAATCATGAGTAGCTCTCCTAGAAAGAAGCTAAATTGTTTTAATTTATAAACATGTTGTTGGGGAAGCTCATGGAAGAACTTACTCTTCCCAAAGGAAGGTTGATGGAGCCGCAGCCGACCAGAGCCCTGCTTCACAGAACAGGGAATTGCAGGGAACCTCAAGTTTAGTGACTGTGTGTTTACCGTCTTTTTGGGAAGCACAGTTTTGCCATTTCTAATTAATTACCTTCACGGTCTGCAATAGGACGGTCTCAGATAATGAGTTTATTTTTGGGCATCTTTAAAAGCATTAAGATTTCTTTTTTAAGTATGGATTTATTTTAGACTTACTTATTTTGAGTCCCATTCTGTTAATATTGTCAGTATCAATATTTGACTATTTAAAAATACTTTACAGCAGTCAGATGTAAGACAGTAGTGAGTAGTGGAGACTTCATCATTTGAAAAGCCTTACTCCATCTAAAGACATTCCAGTTATAATTATTAAAAAATACTGTGTCACACGCCCCAGTTTGTGACCTCTTTGGAGAAGGGAGTTCTGAGGGAGCTGTGGAGAGAGAATGGGTATTCTTCTCTTTTGAGAAAGTGTTCTCTCATTTTTCTTTTGAACTTTAGATCGTTTTTAATGTCTTCTGGGTTTATATTTTAGTTCTTTTTTTTTGCCTTGGTGTTTTTCTTTTTAAAAAATAGTTTATCATTCTATTTCAGTTGTCCCCGTTTTTTCCTCCTTTGCCCTCCTCTGCCCTGCCTACCCCCCACTTCCCCCGTCATGTCCATGTTGTCCACGGGTTGTTCTTCCCCCACCCTGTTGTCCATGTCCACAGGTTGTTCTTACATGTGCCTCGACTAGTCCCGTCCCCTCCTTCCCACCCTGCATTTTAGTTCTTAGCCTCCTAATGCTGGCGGTTTGAGAATTGAGATGAGAGACTCACGACTTGGGAAGAGCTGGGATATTTCTTTATTCAGTGTATTTTTTAGACCCTTTTCATCCATTTTCACATCTGTAAAGTTAGAAGTAATAAAACATGTTTCATTTGCCCCATAAATGTGGATAAGTGAATGAAAATTTATTGTATTATCCTGCTACTTTGGAAGATGGCTCTTAATTTTAAAATTCATAAATTAAAAACTTTGTTAATGTTAACATATTTTGTCAAAATAGTTATCCTATTATTTGTCACATTTGACACTTTTAAAATTTTCTTAGGCTCTAAAGGACCCAGAAGAGAGAGAAACATTCTCATCTGTCCAGGCCAATTTAAGTAAAGCAGAGAAACATAAAGATCCTTATAAAGGTAATACTAGCAGGAAAAAAGTAAGCCGGAACATTTACCTTTATAGAAGAAAATTTATGATAACCTTGTTTAAACATTTGATTTAATAATTGCCTTATATTTAGTAGACACTATTTCATAGGAATATTGGAGCACGTTCCACTTTGATACTTTGAAAGCTATTTAGATGTTAGCTGGTGCAGGATGCTATCTGCTGTATGATCGTTGTGAGAAATGTTTGACAGCTCCTGGCAGCATGTTAATTTCCAAGTATACTAGTGCAACGTGTGAGTGGCAACGTAGGAAGACAAAGAACTAGATGTTTCAAGCTCATAGAGTGGACCGGTAGTTCATGTCATCTGAAGCTCTCCCACTGATTGTCCTTAGGTTTTATTTTTTAGTGGTTCTGGTCTTTAGCCATCTGCTAGTATAGATGGTCTTAATCCTGTAAGTCAAACTGTTCACATAGTAACTTTTAGTTTTTAAATTCCAGGGTTTGTGGCTTTCAGACTATATTACAGAGTTTTATGTGACATTATAACCAGTAAGTTATCTCTATAAATTTCAGATCATTGAAAATTATGGGTGGAATAAAGTCCATGTTCTTAGATGTAGTTTACCATATTATTTAAATTAATGAGTAATTTGTATTTAAAAACAGCTACCTTAATTTGAACTGGTTGTGCAACGAAGTAACATAAATGTTTAATTTAAAAAAATAAATGTGATATATAAAGAACTAAAAATCTTAATGTAAACGTTATGAAATCACGCATGACATTGTGTGCTACTAAGATTACTCAGTTGAGAAATGAAAAAATAATCTCGTTATTGGTTATCATTTTCTAAAAACAACAATCATAGTCTTTTCTGTCTTCCTAGGAAAAACAGAACAGTTTCTGAATGAAAAGAAGAACTACAGTCCTAAGAAGCAAACTAAATGTAAAAGTTCCAAAGAATCTCAGCAACATTCCAAGTCATCACCTCACAAAATGGGAGAGACTTCTCCCAAAGCTAGTACCAAGCTGGCGCTTTTGAAAAAGAAGGGAGAGAGTTCTTCTAAAGAAACAGAGCCTGTGGCCACAAAAAGAAAAGAAAGTGCCATTGAACTGAAAGAAACAAAAAGTCCTAAGAAAATGAAAAGTTCTCCCACTAAAAAAGAGGTAGAAATTTTCAAAAAGTGTATCATGTTGGGGCTATGTGTTGATTTGGGTTTGATTATTTTCAAGTTTTATTTCTAACTTTATGTACCTTTTGGATACTATCTTATTTAGATGCTGCTGCAGAACGCAGGTTATTAATATAGCTAAATTAGCAGGTTATTAATATAGCTAAAATATAGTTATTGTGTATTAGATATTGTGCTAAAACATACGGTATCTCATTTAATCTGTACAACAACCCTATGAGATATTTATTTTTATTACTTAACTTGTAAAGATGAGTAAATAGGCTGAAAGCGTTTAAGTGACTTTTATAAGACTAAGCAGCTATCCCTGGCTAGTGTGGCTCAGTGGATTGAGCACCAGCCTGTGAACCAAAGGGTCACCAGTTCAATTCCCAGGCAGGGCACATGCCTGGGTTGTGGGCCAGATCCCAGTAGGGGGCGTGCAAGAGGCAACCACACATTGATGTTTCTCTCCTTTTCTTTCTCCCTTCCCCTCTCTCTAAAAAGAAAGAAATAAAATCTTAAAGATAATCCAGCTGGTAGGTGACAGAGGCCAAAAAAAGCCGTGTAACCCAGTGGCCCCAACATGGACCTGGAGCCAGTTCCAGGTCCTAGCGCTGCCACTGAGCAGTTGTGCGGCCGGTCTGGCTCCTCCCCCTCTCTGCTTTGGTTGCCCCATTTGTAAAATAGAGATAATAACGAGTTAATATGCAAAACCACTTTAGAACAGTATCTGACACATAATAAGTTTTATGTAAGTTTTTGCTGTTATTAAAATAATCATTATTTGTGTTTTTCCTGCCTGTACTCCCTTTTACTCTTATATAACAATGTTGAGATACTGAAATCATTTCCAAAGGAAAAAACAGTGTAATCATGCAAAATGGATTCAAAAGTTTTCTGTGTTTTCATATATTTTGAGAAGAGAGTAGTTTTCTTAGAATCTCAGTTTGGAACTACCTTAGATTCATAATGAGAAACCACAGTTGCTTCAAGCCTTCTGGGACTTAGGCTTAAAAGCAGAATGTTGTCTATTTTAACTGCTCGTCACCATTCTTCTCAGCGCAGAGCAGCGACGTGGTGATGGTTTCAAGGTCTTTGCTGCTGCTGTTTGTGGTCAGTGCTCATGAATATGCTTGAGGGGAGAGTGAGCTTTTTGGTCTCAGATTTTTCTTCAATAAATACTTACCTGGTGGATGAATGTTTTTCTTCAGGCACTCTAAACAGTTCAGTTTACAAAGGCTTATCTATTTCCATTAAAGGAGAATTCCTCAAGTGGTACTGTTACTCTTCATTGTATTTTTCAAAGTTAGAATAGAAATGACTCAAATGTTACTTAAGCAGTTTTGAGAACTTCTGTTTACTAAATTTAATCTATCTTGGTCAGATAATTTTGACTTTATAAATGGGTACACTTCAAAGTTATTTTATAAGTCACTTTAATTCAGTATTATCTTTTTCATAGAATTAATGTTATAAATAAATAATTTCTCGATTTTGATATGTGCTGGGCTCTCTTGTGAAGCTTGTTAAAAATAAGGTTTCCCAGGGCATGTAGGCTGGGCAGGTGTATTTTAATAAGCCTCTCAGATGGTATGTACGCACACTAGCATTTGAGAACCCTGGTTTAAATGTAGTGTTCTGGTCTAGGACCAACCTATAATGGCTTATTTAACTTATAACGAAAGCGACTTGTTTTATTGATTAAATCATTTATTTACATTGAAATAATATTTGTCTACTCTCAAAGGTACTTGAGGTGGCTTACAAGTTAAAAATAATGTAAAACAGGAAGTAGTAAAAACAGCAAAGATCATTTTGTGATGGTTTTTGAGTTGGAATTATCTAGGATGTTTTCCCCACAAATACACATGCCCTAGCCATAACCCCATATCTCCGACTCAGAAAATTGGGGTGAGTCTAGGGATCTACGGTTGGAAAAATTTCCCCAGGGTTTTCTGAGAGATACCCAGTGTAAGATTTCCCGAGTAGAGTAGGAGAGATTAAACCTAGCAGGGAGAGTGGCGGCTTATAGAATGTGTCTGGTTTTTCGAGGGAAGCTTGCCTCTCGGTGTATGTGAGGCCATTGTCTGTCAGGCTGCAGTGTGAATGTCCCAGGGGCGTGGGGCCCTCTGGGTTGTTTTAGGGGAGCACAGAGCTGTAGGATAAATGTAGGATATCTTCTGGTGTGAGCAAATTTACATGAGTATATTGTGAAGTAGAACTCAAAATTCACGTGCATATTTGAAATTTTATAAAATACAATGTTTTGATTTTTTTCGCTTGAGGCTAGCGACTTGGCTTATGCACCTAATCTGCCCCGAGACACCTGTGTGCCTTTGAAGAGGGTGGAAAGGTGTGACAAGGGCATCAGCCTTTGGTGTGTACCAGCCAGGCGTGTGTAGGATGGGGACTCCTTTGTAGCTAGGAATGTTAACTTCAGGACCAAGTACAGAGTGACTTAATGCTTACTCGTTAGTATGTATTTTTAATTTTACATCATTTTGCTTGACTGTTCAATTTCCTTTCCTTATCCTTAAAGTCTGTAAGTCCTGAAGATTCTGAAAAGAGACGCGCTAATTATCAAGCATATCGAAGTTACTTAAATCGAGAAGGTCCCAAAGCTCTAGGCTCCAAGGAAATCCCGAAGGTAAGAGTGCTGAGAAGGCACAGCGTCAGCGAACAACTGAAGAGAACAGAAAAGCTGCAGTCACCATATTTGCTAGTTAGAGGTTTTTATTCCCATTACGAGTCACTGCTTAGTGCTTAGAAAATTTTTCTTTTAACTACAAGTAGCCCTGGTAGGGCTGGGCTTCGGAAAGGCATGCAGCACTTACAAGATTCTGTGCCCTCCTGGTACTTATGGTCTAACTCAGGAAAGAGGCCTTAAGTGAATTATTTACTTAGAACTGTGATATATTTGCCAGCCTCGCCTTTTGTACAAGGTGTATGAAAGCCTCTCTGCTTGAGAGGACTGTAGGCAAAGTGGTGTCCCCAAGGGACAGACAGTCAGTGTCAGTGAAGGCAGGGCCATGTGGGCAGGGCTGGAGGAGGGGCCGAGGGTACTGGGTGGTTGCTGGCCCCGCGGTGGCAGTTCTGGAGTGGAAGAGTTTGGTGGGGAAGCTGGAGGTGCTGAGATTGGGAAGGTAAAAAGATACTCAGTGCCACAGCGGATGTTAATTCAGGGGATGATAGATGATTGGGGTGTGGGGAAAGGCCTTGCATGTTGAAGTTTATAAAGTTATTTTGAATTTGTTGAGAAGCGTTTACCTGTAATGTTCACAAGATCACTTTAATTGCAGAGTCTTTCCAACCAGGAGATAACGTGATCTTGCCTTTAAGTTATGTACAGGTGGTTAGGTTTATCGTCATAGGAGAAGGCTTCTTATTCTGTGATAAGGGACCTTGAGATGTCGTTAGTCAAACCTTTTCTCTCCTAGCTGATTCAGAGCTATTCTTTTCTTTCCCGGATGGTAAAGGATTGAACTTGTATTGTGCTAGCCTTTGGATCTGGTTTAGCTTCCCTTCAAGCCTGTTTTAAGTCTGTTCAATTCTCTATTCAAAGAGTAAGAAGTAATTTGGGATGGTTTACATAATTTTCATTTTGCTTGGTTTATCTTTTTTGAACCATTGCAGAAATAACAAAATGTCTATAACTATACACATTTCTTTTTTTCCAGAGTTTATTCTATTTTTATTTTTTCACATTTTTTTATTGTTGTTGAAGTACAGTTGTCTCCATTTTTCCCCCACCTACACATTTCCATTAAGATTAAATGTCTCCATCCAGCTCACTTTGGCCAGTGTCTTTTAAGTTATCCTTCCAACTAAGAGACAATATGGTTTTGCTTTTAAGTTATGTGCAGATTGTTAGATTTCTGTCGTAGGATAAACAGCCAGAGAGAAGTGCAGGAGCTTGAACTTCTTTAGCTTTTCAGAATTGAAGCTTTTCTTTCTTAACAATAGCAAGAGTTTCTGTAGGTGGATTGTATCTAGTTTACTTAAAGTTATACGAGCTCACTAGTGGTTTAAATATTAAAAATAATAATGAAAATAGTATGAATGGTTAGTTTCAATAAGCTTTTCTAACTGTATTGAATGTGTATTTTCTGTTGCTGGTTTTGTATGTTAGTTTCTCGGGATTTTAATTTCAGGTTCTGCTTACTTGCTGTAAATTTCCAGCAGATTTTTTCATGCTGAGATTATTTATGATGTCAAATGAGAAAAATCAACTTCCTGCAATTCTGATGCCAAATATTTCTTTGGAAAGCTACCATGTAATTTCCTCTCTGCTTGAACATTTTGGTTTGCAGGGAGCTGAAAATTGCTTGGAAGGCCTCACATTTGTGATCACAGGAGTGCTGGAGTCCATCGAACGAGATGAAGCCAAGTCTCTGATTGAACGTTACGGAGGCAAAGTGACCGGAAATGTCAGCAAGAAAACAAACTACCTCGTCATGGGTCGTGACAGTGGACAGTCCAAGCGGGACAAGGTGGGTGCTGCTGTGTTCTCGGCACGCGGAAATGCCTGCCTGTTTTGGTAGGCTCCTGGCGTGGCCATTTGTAATAATGCCCTTTACACAGAGTTAAGACCAGAAAAGGAAAAGGAATTCCTTCCCCATGTTAATTCTTCTGCATGAAAGTTGGCTTTGAGCCCAGGCTTTTGGTTTTCCAACTGAATGCGCATAACTCCTATTTACTTGACTTTTTTAGTGTAGTATTCTAATTTAAGTATTTTTTTGAAGACCAAAGCAAATAACAGTTTTCTTGTTTTTTAAGTCCTAGGTACTCTTATGTATGCCACTTAAGTTTCTTATTGGAACTCTGTAAGTAGGATTGTGTTTGGCTCAAGTAACAGAATACTTTGCTAAGGTTGGTTCAAACAGAGCTGCTTGTTCCCTTATGTAACACGAGTCCCAGAGGTAGGCAGTTGCTGCGGACGGTTCAGCAGCTCAGTAATGCAGTGAGGCTAGTTCCATTCTCTGCCTCTTTCGTCCTTATTTTGGTAACTTTAGACTCTGTGCACGTTGCCTTGTGTTGGGAGATGGCCACAGCTCTAGGTGTTCATGGCAGAAAAAAGGGGGCAGTGGCAGGGTGTCATGCTAGCTGTGACTGGCTTTACAAGAGTGTTCCCTGGGACTCCTCTTGTGAGATTCTACTTACGTGTCGTTGGCCAGAGCTGCCGCGTGGCTATTCAGTGCTGTGACTGGAGTTGGGGGGATGAGTACTCTCCTGATGGCCTTAGACTGGTCGTAGTTTGTCACTGGGAGACGGACACACTGGAGTTGGGTTAGCAGGGAGGGAGGTGGGGAAGGAGTCTGCCCGACAGGCCGGTCTGGGAGGGGATGCAGAGCGGACTGAGGGCTGGTGCCTGCCCTTTCGAGGGTCGGGGGAAAGGGAGAGCACTCCAGAAAAGTGCCAGTGTGACACCTCAGGTACCTGCTTATTCTTAGGGATGCATCTGTCATTTTTTTCCTTTCAATGGCACTTTTTCATGAATATGGTTTCAAAAAATAATTCCAGCATTAGTTTACAAGTGTGTTTTTTCACCCATTAAAAGGCCTTAGAGTCTTTTTTTAAAACAGAAGTAATGGTTAGAAGAATACAGGTTTTTAATGACTTACATTTTTGATCACTAGGCAGCAGCCTTGGGGACAAAAATTATTGATGAGGATGGCCTATTGGATCTGATCCGAACCATGCCAGGCAAGAAGTCCAAATACGAAATAGCAGTTGAAGCTGAGGTTTGTATAAAATGAATTTGATTTAAGTTGGTTTATAGCAACTTTCCTAATTCATAGACATTTCTTGGGTGGGAACCAGGCTGTTGGCAAAAAGATTGACTTCCCCTTCTGCTGCAAATGAACCTCCCTTACTTCCTGTTGAGCGGGTGGACTCCACTTCTGGGCATCTTCTGTGGTGTGTTTCCTTACCTTTTTAAAAGGAATGTGAGGAGAGAGGGAAGACAGTGTATCGCACTTACCGTATCTACTTGTTAAACTTCCCATATTTTCCATATTCTTGCAGTGACTTTGTGCAAGGTTATTGCTTGAGAGTTCTTTAAAAGATACTTTCAAGAATCATCATGGCCCTGGCTGGTGTAGCTCAGTGGATTGAGCGTGGGCTGGGAACCAAAGTGTCCCAGGTTCGATTCCCAGCCAGGGTACATGCCTGGATTGCAGGCCATGACCCCCAGCAACCGCACATTGATGTTTCTCTCTCTCTCTCTCATCTCCCTCCCTTCCCTCTCTAAAAATAAATAAATAAAATCTTTAAAAAAAAAAAGAATCATCATGATCAATTCATTTTCAATGAAAGCTGTATTAGAACTTTCTCAGTTGTGCTAGAAACCCAGCCCACATTAACTTTAGCAAAAAGGGAAAATGGTGGCTCACGTAACTAACGTATGGGCAGGGTGGGCCTGGTGTAGGAATTACTAGAGCTGGAGAATTTGGTGCTTCTAGGACCCTTGCAGTTTTTGCCTCTCTGCCTTTCCTAATGCTAGCCTCATCCATTCCCATAGGTACAGGTCTTTTCCAAGCGCAGGACACAGGTGTGCCTGTAGCCAAGGTTCTTGTCTTCTTTCTGTTCCCGGGTTCCACACTGCATTTAGTTGCTGCAGCTTACTCTCCTTCTATCTGTGACAGTTCTTTTGTCATTCCTGGAGGAGCCCTTCCACCAAAAAAAAGGATTTCTTTGGTGTTTTCTTATAATTAGCTTGAGGGTTTGCCCTTTTGGTGAGGTTATCACAGAAGCAGAACTGTGCACTCACTTCACAGTGCATCACATCAGACGTCTCTTAATGACTGGTGACAGTAACCTTGGTACTTGGTTAAGTTAACGCCTGCCAGGTTTCTCCACTAGCAAAGTGAGTACTTTCCCTTTGTAACTGATAAACGTACTGGGGAGATACTTTAAGACAATGATAATACCTCGTTTCTCCTCAGACACTCACTCAGTAATTTTATCATTCACTAACTGGTAAAGAGGCACTAATTTATTTATTTATTCCATTTTTTTAATGATTTTATTTATTTACTTTTAGAGAGGGGATGGGAGGGAGAAAGAAAGGGAGAGAAACATTGATCTGTTGCCTCTTGCCTGGGCCCCAGGTGGGGACTGAACCCACAACCCAGGCATGTGCCCTGACCAGCAGTCGAACTGGTGACTTTCGTTTCACGGGATGATGCCCAACCAACTGAGCCACACCCGTCAGGACTTTTTTTAAATTCACACCACAAAATTTATTACTTGGTTATTATTCACACACCATTCTTAAAAGGAATTCACCCCTTTTCACTGTTATTCACACACCATTCCTAAAATCAGAGAATTCACCTGTCTAAGTCTATAAATCATAAATCAGTTGCTCTTAGCGTATGCACAAGGTTGTGCACCCATCACCACAGTCACTTCCAGAACGTTTTCATCACTCCCTGAAGAAACCCCGTGCCCATCAGCAACCACCACTCCACCTTGTGTCTGGGGGTTGGCCTGTTCCAGACCTGTCATTTAAAGGGGCCGTGCAGTAGTTAGCCCTTTGTGTCTGGCTGCTTTCACCTAGCAAAAAGTACTCCTTTTTATTAGTGATTAATATGCCATTGTGTGGATATGCCACAGTTTGTGTGTTCAAAAGTTGGTGGACATTGGGCTTATTTCTAGTTTGGGGGTATAATATAAAATAATAATATATATATAAAAAAATATAGTAATGCTGTTGTGAACGTTTATGTACAGGTTTTTGTGGAAGCATTAACTCTTTGAAAACTTTATTTTTCACTTACAGTTGACATTTCATATCACATTAGTGTCAGGTATGCGGCTTGGTGGTCAGACATCATGTAGCTCACAAAGTGACCCCCCGGAGTCTGGCACCCACCTGGCACCATATGTATGTGACTTGGAGGCACTAACTTTTAATTGCTTGGAAAACTGACATAAAAATCTCTTAATCCTCTACCATGTTGTTTTCAAGTTAATACTGGATTACTTATTTTTAAAAATTGCATTTGGGTGTTTTTCATTGTGTTTGCTGTTCATTTCTTTAAAGTTCGGAAGGTGATGATTTCCACAAGTAGGGTCCATTGTGAGAAGGCACACCCAGCTGGGTCGCTTGTTTGGGTATCTGAGATTGTCCTCTAGAGCACATTAGGCAGGGTAGAAATTGTCCATCTCACCAGGTTTCTTTTTCCCTCACTTTTCCAATTTTTAAGATGAATAAAGAAAAGTCCAAATTGCAGAGAACACCCTCAAAAAATGACCAAGGGAAAAGAAAAAGTAGTCCGACTAAGAACGAATCAGAATCCAAGAGGTGCAGACTGACTCCCAGAAAGGACGGCTGTGTGAAGTCAGTGAGAGAGGAAGCAGGTGTGTCTCCGAGAGGCCTGGGCTTCAAGGAGCAGGTGGCGGAGCAGACACGTGGTGATGGCCGCGCTGGGCAAGCGGCTGATGGCAACGGGGAAGACAAAGTGGCCGCTTTGCTCTGGGTGGATAAGTACAAGCCAGCCTCGCTCAAGGCCGTCATCGGACAGCAGGGTGACCAGAGCTGCGCCAACAAACTCCTACGCTGGCTCCAGAACTGGCACAAGAGCCCATCGGAGGACCAGAGACACGGTGATTCTACAGCTTCATTCGTGTGTGTGTGTGTGTGTGTGTGTGTGTGTGTGTGTGTGTCACCCTGTTGTTGCTCAGTGGCACATTTGTGAGGAGGTCGGATAGTTGGCCTGTGCCTCTCTCAGCAGGCACTCGTGGAGAGCCGGCTCTGAGCCCAGGGGCTGTGCTAGACCCCAGAGGTGCTGTCGTGAACAAAACACAGTCCCTCGCGTGGAGCTCATGGGCAGCGGGGGGCACGTAGGAGCCAGCCATTGAACTGTAATGTGCTGAGTACTGTTGGAGGGGTAAGCGTAGGGTGCAGAGGGGGTGGGGTGTGTGGTCAGGGAGGGGGATGTGTGCTTTCCCCCCTGGAGGAATGGCTGAGCCAAGACTTGGAAACCAAGAAGGTGTCAGCTAGGTGAACGGAGGGGAGGGAGTACACCTACCAAAAAGTCTGCAGGTATAGGGGAGCCAGGCTGCTCGGAGGGCCAGGGGGACTTGGGGGAAGGGCAAGTGAGAGGCTGCGGCACACTTACAGCTCAGGCAGCCCCAAACCCCGGTAGCGTGTTTGCCTTTGGTAGGCCTGACAGTCCTGAGCTTCTTTGGTTTCTGCGCTTGCTCACCGTGTGCTTGTCATGGAATATGAACACCCACGGCATACGTATTTAATATACAAAAGGGTGGAACTGAGGTTTCAGATCACAGATACTGGTAGTGGTTTGTTTGAGCTTCATCTGCACCCCTGGAGGATGTAAGAAATAGGACAGAGGGATGACTGGCTCATTCATGTGCGTGGTCGCTAGGCATTGGCTGATAAAGCCAGTTTACTTGTAATAGTTAGTATAACTGCAATGATACAGGGTTACATTTACGGGGTTCCTCTCTTTCCAAACCCACACAAAATCTACCTGAAAGTGGGGGTGGGGGGAGTGCTTTGTGTGCCTGGAGAAAACTTTAAGGCCCCAGGTGATCTGTAGTCCCTTTTCTCCATGCCTGCAGTAGATGGCGGTCTCTGTCAGCCACTGTGTGTGTGTGTGTGTGTGTGTGTGTGTGTGTGTGTGAGAGAGAGAGAGAGAGAGAGAGAGAGAGAGAGAGAGCAAACACCCTTTGTGTCCCAGGCACCGTGTCGTCAGGGGAGGGAGAATGCTGTAGAGCTGTGCAAAACAGTTGAAGGCTCAGTGTCTTCATTTCATTTTTCTTTTCAAGATCGTGGAGACCGATTGTGCTTGCTAACAGCTACGGAGGCGTGCTGGGCATCTTCTCTGCTCAGCCCGAGCATCCCCATAGCATCCCTCCCAGGCACATCACATTGTCATCCTCATGTGATGAAGGGGGCAGCAGGCCAGAGGGGTTAAGTCACTTCTGAGGGCCTCCCTGCTGGTGCGCGACAGCGTTAGGGACAGGTGCAGTCAGGATCGGGGCCAGGTAGTCTGCCCCATGACCTGTGTTTTGTAGCAAAGGAAACCATAAAAGTGTTATTTCACATCAAAGGCTTAAAGTTAATGCATTTTAAAAATTAATTTATTTTGGGTGGAGGTGATCTAGGGAGTAGAATTTTACTAAGTGCTCTGGAACCTATTGTTCGTACTTTGTAGAAAATAATCCTACAAATTTAGAACTACGCTGGAGGACTGTTCTCGATGCTAAATTTGTGCACAGTTAACCCAAAATTTCGGTTAGGTGCCATAAGCTAACACTCTGGAACGTTTCTCTCCCTAGCAGCGAAGTTTGGTAAATTTGCTGGCAAAGACGACGGCTCCAGTTTTAAAGCGGCGCTGCTCTCAGGCCCCCCAGGTGTTGGCAAAACCACCACGGCCTCCCTGGTTTGTCAGGTGGGTGTTCCGGTGCGGTGTGGCTGGGAGGCTAGCGCAGGGGCGGGTGTGTGCAGCGGGTGTGCACATGTGTGTGAGTGTGTAGTGGTGTGTGTACATTTTAACCTGCTCTGTGCATACTTTCCTGAAATTAAACCTTTAGAATTTGCTTTGGTGTTTGGGATATTTGTCATTTTCATTCTTTTTAAAAATATATTTGTAATTATAATAATAGGCAGTATTTGCTTGTGCAGGCAGTGTATTAAGCCTTTTGGTGGATTATTTCATAGATAACAGTGTCACAGCCCCTTACAGATGGGAACACCTTACACGCCCTTCTGAGAAGTGTGTGCACTGTCACTGTCCTCGTGTGACTGTTGCGGTGGGCTGAGAGGAGGGCAGTGGCGCAGTGTGAACCCTGACGAGGGGGACCTTGCCTCCGCCCTGTTGTCCCTGTGGTCGCTGTTCCCGGACAATGAGAAGACAGGGCTGTCGAGCCAGCCTCAGTGGGTGTGCATCAGAATGGTGTGGATGACATGTGAAATGGGACCAGAGTGACACAGTGGAGGACTCTGAACTTCTTTTACATTTATTGCGGGGTTTACTGGTCCTCTCTCCCAGAAGCTGATGGTTTTGTTTTATCTTTGTTGTAGGGACCAGAGTGTAACGTTTTAGCTGGTATAAGAACTATAAAATTTCCATGCTATAAACATGAAAAAAAAATCTGTTTTTCCCTAGTCTCTACAATGGCGAACATGGCTCTTTTTTTTCTTGTCATTACCTTTTTTGGGAATTCAATTAAGGCATTTTTTAATACTTTATGATTAAGATGGTCAGTTTTGAGAGATAAACCAGAGTAACTTGATTTTTCCTGATTTGAGAGGATGATTGTATATAGGGATAATTTGACAAAGAATAACTTGACTTTATTATTTATCTTGAAGTCAAGAATTATAATAGATTAATTTTACATCTGATATTGAAATCTTGGGCTGGTTATATTTAATTCTTTCTAGGACTTCAAGAAACAAATAGTAAAATTGCTTGTTCAAATATATTCTCCCAGGTTTGTGATGTATCAGCCAAACTTGTGTGTTTGTGTGTGTGTGTGGTATGTATGAATATGATATTTTACAAGTCTCTTGGTTATGAGGCATGCTATAGTTAATTTCATTGTCTGTTATTATCTTACTTTATCTTTTTACCCATGGTTCTTTATATGATTTTTCTACCCTCTTTCTTTTTTTGGTGGGGGAGGGGAAGAGGAGTTAATTTATGTTGTAATAGTGACGGTTCCTAATATTTTGATTAGGAATTGGGATATAGCTACGTGGAACTGAATGCAAGTGATACTCGGAGTAAGAACAGCTTGAAGGAGATTGTTGCTGAGTCACTGAGCAATACCAGCATCAAAGGCTTTTATTCAAGTATGTGACTGTTTGAACTGGTTTTTTGGGGGGGATTATGTAAGAAAAACAAGTTCGTTTCCATGTTTAACGGCCACTACTGTGCACTGGCCACCCTGCTGTATGTATCGGGGGGCTAAGGAGAGACTAAGAAAAGCCTCTGATGTAACTCATAGAGGACCTTTTTTTTAGGTGTTAGAAATTTCCAAGGATGTGATAAAAATGCATACATGGACATATTTATGTATTTTGCGTACACTTTTAGCAGATTCACAGGTGAATCCTATGAAGAGGGAAGAAAAAGATCAGTAACTGCAGTACAGCCTGATGAGTGCAGTGGCCGAAGCCTGTAGACGAGGAAGGGATTCTGGTTGGGCCATTGGGGAAAACTGCCATGAAGAGGGTGGCATTTGCTCCCAGGGCCCTGAAGGATGAGAAGGGGACTCACCTGTGGGTGGAAGGGCTTATTTCAGATAAGAGTGGTAGGGGAGGCAAAGACAGTGGGAAATACCGCACTATTGAAGGTCATGGCCAGTAGGCCAGTGCTCTGGTATGGCCAGAGCTTATGGGGACAGGTAGAGGCCCACATTGCAGACTGAGCATTGGGAACCTGTGGTCTTTCGCATGGTTGCCTGAATTCTTGGTACTTTCAATGGTAGAAAGTCATCGTTAAAAAGAAGTTGCTCAGGAAATGTCACTGTAGTATGTGGCTGGTGGGCGAAGCTTGGTACAGCTCTGCAGGGCAGTCTGGCAGTATTTCTTGAGGTCAAGTTACACGTACCCTCTAACGCAGAAATTCTAACTCCCAGATTCATTGTTAATACTTGCATACCTGCAAAATGACATGTATATGGATGTTCATTTAGTGTGACTTATAATAATGAAAGGTCAAATACATCTTCATATTTTATTGATAGAGATTGAGTGAATTATGATCATGTGTAGGATAGAACATTATTGAACAGCCTTGAAAAATGAGGTGTTCTATATCCACAGGTAAGGAACAGATCGCAAAGATACATTAAATGACCAAACCAAGGAGAATGTTTTTATGCACACGTATTTCTAACGTGTGTGGAATATCTCTGAGAGGATACACAGGAGTCTGTTCACGCTCTTGACCTCTGGAGAGGGAAACCAGTGCCCTCGCTGGCCAGGGTGGAAGGACACTCTCCTCACTTGTGTGTCTTGGACCTTTCAAGTTGTGAATGTGTCGTTACTAGTTTACAGTGTGTTATGTGAATGTTTATAAAGAGCAGCGTTCAAACAACAGTTACTGTGTTTTTGTCTCATCCCGCTGCTTGTCATCAGGCGGAGCAGCCCCTTCAGGAAGCACGAGACACGCCCTCATCATGGACGAAGTGGATGGCATGGCGGGCAGTGAGGACCGGGGAGGCATTCAGGTAGTGGAAGCAGTGTCGTTTGGCGGTTTTACTGTTTTGTTCTGTTTTCACAAAAAATATAAAGAATTAGTTATGCTGTGATATCTATGGCAGTTAAGCCATGATGCCAAGGAAGTTTTTAAAACTGAGATTGCATGCATTGTGTGGTATTTTGTTTCTTAAATAATTATTTTTCTGTTGCAAATTTGCCTTGTAGGAATTAATTGGTCTGATAAAACATACAAAAATTCCCATTATTTGCATGTGCAATGACAGAAATCATCCCAAGATTCGCTCTTTGGTTCATCATTGTTTTGATCTTCGTTTTCAAAGACCTCGGGTTGAACAGATTAAGGTATGGCGTTGGGAATTTTTTTCCCCCATCACATTATTCTATTTATTGAAGGGTCAGTTTTAAAAGTACCTGAAAATATTTTTTAAATATCTGATTATACAAGTTAAAAAAATCATTGAAGATTCTCCTTTTAGGCTGCCATGTTGTCTATTGCGTTTAAAGAGGGCTTGAAGATTCCCCCTCCAGCTATGAATGAAATAATTTTGGGAGCCAATCAAGATATCAGACAGGTAAACTACATATGTATTACATGACAATAGATAATTCTTTGAATTAATGCCTTCAGCCTTTTGGGGAGTGGGAGTGGTGGTTATGTCTCGCTGACAGAGCCTTGTCTGTGGTCCCCCTAGGTCTTACACAACCTGAGCATGTGGTGTGCGCAGAGTAAGGCCCTGACCTACGACCAGGCCAAGGCCGATTCCCACAGAGCCAAGAAGGATGTCAAACTGGTAACAAATGGATTTCCTTTTATTAGTTAGTTTTTGTGCTATAGTTCCTTGACACACCTATGGAACCTGTGGTTATTTATTTATTTTTTATCCTCACTTGAGGATGTTTTTTCATTGCTTTTTGAAATGAAGGGGGGTGAGTGGGGGATTGGCTGGGGCTCGGGGAGAGAGAAACATCGATTGGTTGCCTTCCATATGTGCCCCAACACAGTGTCAAAGCTGCAGCCTAGGCATGTGCCCTGACTGGGAATTGAACCAGTGACCTTTCAGTTACGGGACAGCGCTCCAACCAACTGAGCCACACTGGCCAGGGCTGGATATTTATAGTACAAGCTACAGACAGCTGCTAAAAGTGTTTCTAATTCAAATGGAATTTTTTCAAGGACCGTCCAGGTATATTGTTAGTTTTGAGAAAGGGAAGTTTTAAATTATGCATGCTTCAATCATTATAAAATGTCTTCTTCATAGTCCCTGATGTATGGGTTTCATTCATGTTTTCAGTGGTTTTGCATCTGTTCCGGATAATCTGTTCTTAATGGTTTGTAGTTTAATAACCTCCCTGGAACTAGAGGTCTTATCAGTTATCTCTTTGTTCTGGTTCACCTAGTCACTAGTCAGAATTTATTATAGTTAGAGCAATGATTAAGCAGTGTTTTTACTGTCTCTTTTTTTAAAAGTTAGTACATTTTAGAGCAATTTTCGATTCACAGCCGAACTGAGAAGGTACAGAGATTCTCCATATGCGTCCTGTCCCTACACACATCCAACCTTCCGCACTGCCAGCACCCACCATTCGCTGCCACTGATGACCTGCTCTGACACGATACTGCTGCCCGGAGTCCGTCGTGGCGTGCCCTTTGTGGGTGTGACAAATGTGTAACCACACGCGTCTGCCCTCGCAGCTTACTAAAAATCCTCTGCACTCTGCTTACTCACCTCTCCCTCCTCACTCCTGGCAAGCACCAGCCTTTTGCTGTCTCCATGGTTTCCCCTTTTTGGAGACTTGATATAGTTGGAATCATACTGTGGAGTCTTTTCAGAGTGGCTTCTTTCACTTAGCAATGTGTATTTTAACTTGCCTCCGTATTTTTTCATGGCTTGATAGGTCATTTCTTTTTAGTGCTGAATAGTATTCCATTGGGTGCACCACAGATTATTCACTCACCTACCGAAGGGCAACTTCCAAGGCTTGGCAATCGCGAGTAAAGTGGCTAAACATCCACGTGCAGGGTTTGTGTGTGTGTGTGTGTGTGATGTGCGTTTTTAATTCACGTGGGCACAGAACAAGGAGCACGACTAGTGGACAGTAAGGTTAAGCGTCTGTTTAGTTTTGGGGTAAGCCACCAGCTGTCTCCCAGACCGTGCCGCTTTGAGTTCCTGCCGGCCGTGTGCGTGCGTTCCTGTCGCCGCACGTCTTGGCCAGTATCTGGTTGGGTCAGCATGTGGGTGCTGGCCCTTCCACTAGGGGCGCCCCTCTTTCTTGGTAGGGCCCATTCGATGTTGCCCGGAAAGTGTTCGCAGCTGGAGAGGAGACCGCTCACATGTCACTCATGGACAAGTCAGATCTCTTTTTTCACGATTACTCGATAGCGCCCCTCTTTGTCCAGGAGAACTACGTACACGTGAAGCCTATAGCTGCGGGGTGAGTGTTCAGAGCCGGCGCTACACCGGCCGGACGACTGAGGGGGCGGGCTGCGGAGAGTGGGCAGGGCTGTGATGCAGGCCGGTCTTCATCCTGCAGGGGAGACATGAAGAAGCACCTGATGCTTTTAAGCCGAGCGGCAGATAGCATATGTGACGGCGACCTGGTGGACCGGCAGATCCGGAGCCAGCAGAACTGGAGCCTTCTGCCCACACAGGTGAGCGCAGTGCTCCCCGCAAAGTGCAGGCTCTGCTTTGGTTGGGGAGGGCAAAGTAGCTTCTGGCTCCTGTAATTATTTAAAATACCGGATAAACCCTACTGCCGTTATGGCAAAAACAGTCTGTTAGAGATTAAAACACTCTGTGGTCACTGTTGTCTTTTTGTTGATCTGGCCCCATTTTTCAGTGGTTCATGATGTTTTTATGTAAGTGGACCTATGGGAATATAGGAACATTACATTTTGGCCATAACTAAGATGTGAGTCAGAAGTTTCATTTCCTCTGTTTTACCTTAAGAATCTATGTCTTTTTTGTCATTCTTGGCTCTCCCAGATAATTCCTAAGTAACTTCTTGAAGAAATGCAGCCAGGGCAGGTCAGCTGCCACTGTCTGATACATGGATTCTGATTTTCTTCCTTCTTGCTAAAGAGGCAGCTTTGAATTGGGTACTTGATTTCAGTTGATGTCTTTTACTCAAAATAGATGTTTGTAAACATTCATAATTCAGAGTATTTGTTCCTGTTTGAGCTTTACGTATTTCTGCAGCATTGTCGGCCTGAGTAATAAACAGGGGACTTTTGGTGGCCTGCTCTTCTCTTAATCTTACCCCTGAGTTGTTTGAAAAAAACAAAGGCTCGTTCTGGATATAAAGAATTCTTTCTCATGTTTTAAAAGTGTTCATTTTTTAAATTAGTAATTGTGCTTTTGAGAATTTGTCTTAAAAATAATTTTAAACATAGAAAAGCTTAATATACAAAAAATACTCCCTAAGTCATCATTAGTTCCAGTGGCAAAAATGGGACAGAATCTCCATGTCCAGCAACAGGAGAGTGATGACTTGTGGCAGATTCTCTTGATTAGAACACTGCCACCTTTACAGTTGCTTTTAAAGATTAGCTAATACAAAAAACTTAATTATTAGAATAAAGTAGGACACAAAATTTATGTATAACTCCAGCCTTTAAAAAAGCGAAAGCCCCGGGGCTGGAGACACCCAGCGACACCCCCTGTGCTGTCCTCAGGCGTCGGTTCACTCGGTGCTGAGCCGGGCAGACCTTCCGTGCTCCACTCACCTGTGCTGTCGGCAGCCTGTGCTGGAGACAGTCGCGCTTCTCCGAAACAGTCCTTTCTGCCCCCGCTGGCCTCCACGGGGTGGCTGGAGTGTCAAGGTCCCTTGGTTCAGGATGCTCAGTTGGCGAGCTGACCTCTCCCAGGGCCAGACGGCAAGATGTTTTCCCTGGAAGATTTCCCGTACCGGCAGATCCCAGACGGAAGGCGAGGGCCCGACTGCCCCGGGTTCGGGGTGCCCGCTGGCGGGCTGCGTTTTCCAGAGACTGTTTGGAAGCCCACTGCTGCTGAGGAGGCTGCTTTGCACAGAGTTTAAGTTGTGGACCGCCCTTGATCCTTTCAGGCCATTTATGCCAGCGTTCTCCCCGGAGAGCTGATGAGGGGCTCTCTGAGCCAGTTCCCCTCCTTCCCCAGCTGGCTGGGCAAGCACTCGTCCACGGGCAAGCACGACCGCCTCGTCCAGGACCTCGCGCTGCACATGAGCCTCCGGTAGGTGGTGTCGCTCCGTTCCGGGTGCGTCGTCGGGTGCTGGGTTTAGCCTTCACCCAGGAAGGAGGGCGTTAGCCGAACGGGTCATTGTAGTTTGATTCTATTGCCAACTAGATGAATGATCCTGATAAGTTCTTTTTATCTTGTGAGACTGCGTTTTATTATCCAGAATCACCATGACCCTCATATTTGTCACTTAACAGGCTACTTTGGAAGAGTAAAGCTGGGGGGTAGATGTGTCATGCCTCTAAGAAAAATTTAAAACTATGCATATCTGAGGCAGTGATATTATTTATGGTTATTGTGACTGTGCCTGTTACTAGTGGGCATACGAAAGATCTTTGCTTCAGAGTAACTGAATTGGAAAAGGAACTGTGTAAATAGTGGACCGGTTGTTGCCCATCCTAGCAGTAAGCTGCCCTCGCCACCTGGGAGAGGGCGTGCAGTTGGGCTTGTAGCGTGCAGTTGGGGAGTGGAGACTCAGATGATTGAAAACCAGTGTGCTGGGAGACGTTTAAATAAGGATGTTCAAAATTCTTGTGATTTGGTATGCTTTTGTTAAAGTTTAGAAACTTAGAAAATGTGCCTCCATACAGATAGTAAGTCAACTTCAGGGGTTTTATTTCTGACCACGAAACACTGCTGGAGCGGTCTTGCTTCCCTGCTGTCCTCGCCGGTCAGGTCGCGGGCCTGCCTCTCGGCTTTCTGCCTGCTCCCTGCCCACTGCTTTTAAGGGTCCTTCGTCACTCTGCCTCAGGGGTCTCCCCTTGGCTGCTCTTGCTGTGCTCACGTAGGTGTCGAGCGCTGGACTTGCGCGTTGTTCCGTGGCCGTCCTGTGTTACCTCTGCCCCCTTCTCCCACTGCACTGAACCTCCAGGTGGTGGGGACTGAGGCTTGCTGGCCGAGCACGTGGCGTTGCTGGACGGGCGTTTCTAGGGACTCACGCACAGGACACTGCCATCACTAAGGGCATCTGCAGTGGGTGTCTCAACTTTTAAAGTAAATTAAAAGGTTCCTACTTAACTTTTAAACCCTGATTAAGTCACTGGACTTTTATAGGCCAGGTTTCTCTTTACCTTTAATTTGGAAAAGTGTGATTTTATTACTCAACTTTTCGGGGGTCATCATAGATGCCTTTGAGAATCTGAAAGCTTTGGTCTCTGTCTCCCCCAAATGCACCAATGTACAAGTATAACTTCAGGGGAAGTGATAACCATTTCTGAGGAAAAGAACCCTTAATTTAGGTAATACCTTTAGATTTTTCTAGATTAGCTGTTACTCGAGTCTGCGAAGGTAACAGTTACGTAACAGATTACAAGAATAATTTGGGGAAGCTTTCGTGACTGTCTCGGGCACTGTGGCTCACGGGCTCATGCTTGTGTTCAAGTGCTGGCACGTGTGAGCGTGGGGAGCAGAGGGAAGGGGCGACTTTGACATAGGAGCGCTGTTTGAATCTTTGCCTCATTAACGAAACCATCGTGGGGCAAGGTTCTAGATTTCTGGTAGAACTATGTGGGTTCTTGTGAGTCAGACGTTCAGTGACCTGAAGGCAGGAACAGGACCCATAGGTAACTGCTAAAAGGACTTGTCCTTTCTTTTCATTTATTTTAATTGAATTTATTGGGGTGACATTGATTAACTAAATTATACGGGTTCAGGTGCACAGTTTTACGACACATCATCTGTGCACTGTGTTCATCATCCCATCCTTTCTGATTTCAGTGTGGGCTCTGAAACCAGCAGCTTTTGGGGCCTCTTGTGTGAAGTGCATGTGCATGTCCATTGCCTGGTTTGCAGATGGAGGCAGTGCCTGGGTTGGAAAGATTTAGGGTGGTGGCATTGGAGGTACTTGTTCAGCTATTTTCTGTCTTTAAGTGACAGCATGTAAGGAGAAAGAAAAACAGCCATTTCTATGACAATCTAGTTGCAGCTGAACACAGGCTGTTTCCCTAAGTCTCCTTGGCCAGTGTGTGGGTCACGCCACCTTGTGACTCTGCAGGAACTTTCTCTGCAGGATTTTCTTTCTTTTTTTTTTTTTTTTAAACATTCGGGGTAAACCCTGTTCTAGAACTAAACATTGAAGAAGAACAGCATCAGGAACTGTGAGAGAAGCATTTTCCTGTAGAATTTTGTATGTTGCAGTTCAGAGACAGAAGGGTGTTGCAGACCCCACTAGCAGGTGGCAGGGCACTTTGGGCTAGAAATCTCGCCGCCTTTCACCGATGCTTTCAGTGTCTGGGACTAGGAGAGAGAGATCTTGGGCCACAAGAAGTAGGAACAGAGACACTGTTGTCACCTGGGCCTTAGGAGTAGGGTGGAAGCAGAACCTGCATTTGTGTTTTGCATTCTCTGATCCAGGTAAATAGAAAACCCCCCTTGAGCACATTGGAGTTTGCACGTCACCCTGGTGGGGTAGCACTAAGCTTTCTCTCCACCAGCTGTTGAATAGTAGGCATTCCATTATTAAACACATTTGTTAAAAAGCATTATTAAAAGTGATTGAACTCCATGTGATTAACTGTTGATAACGCACAATGTGACTTGAATTGGTAGTAGTTTGCCATTGACTACAGGTGTGTCTCTTTTGCTTTGGTTTAAGAACTTACTCCAGCAAAAGAACTGTAAATATGGATTATCTGTCACATATAAGGGATGCGCTTGTACGGCCCTTGACCTCACACGGGGTAGAAGGAATACAGGATGTTGTTGCCCTTATGGATGCATATTATTTGATGAAAGAAGACTTTGAGAATATCATGGAAATTAGCAGCTGGGGAGGCAAGCCTAGTCCCTTCTCCAAGCTGGATTCCAAGGTAACTTGTGTAACCCACTGGTTTTCCCTCACTATGTAATTACCAGGTTTGCACTGGGAGTGTTTTAGAGATGTTTACATGCTTTAAAAAGGTTTAGGTTTTTTTCCTTCAGAGTTTTTTATCTCTTATAGTCTATGCTTTCCAAATGCTGTTTGAGTACAGTATTAAGACAAGACTTCTGGATTTGACTTTACAATTTGTATATTTATCTTCGCTTTATGCTGAGTAGAAAAGCAAGATACGAAAAGCTTATGAACAAAACATAAATGTAACCCTTACAAATAAGGGTGAGATGAGCCGGGTGGAGTAACACGAGGTGGTGGTAATGCATTAGGAGAAGAAAGAAGTGTTTACTGGCTGAGGAGTTTTACACTTAGTCTGCCTAATCTGTGGGCTCAGTATTCCAGCTGGACCGTTTGTTATGGGATAGTGTATCCCCTACTTTCTCTATATAAGGAGCAGGAACACTCTAAAGTGAAATAACGTGAGCATGTGATAATGTAATAGCTCACACTTGTGCCTGTTTACTTGGTGCTGTTCAGAAGGCTTGCCTTCTCCAGTGTTTTGACCTGATGCAATGGTTCTCTGTGATTTCTCACAAGAGACGTCTACAGTTGGAATTCATGAGCTAACCCTGCAGTTATTAGAAGCTCGATGTTAAAGCTTTTCAGGTTACTTAGTGTGTTGAAGTAACGACCATGAGTAAAGTTGTTTTGTGGTAATTGCAGGCTTTAACTTGTGCCTTACTGTGTGCCTTTTTAAAAAAATTTATTGATTATTGACTTTGCCTGTCACTTAGAACTGCAGAACATTGAATAGGTAAAAATGATGACTGAAGGTGACTTTTTCTTGTCTGCTAACTTATAGTTTCCAAATACTGATTTTTATCATTTTGAGTCATGGACTCTATTAAGCATATCATTAAAAATATGGAACTTTTCCATAGAAAAATGCCTTTATACATAGGAGTACACATACACACATGCTTACGTGTAACGCATAAATATTTTACAAGTAATTTCAAGGGACTTCTAGGGTCTTTCAAAGCCTTTAGGCCTGCAGAGTTCAAAGGGATTCTTTGGCACTCAGATCTTTTTAAAAACTCCCTCCATTTCTTTTCTTCAGGTGAAAGCAGCCTTTACCAGAACTTATAATAAGGAGGTCCACCTGACTCCGTACTCACTCCAGGCAGTGAAGACACCCAGACACAGCACAGGCCCGGCGCTGGACTCCGAATACAGTGAAGAGTTACCTGAAGACGACTCGCAGTCTGACGAGAAGGACCAAGACTCTATGGAGACCGATGCTATGATCAAGGTTGTGTTTTAAGCTACAGAGAGGAAAAGCTGTGATACTCCCTCAAAGTAGTTTATCTTTTCTTGTGTATAATTTGCCTTCAGAAGTTATTCAGAGAGCCTGTTTATTAGTAAGTAAAGCTGTGAAGATACTTTCAAGTATTATTGTTCATCACAGTTGAGGGTGAAGAAGATAATAGATTTTTTATAAAGTTAGCTTCATACAATGGTGGAAGAGCCAGACAGCAAGAAATCGTATTGATGGACCTACACTGTTAGAAAAGTACGATTTTTATTTATTTGATCATTGGTTTGTGCTTTACACACAGGCACACATTTTCACAGCACAACCAGGAAAAGCGTTTTCAGTGAAACCACTTCTCCCTTCTGTTGTGTTTTGCTGCAGCCACTGAACTGCCCATAGAAGTTTTCTAGAGCAAAACACCCTTGTCTTTTGCTGGGACAGGTTAAAATCACTTACAGTATCAGCCCGCTGTTTGCCGTTGGCTGAGGCAGAGGAATGCAGTGTGTATTCTCCTCTCTTGTGAGAGTATCGTTCTTGCCCCTCACTTTTGTTTTGTACGTGCAGGACTAGTGGCCTTCAGCAGTGCGGCCCTCCCTGTTCGGTCTCGTGTGCCCCTAAGAGGCTGCTTCCCCCTCTCCTCACACTGACTGTGTTTCGACTCTTGAATCGGAAACAGAAAGTCTTACCCTGCTTGTAAACTGTCTTGCTCATCTTTCCTAAATATGCCTTTGGTTTAAATCCAGGAAACTGCATACGTAAGGAACACATCTTGGTTCTAGATTCTAAATAGCTTTTTGGTTTTTACTGCTAACTTTTCAAGGCTACAAATAGCCCAATTGTTTCTTGAAAGTATGTAGATGAACCTTTTTCATTTACTCATAAACACAGCCATTAACTATTTTTTGCATCTTTTCCTCCCAACAGAAAAAGACAAAAGCTTCAAAGCCTTCAAAATCAGAAAAAGATGAGTCCAGAAAACGAAAAGGAAGAAGTGCAAAGAAATGAAACCATTTTTTACTACTGACAGTCACTTTGTACTCACCATGTTGACCAGTCTGGCTGGTCTAGAGGATGCCTTGTTTTTCCAAAGGAAAGCGAGTGGGGCAGCCGAGTGGGGTCCCATTATAAGTAAATGGTGGCACTGCTAGCAAGATGTAACCAGTAGGTGAATGTACACCTCTCATAGAGGTTGGTCGGACTGCCCGGGTCCTCCACTGGCCCCCGTCAGCCTAAGCCTGACTCGACTGTGCTGCGACGTGCCCAAGAACAGCGGTACTAAGGCGACTTGTAAGCTTAACAGTGTATCCTAACAGCCTTTATAGGCCCAATGCTGATTTTTTTAAAGCTAGTTACTATTATGTGGTGAAATTTTGTAAATAAATCATAGTACAAAACAATCACCACCTAGAACTGGATATTCTTTGAACATTGCCAGATATCTTGCAAAATATAAATTAGGAATGAAAATGTTTCATATGATACATGAACAAATTCTTAAGATTGTCATCTTGTACAGTAAAATACTATATTTTGGCTTTCCTTATTAAAATACATGGCTTTCCTTATTAATTTGCAAATGATTGGACAAAAAAAAGTTAATTTTATGACTAACTGGTAGTGGGAAACGTAACTTAGGCAGTCGAAGAGTTAGAACTCTGGATGTCCAGCCTCATCACGGCTGTGAGTGCTGACCCTGTCCCTGCTGTGCAGGGCATTCCATGGCGAGGCCTCTTTGCTGTCACTGGAGGGCGTGGGTAGCTGCGAAAGCATGGCCGGTCATCCTCATCTTTCCAGGGTCTCAGCCCATGAGGCTCAAGCCAGGGGGGCGTGCACTCACTGGGTCAGACACCTAGTCTCTCTCTGGCTGTGGGCAAGGTGAACGCTGGCTTTTGTTTACTTTGCCCCGAGAGGTCTGGTTCTGTCCTGGGACGGGTTCCACAGACCCTGTTGGAACTTTAGATTTTAACTGCACCTGCGGAGTGGCCCTCGGGCTGTGGAACTAGTATGGAATTCAGGCGTCTAGCTGTTTTTTTAATCTTGTTGGTAAATGCTCAGAGGAATATACTAAAATGAACTTGAGATCAGGATAATAATTCCTGCCTCTAAGGAACTGAGAGTCTTGTTTGGAAGGTGAGACATGCATTTAGAGTGTCTTTATCGTGTGAAAAATGTCTCTCATGTAGATTAAGTTCATTATGGGAACAGAACTTTGCCTTCAGCCTTTGGCCTCCAAGCCACTCCCCCTCCGCGTTAAAGCCTGGCCTGGAACTCCCGCCCCAGTGAATGAGGATGGCCCCCGCTGACGGCTGCCTCCCCTCGCCACTGGGATGAGCATGAGTTTCTTGAGCACTTTCACCTGTTGCCACTGCTGTCAGAGATACTTGGCTGTGTGTTCCCCAGGAAAGCGGCTATAATGTCCTTGCAGTCAGAACAAGGAAGAGTGTCCTTCACGTGTTACGTTTTTAATTATAAATGCTCTACACATGATTGGCATAATTTGTGTATAAGATAAATAACTTTTCTTTTAGACTGTAAATATGCTCTTGAAAATACGACAGAATGGGTGTGAGTCCTCTCTGAAGCCCTCGTGGCCACGAGGGGTGTGACTGAGGTGAGTGCCGGGGAGCAGTTGGTGGGTGCACGCAGTCTGGACGTGAGTCTGAGGGGTCTGTATTGGGACTGTGTATTTGTGGGGTCAACCAGTAAATCCTTGTTGGAGCCACTAGATGCCATCCATCATCTTTGCAGCATAAAACTGCACACTGTCTTTTTTGGAGATGCACTGAATGTTGGCCGTTTTGTAATCTATAGCAAAATACTGTATCTTTTGTCTTGATAAATTTTGGCGGTTCATGAACAAGGAGTGCATCGTTCTGTGTACTTCCACTCACAGATCCCCAGTGCCTGTAGCTCATAATCCTATATGCGTGTAACACCCCTGTAGTGATCGTGGAAAACAAGGAGACTAAGGGTGGGTTTGTTGGTAGTGACTCATACCACTGAGGAAGGCCAGGGCCTCTGGCTGATTCCCCAGCTAGCCTTAGGGAGGAGAGAAGAGAACAGGCTGGGCGCATCGTGCATGTGGATACTTGGATTCCCCCCTAGGCTTGTAGGCACCTCTGCAGTGCTCAGGATGCTGGTGGCCATGTTGCAAAATCATATCATCTGAAACATGCATAGTTAGGCCACATTGCTCATTTCTGTTAGCTGCTTAGACTTCGGTTACATTGGTCTTAGATGGCAAGGACACATGCAGAAAATGTATATTGGTTGGAGCCTCACAAGGCGTGTGACACGGGGAGTGCACATGTTAACTGCTGGGGGCGGACTTGGAGTGAGGCGTGCCTTTGAGGTTGCCAAATGACTTAATGGGCAACAGGAATTGCATAGTGTGCGGGGCAACAGTGCAGGACTAGATGGTGACTATAAGCTGATAGTGTCATATTCTCATATGATAGCGCATATTCTGTCAAATATTTGATTTTAGTGATTTTTGGTGTTTTTATTTAAGGACTGATTGCACTGACTAGCCTTGATTTGTGTAAACTTCTCATTTCAGACTTGTAAGTGCCCAATCTACACTAATTGCTTCAAAGTTGCCTTCCTTTCTGTTTCCAAATCCAGAAAAACATTACAAATATCTAGTTAACAATTTTATTTAGAGGACATATTTCAAAATATAAAAGTTATCAAAAAAAGCCGAATATTTACAGTTATGTCATAGGATACTATTAACAGTGCAGAGCATATAATATGAAAAGGAAATATACAAGGTGTAATAAACAGCAGTGTTACATGTTACCATTTTGTCACTCTGTGGAAGGTGAAAGTGGCAACCTGGACAGGTCACCTTTGCTTTTCCCTGTGTCCAGGAAGGACCAGCTCTAGATCCACCAGGGCATGAGCACAGCCGCCTATGGTAGATGCTGTCTCAGGAACATATCTAGAAAGCACCAGATAAACCCACATCCTTTTAGAAGGCTTTCAAATAACAACTGGCATCTAGTAATAAAGCCCAGCACACTACAGAAATTTTTTTTGCTCCTTCATGGAACATGGAGCTGGGCCATCACTGCATTCAAGTTAGAAATCTTCAGTCAGTGATCAGCATTGCATTTCAGTCTTGGCCTTGTGACTGACAAAAACTGTGTGGTCAAGCCATTGAATCCCTGTTATAAAGTGAGGCTGATAGTTACCTTACTGGGAATAGTGACAGAAAATGCAAGGTAAGTGCCCAGTAATCTGTAGAGTAAAAACTTTAACGAAATGATTTTTGAGTCTAAAAGGAGTCAATGAGCAATAGCTTCAAACAATACTCATTGTATAATAAAATACTTGTAGCGACTCTTGCAAAAAGTCGTGCCTAATCATGCACTGAGGCATGTCTGCACGTAGCTATGATACCATGGTCTAAAGCTTTAATTTCACGCAAGTGTAGACTCCAGAGAGTCTACGTAGATGATTAAAAAACACGAGGTTCTACTTTTGGCAGTGGCAGAGTTGCAAATTAATCCTCCTACAGGTAGTATTTTGTACTCAGTTATAACTAACCAGAACAACCAAAAGTATGTAGACTATTGGAAAGGTGACAACCCTTGAAAGAAAACTCGACCGGGTAAGGTCTTTATAAGCCTTTTCAGCTGAGGGTAAGTCCATTGTGTGGAACAGCTAAACTTTAAACAGTGAAGTCAGTTTTATTAGCTTGAAGAGTCAGTGCCAGAAACACTGAAAGGTGAAGGAGAGTGGCCTGGGAAGGGGGCTGCTCCAAAATCTTCATGCAAATCCTTGAACTTGACAGGCCTGCCAGACTTGAAGAAGAAGCGCAATTCCATGTTGTAGGGAGCACCATGTATCGAAAGCTGAGGGCTGCCTCTGGGAGCTTGGGGCCTCGGTCCTCTGACCAGAAAGAATAAAATTCTGCCAACAAACAGGCTGGATGAAGACTGAGCCTCAGGTGAGATTACAGCTCCAACCAACTGCAGCCTTGTGAGCCCCCGCCTGAATAGAAGACCCAGCTAAACCAGGCTTGTGAGGGTAGATCATGGGTCCAGATGGCAACATAGAAGGCTCCAGAACTACTTTCTCACAGAGACACAGTGAATCTACAGCTACAGATAGAACAGTTCCCTCTGAAAGAAATACAGGATCTAGCAAGTGACACCTATACATAAGGTGAGTGAGGAAAACACCCACGTTGCAATGGGCAAGAGAGGCTAAGAGAGTCTTGCCAAAGACCCTACCCCTAGCAAGCTGCCCCACAACTCACAGCTTCTCCCTGAGAACTTGGGCCCCACAGCTGGTACGTCGAGTTTTAAGACTTCCACCAAAGAGAGGGGCCCCTAAAACATCTAGCTTTGAAAGCCAGTTGGTCTTAACACCAATGAGAACCAGTTCTAAATGGGATTGCATGAACCTACCGAGGCTGAAACCCCAGGGCCCAGCACAGATGCAGCAGACTGAAATCCATCATCTTTCTGTGAAAGAGGCCTATTGGCTTAGCTTAAAAGATACAGCCTAAGAAGTAGGCTTGTCATTTAACATACATCTAGGGGCCAATACTCCCCAGATGTTGGGAACTGCCCTGCCTGGTATCAGAAGCTGTAACCCCTGCCAAGGCTAAGGCTGAGAGAACAACCTTGGACCGTAAGCCACCAAGGAGACAAAAGCTTATCTCCCTGGCAGGAGCGCTGCTTCTGCTTCTTCATCCATAACTGGCCCCCAATGCTTGGTTGGTTAGCCAATGATGGGTAAGATTCCCCAAGGGGGGAATGACCTAAGACAGGCACAATCACATGGGAGGCCCCCAAAGAAGGACTTTGGGGGCTACAGCAAAAGGGGGTGATGGACCCTTGCCTCTCAGCTTTGACATAGCCTGAGTCCTCATTGTCTGTGAGAAAATCTCCTAATCTTGGCTGCCTTAGTTCCCTTGCTCCACCTAAGCCTGAAACAATGACAGAGGGTGATGCACCCATGTGCTGGGAAGGGTGGGTTCCCCGGGTGATTAGGCCTAAGAAAGAATATGTAAAATCCTGTGAAACCTGCTTTGTTTAGAATGCTCTCAAATAATAAGGGTCCAAGGAAGAAGTAAGTTTGTTCCTCAAAGTTTTACAGCTCTTTAGCTATCTGACCCTGACTCAAAATAGGCCCTCAGACTTCGTTGTTATCTATTGTTTGATCCTTACTTCCTGGCAATGAGTAATGAGCTTTACCCGAATTCTTATGTAAACGAACCAAAAAAAGCCTGCTCAGGCGGGAGAACGAGGCGCTCTCCCTTAAGGGCACTCTCCCCTAGGGAGGGTGGCCATAGCGCTCCCCACTAGAGAGAGTGGCCGTTCTGCTCCTACTTCCCCACAGGACCTGGTTGTCTCTGTGTATGTTTTTCTCGTGTTTCAAGAAGCCATCCACAGCGTTCCACGGTCACTGCCGGTTGGTGGCTGCGACACCCAGAGGCTGGAGGCTGGCAAGTACCATCTACATACTCTCTCCCTGCCATGACCATGGTCTCTGGTATCTCCGAGAAAGGAGCTTGTTTACAGATTGGATGCTCTGGTTTTTGCTGCTGCTTTCCAGGGGACACCCTTTAAAATGGCACCGTTTACTTTCACAAGTCCCCCTGGACTGTAACAGAGAATATGTTCTTAACCTGCCATCCCCCTTTGGGCTCAACACAGAGGCACGGTGAGAAATGCTTATCTTAATCGTTGTGGCCTGAGGGCCCAGCTTTGAATCAGCCTGTATGCAGGTCCTGACAGGTCTTGGCATACCCTCAGCCACTGGGGGCCGCAGGAACAAGGAAGGCCACTTAGACAATCACAAAGGTTTGAGAGAGGACCGAGAGCTACGGCAGGCCTGGATGAGGCTCACTCCCTGCATGAGAGCACTCCTTGACTGGCAGGGGTGGCTGTTTTCTCTAAGGCACAGACACCAACACAGAGTCAAGGAAAATGAAAACATATGTTTCAAGTGAAAGAACAAGATAAACCCACAGAAAAATAACTTAAAGAGGAGATAAATGATTGATAAAAAGTTAAATTGTCATAAAGATGCTCACCAATTCAGGAGAAAAATGCGTGAAGTGAGAATTTCAACAAAGAAAATACATGAAAGTAGCAAACAAATTAGACATGGGGAGTACAATGACTGAGCTGGAAAATGCAACAGAGAGGTCCAGCATCAGAGACCAGGTGAAGCAGAAGAAAGCACCAGCACACTCTAAGGGCAGTGGGACTCGTTCAGTCAGAACAGCAAAAGAAGAAGAGAACGTCACTGCTTAAGGGACTTTGGGGATAACATCAAGCCAGACAGTATTTGCATTGCAGGGGCCCCAAAGAAGAATAAACAGAAATGGGCAGAAAACTTATTTGAAGAAATAATGGCTGAAAACACCCCTACCCTTGGGAAGGAACAGACATCCAGACCCAGGAACTCAGTTGCAAACAAAAGGAACGGAAAGAGATCCACACCAAGACACGATGTTACTGGGCTGCCAAAAATTAAAGACAAGGAGAGAATCTTAAAAGCAGCAGAAATACAAGGGTGCTACATAAGACTTAGATTTTCAGCAGAAACTTTGCAGGCCAAAAAGTAGCATGATATATTCAAGCATGATAAATTCTGAAAGAAAAAAAGGACAAAGGATACTCTCTAACTGGCAAAGCTATATCCACAATTGAAGGTGAAAAGAGTCTTCCAGACGAGGAAAAGCTAAAGGAGTTCATCACCAGCCTTACAAGAAATATTAAGAGGACTTCTTGCCCTGGCTGGGTGGCTCAGTTGGTTGGACCATCATCCCATACACCAACAGGCTGTGGGTTTGATTTCTGGTCAGGGCACATACCTAGGTTGTGGGTTCAGTTCCTCGTTGGGGCACATGCAGGAGGCAGCTGATCAATGTCTCTGTCCCCCTCTTGCCTCTCTCTAAAGTCAATAAAATCATATCCTCCAGTAAAGATGGGGGGGGGCCCAAGCCTGTGTGGCTCAGTTGCTTGGAGCATCATCCAGTACACCAAAAGGTTGCAAGTTCAATTCCTGGTCAAGGCATATACCTAGGTTGTGGTTTCAGTCTGCAGTAGGGGCACATGCAAGAGGCAATTGATTGATGTTTCTCTTTCACATCGATGTTTCTCTCCCTCTCTGTTTCCCGCCCTGCTACCCTCTCTCTAAAATCAATAACCATGCCCTCTGGTGAGGATTGGAAAAGAAGATTTCTTATAGCTAAAATTAAAAGGGCACAAATTAACAGGAATACTAAGGAGAATGTAAATCTCAATGGTGAAAGTAAATACATCAGTTCAGAATAACCTAATGTAATGGTGATGAGTTAATCACTTATAAATTTATGAAGCTTAAAAGACAAAACTAGTAAAAGTAACTACAACTACAGTAATTTGTTACAAGATATACCACGTGATAAACAGATGTAAATTGTGAAACCCCCCAAAAAAAATTGTGTGGAGAGAGTAGAAATGTAGAACTTTAGAAGGTATTTGAACTTCAGTTCTTACTAACTTAAAATGGACCTGTACGATGTTTCATGTAAGGCTCATGGTATTCACAAAGCAAAACCTATAGCAGATAACACAAAAGATAGAGGAATGAATCCAATGATACCACCACAGAACATCAAATCACAAAGGGAGAGAGCAAGAGAAGGAAGGCACAAAGGAATTACCAAACAGCCAGAAAACAATTGGCAAAATAGCAGTAAGTCCATACCTATCAGTAATTATTTTAAATGGACTAAATTCTCTGAGCAAAAGACACAGAGTGGCTGAAGGGATAACTGGAAAACTCACAACTATGACTCAACAAAATGTCACTGAACAAACCAATGGGTCGAAATCCAAATAAAAAAAATAAAAAATACCTGGAGACAAATGAATATGGAAATACAACATACCCAAATTTATGGTAAATGTAGCATAAGCAGGTCGAAAGGAAAAATCCATGATAAATGCCTACATTTAGAAACAAGATCTCAACCCAATTTGACACCCCGAGGAACCAGAAAAAGAAGAAAAAGCTACGTCCAAAGTTAGAGCAGAAATAAACGAAAGACTAAAAAAGATCAGTGGGACCAAGAGCTAGTTTTTTTTTTTTTTTTTCTAAACAAAATAGACAAACCTTTAGCCAGATTCGCCAAGAAAGAAGAGTCAAACTCAGGAGTGAAGGAAGACACATTGCAACTGATAACACAAACGCAAAAGACGGTTAAGAGACTTCCGGCCAAGATGGAGGCGTAGGTAGACACACTGTGCCTCCTTGCACAACCAAAAGAAGGACAACAATTTAAAAACAAAAAACAACCAGAACGGACAGAAAATTGAACTGTATGGAAGTCTGACAACCAAGGAGTTAAAGAAGAAACATTCATCCAGACCGGTCGGGGGGGGGGGGTGGAGATGTGCAGGCAAGCGGAGAGGACTTGCGGCAAGGTAGCAGCTAGTGGAGCGGGCGGTCCCACGTTCGCACGCAGGCAAACCAGGAGGATCAAATGGGGAACGAGAGAGACCGCACGGCCCAGAGCTTCAGCTCAGGGAAATAAAGCCTCAAACTGCTCATTGAAAACTCCTGTGGGGGTTGAGGTGCTGGGAGAAACTCCCAGCCTCTCAGGAGAGTTTGTTGGAGGGACCCACATGGTCCTAGAGCATAACACAAACCCACCCAAATGCGAATCAGCACCAGAAGGGCCCGCTTTGTTTGTGGGAAGCAGGGGAAGTGACTGAAATCTGGCAGAGAGCTGAGCAAGTGCCATTGTTCCCTCTTGGACCTCTTCCCCACATACAGCATCACAATGTAACAGGGTGCAGCTAAGGGGGGTGGGGCGGCAAATAGCGATTTGGAATGGGGTCCAGAACTCAAGGTGTCCAAGAAATACTAGGATGTCCTAACCCCCCACCCCCCGCACAGGTGTGGGTTGGGGGAAGGGACAAATGGAGCAGGGCCATTGAGAGCTGTTTTGCATAGCAACAGCTTTGCAGTAAATCTCTGGTGTGGTCATTTAACACATCTATAACCTTTAGTTGGTTACATAGATATGTTAAATAGCTGTAGCCATGCTTTGAGCCAGGGGGATGGAAGTAACTTCCCCACCAAGATGTAACTGGGGGCAGGTCCCCCAAGTTACAGCACCTGTGTGGGAGCTTGGAGAAGATTGGCTCTATGACATGGGGCCACGCCTGCCCAGACTCACGATGGCAGCCCCGTAAAGCTGGAAGGATATGAGAGTGCTGGCAAGTGCAGCCAATTATGGGAGGAGTCAGAAATCGGGCTGCAGAGGAGGATTGGCGTGGTGATTTAAACAGAGACGTGGCAGCTATAGAAGGGAGAATCATGTGGTTTGGCAGAGTGAGGACTCCCACGGCCGTTGTGCAGAGAGGAGCACTTGGCTGTAGGAATAGAAAGGAGAACCACATGGCTGTGGATATGTAAGAGAGCCCCGCAGCTTTAAAAGGGGGAACCACCACCCGGCTTAAGCAGAGATCCCGGTGACACAGCTGATGGTGCCAGGAACTGAGGGAGGCCTACCAGCTGAGACGGATTACTGGGAAGAACCAGGGGCTGCCTGAGCCACGGACTTCCATTTCTTTTCCTGAGATACGGTACCCCAGACTGGGCAAAGGGGGGGAAGGAAGGACTGTGTGTGTTTCTGGGTGTTTTAAGGGACTTTGGGATTTTGATGAAGACATTAGGTCACTACTTTAAGTCTATATAGCATTAAATAAACATTTCCTTTCCTTTTCACGAATCTCTGGCATTGAGAGATGTCCTTCCTATAAGGCAGCGGACATAACGAACCTGGGGGGTTCCTTTCAGTAATAGTATATTGCCTTTGGCGCCCCCTTGTGTTCCGTAACAAAAATGCAGCGACGTGGGTTGCCCTGCCCGGGTGAACATCTAAGGCTCCGCCCCAAACTACATAGCAGCCACGCAAGGAAAAAAAAATGGCGCAAATGAAAGAACAGATCAAAGCTCCAGAAAAAATACAACTATGCGATGAAGAGATAGCCAACCTATCAGATGCATAGTTCAAAACAATGGTAATCAGGATGCTCACAGAAATGGTTGAATTTGGTTGCAAATTAGCTGAAAAAATGAAGGATATGCTCACAGAAATGGTTGCATTTGGTCGCAAATTAGCTGAAAAAATGAAGGATATGCTAAGTGAAATGAAGGAAAATGTACAGGGAACCAATAGTGATGGGAAGGAAATTGGGACTCAAATCAATGGTGTGGACCAGAAGGAAAAAAGAAACATTCAACCAGAACAGAATGAAGAACCAAGAATTCAAAAAAATGAGGGGAGGCTTAGGAACCTCCGGGACATCTTTAAACATTCCAACATCCAAATTATAGGAGTACCAGAAGGAGAAGAGAAGAGCAACAAATTGAAAACTTATTTGAACAAATAATGAAGAACTTCCCCAATCTGGCAAAGGAAACAGACTTCCAGGAAGTCCAGGAAGCTCAGAGAGTCCCAAAGAGGTTGGACCCAAGGAAGAACACACCAAGGCACATCATAATTACATTACCCAAGATTAAAAATAAGGAGAGAATCTTAGAAGCAGCCAGAGAAAAGGAGCGAGTTACCTTCAGAGGAGTTCCCATAAGACTGTCAGCTGATTTCTCAAGAGAGCTTACAGACAAGAAGGGGCTGACAAGAAGTATTCCAAGTCATGAAAGGCAAGGACCTACATCCAAAATTACTCTATCCAGCAAAGCTTTTATTTAGAATGGAAGGGCAGATAAAGTGCTTCTCAGATAAGGTCAAGTTAAAGGAGTTCATCATCACCAAGCCCTTATTATATGAAATGTTAAAGGGACTTACCTAAGAAAAAGATGATAAAAAAATATGAATAATAAAATGACAGAAAAATCACAGTTATTAACAACCACACCTAAAACAGAAGCAAAAACAAGCTAAGCGAACAACTAGAACAGGAACAGAACCACAGAAATGGAGATCACATGGAGGGTTATCAGCAGGGGAGTGGGAGGGGGAGAGAGGGGGAAAAGGTACAGAGAATAAGTAGCACAGATGGTAGGTAGAAAATAGAAAGGGTAAGAACAGTATGGGAAAAGTAGAAGCCAAAGAACTTACATGTATGACACATGGACATGAACTAAAGGGGGGGGGGAATGTGGGTGGGAGTGGGTGTGCAGGGTGGAGGGAAGTGAAGGGGGAAAGTGGGACAACTGTAATAGCATAATCAATAAAACATATTAAAAAATGGTAAGAGACTCTTATGAAAATTATATGCCAACAAACTGGACAACCCGGAAGAAATGGACTAATTCCTAGAAACATACCACTTACCAAGACAGAATCATGAAGAAACAGAAAAGTCTGAAGTGACCAGTTACTAGTAAAGAGAGAATCAGTAATCAAAAACCTCCTGACAAACAAGTCTAGGACCGAATGGCTTCACTGGTGAATTCTACCAAACAGAGATAAGTTACGGTCCAGCTGGGATCCCGTAATGCTGCCTGGACTACAACCGCAGTCACTATGGAAACAGCACAGCCTGTATTACAGCATTAAACCTGACTAATGACGCAACTCACAAAAGGAGCCAATGCGAACACAAACTGTGAGGCTGTGTGGACTCGGGCCTCTTGTGCCCTGGGAAGCTGAGTGGACGGCCTGGCCCTTACCTGCACACTCCACTTACTGCTCCACCTCGGTTCGCAGGTACTGGGTACAGTCCGGAATCTTTTTCAGTTCAGCGAAGTTTAATCTTTCTGAACACATGGGACACGTGCTTTCAGTGTTTAACATGCTGTTTGGGGGAGGAAAGGCAGAATAGGTTACATATATACTATTTCTTTTCCTTTGGGTTATTCTAGTGGGAAGAACATCTATTCCTGTCTACATCTTTTAGTACTGTTCATCATGCAGTTTAAGAACTAGGGATACTTAAAAAATTAGGAATCTTTAGTCTCCTAGACCCCTTTAGGGGTCCCTTTAATGACGATGTTTTCAAAGGTCATAGGTTCTCCTAAGAAGACAGTGTGAGCCTCGAGGAGGAGCATGAACAGAGGAGACTCCAGGCGAGGAGTGGCTGAGTGGAGGCCGTGTTCGGACAAGTCTGACCCGATGGGCGGATGCACACTTACACCTTAAATTCCGAGTGCAGAGCAGGGAAGTCGCAGTGCGGGCACACTGTCCAGTCATCCTTCAGCATGTGTCGGCCCTGGGAGGGGTACACTTCGGAGTAAAAATTTGCCTTTATTTTGAACACCCCCCACCATTATTCAGTTATAATAATGGGGTTACAGTTAAAAGCCAGCCCTCTAAATTATGAAATTATTGATAGTTAATCTAGGCGGTAATTGATTAGAAAGAGATGGCATCAAAAGGACTAAAGCCAGAATGTATTTGTCAGATTCACGTGTAAAAGAATAGCCTTCGACTTTGAGAAATTATCTGAATTGCAAGGTAAAGCAAATTGCAGCAGGTTATTCAGTCAGTAAATGGCAGAGAAAGGATTTAAGCCAATGTGATCCCCAAATGTGTGGTACGTTGCCCCATTGTACATACTCACTCAAACTATTATATGCTCTGAATATAATGTTCAACTTTGTTAACCATAAAATTATATGCTAAACGTTGCAGGACATTTGAGGGATTGAGATTTCAGAAGTGAGAAAAATGCTGCCACTCACCGTGTATTCAAATGGGTTATAAATAGATATGCAAAGGAAGGGAAATTATTGTAAAGAAGCTTACTGTTGCAATGCAATATGGGATATTGTTTTTACATCCAGGACAGAGGAGTTCAAATTCCGGGAGAAGAAATTTACAGAATGGACACGGGGTGGTGGTCTCTTCTATCTCGGATGTATCGGGTCTCCTGTGAGGAAGAATCACATGGCACTTAAAAACAACCCTTCATTTCCCATGTCATGTGGACAGCAGAGAAAAGGCGTATTTGGAAAACTGGGAACATGAAGCACACCTACCTCTCCCTAGACTCTGAGACGAGAGAGACTTACAATCGGCCCACATCCAGCTCCAGGAGGCAGAAGAGCAGCTGGGATTGGTCCGACTGCAGCGTTACATGGGCCACTTTGGGGAGCTGGAGTTTGGGGCACGTTAAAGGGCAGCAAACACGGGTGGGTCCTGCTCGCCTCTCTTCCTGTGTATTGGAGTGGTGAGCGTGTTCCTGCCCCTGTCTCGCCCTTCTGTCCAGCAGAATGTTCTGTGACAATGGCCATGTTCTAATTCTGTGCTGTCCAATATGGTTGTCCAGCCGTGAGCCACATAATGTTTTTGAGCTCTTGAAATGTGGGTAGTGTGAGGATCTAAACTTTACATTTAATTTTAATTCATTTAAATTTAAATAGCAACACGTAGCTACAAGATACCGTATTAGATAGACCTCATGGCAACAGAGCCCTCTTGCGTTGGGAAAGAACACCTAGCACCTCTTCCAGCTGGGGCCTAGCGCAGCCCAGTGCTAGGCTGCTGGGTAGATGTTCCCTAGCGTGGTCTCCCCACCTCATTCACCATATGGGCAGGTGAGGCGGGCCAGTCTGAAAAAGGGAGCGTTTGTTCCACGTAGCCCTACCCAGCTTAGAGATCTCTACCATGAGGGTCAGCCCAAGCCCAGCTGACAGTGAGGTGGTGTTGCTTCTCTCGGCCATTACCAGTGCAGCCCTCTCCCTTGGCTATAGTGACCAACATCCAGACAAACCGGGGTCCTCTGGTCAATGCATCTAACAGGAACCCCGAATGTCATCACTGCGTTGAACAAGAGGTAGTATGGAGTTACTATATGATCGCAGTTTCTCCTTGAGTAAACACTAGTGCTACTCTTCCCTGGTGTTTCTTTGGAAAACCAGCCTCCTTATTGCTTTGTGAAGCGAGAACATGCCTTATGTGCCTTTGGATCTCCACAGGCCCAAAGGGTTTGGAAATGAACTCTCTTCTGGCAATGGGCTGTGCAGTCTCCAAGTTTCTTACACTGAGAAACAGTCACTATCTGTCCATCTGTGGCGGACACTGCTGCCTCTGTAACAGCCGATCGTCCTTGCCAACTGAACTTTGTTTGGACCCAACAGTGCTTTGCAGCTAAAGGCAGCCAAGTGGCAGGGTGCTGGCCAGGGAGACGGAGATGGATTCCTGGGGGAGTGTCCTTTCTAAAAGGCAAAGATCTTTTCATTTTTGAATCTCCCTCTTCTTCCCTCATCACATTCCTGCCTTGCACGGGAATACGATGTCTGCGGCTGTGGCAGACCACCAGAACCGTGCGAGCACGAGGACCAGACGTCTATGGGCCAGATGGCAAAGCTGGAAGACAGAGGGATCTGTCCGTGGTGCCATCGGGACCCGGTGGCACCAGCCCTGGACTGCAGCACCTTGTGCACGAGTCGGTAACTCCCGACTTGTTCCAGCCATGCTGGGTTTTCTGCTGCTGGCAGCTGAGTACAATCCTCAGTGCTAGCCCCCGCCCAACCATTTCTACCGAGCCTGCACACGAGCAGCTGCATTCTGAAAAAGGCACCTGTGAACTGATTAGGCAGGGAAGCCCCTCTCATCACCTACCTGACCATTGCCTCAATCTTCTTTTTGTATTTGGCATCTATTTTGTTGCGGTACTCGGGCCTCATCAACATCGCTGCGAAGCTGAAAGCGGAGTTCTTCAGGCCTGCTCGGTGACACTCGATGACAGTCGACGTCAGGATCGGCACGATGTCTGCAATGCAAACGGGGCAGCAGGGAGCACAGTGCCTCTGCTGGCATCGCTCTGGCCCTGGCGAAGAGCCGGGGTCTGTGTAACGAGGAGCGGTCCGGCCGCCTCTCACCAGTGTGCCTCCTCCCTGGCTGTGCCGTGCTCCGCCTGCCTCGGCCCCCGGGCCTGCACCCCCCTGGGGCCCCTTTGCGTGTGTCCTCCCACACCTGACGTGCATTTTTGCACCTGACGGGACTGCTGGTGGGAGGGATGTGCTAACCTCTCTGCATGTATTCTGTTTCTTCAGGACAGACACCTAGAAGTAGAATTACTGGCCCAAAGAACGTGACCTTTAAAAAAATTCTCTTAGCACAAATTGCCCAACCGCCTTCTAGAAAGGCCGTACCAGTATTTACTCCCACCAGTGGTTACAAGTGCCTGTCCTATCGCACAAACCATTGGCCAGCATGGTGAACAATTAGTTTTAAGTCTTTTTCACGTAACAAAAGAGAACTCATTCAGGGGACAGGCACTGGTGCATTACGGCCAGTGGGCCGAACCTGGCCCTCTGTTGCTGTATTGCCCATGAGCGAAGAAAGGCTTTTACGTTTCTAAATGGTTGAAAAAAAATCAAAATATTTTGTGAAAAACATGAGTTCCAGTGTTTAAAAAAAATAGTTCTGTCGGAACGCAGCCACGCTCGTCTGTCTGCATGTGGGTCAAGCCCGCGCAGCAGAGGTGAACAAGCAGCGGTGACGGTCACACAGCCCACAGAGCCCCGGACGTCTGACACCTGACAGAAAAGTCTGTCGACCCACGTTACAGAATGTGATGAAGTCTGCTCACTGAAGAACGTTGTGATGGCATGTCTTTTAGAATAATGGGGCCCTTTTTCAGAGGTGATGGCCTACTGACTTACTGGCTGCCAGTGTAATCTTGGGCAAGAGTTACCTGACTTCTTTTGCCCCAGTCTGCTCATCTGTAAAACGGGGGAAGTAGTGAGAGTGCCCGTGTGTGCGGTCTGGAGACCATTATCCTTAGAAACACCTGCCGAGAGGCCGGTCCTTGGCAGGCACCCGGGAATTTGGATTTCTGGAGGCGTTCCTGCCGTTCCAGGACTGACACGAGTGGCCACTGCGCCTACACTCTTCGCACAAGCCATGTGGTTGTACTGAACACCTGCTCTCCGGGAGTCTGGAAATTTCGGTACGTGCTAAGCAGGGGGTCCCTGTGTGACCAGCCCCCAGTACGACCCCCGGGGACCTAGTCACCTTTGACATGTGTGGTCACACAACTCACTCCTGGAGGCCTTACGTGCGCCCTGTGTGACTGACCCCACGTGGGGGCCCTTGGAAGCTCGCACCTGTTGCCCAGACTGCAGCCAGGCGCTTCCCCCTTTGCCCGTTTCCCTGTGCCCCTTCGCTGTGGTCAGTCGTAGCCTTCAGCACGACCACAGGCTGAGTGTGTGAGTCCTGGTGAATCGTTGAACCCGTTACACGGCTTCACGAGGCTGCTCTGGGGGTTAACGAGCTCGTATGCGTGGATGGAGCACAGTGGCTGGCAGAGTTGGTGGGGCAGGCCTCCCCGTGCGGAACGCTGCGCTGACGCGCAAGTGTGGGCGACGGCGCTGCTCGGTACTCACGTGACGGGAACTTGCTGATGTTGTTGGCCACCCGGATAAGCAAACGTGCCCCCTTCATGTGATCTCCGTTTTTAACATGAATCTGAAACAAACAACACACTCTATACTTTCCTTAGATACTCTGGTTAACCCTAATTCATGCTTTACTCCTCCAAATAAACAACTCCTTGATTGTGACCCTGAATGGGGTCATGCGATCCTTGCAGACTCACTTGGCTAATGCCCCTGGGACTTCGCCCCTCCCAGCAGTACTGTGGCCCCACGGCCTCACCCCTACTCTACACTGCACTTTCTACCGTAGGCTGGACCATGTGCCGTGAGTTCAAACCCCTGGCCCATCATTACTGGCCAGCACTCAGGGGCTAATAATACCTACTTTTACCAGGTTGCTGTGAGCCCTGAAAGCTGTTAGTGGGCAGGGAGAGGGGGTACATGGTTAAAGGAAGAGGGCACGGTCTGCCATAAGCAAAGGCAACGATGGCCAGAGGCACCTGGGGTTAGGTAAATACAGGCGGGGTCTGTGATGCAAGGAGGGGGTACACTTAGGCCATGAGGCTGGAGAACTGCTGGCTGGGCCCTGGGGCCCCTGCAGGCATCGGGGGAGAGGAGGTAACCCACAGGGTGGGGCCGTGGGAAGGGAGAGGACCGGGCAGACTGGGAGTCAGAACTGGTGTTCGGTCAGAAAGTGAAGGCTGGGTATGCGATGACTCAGGCATCGGGTCTGAGCGAATGGTGTATAGTTTACCAAGCACTGCAACAGGATAACAAATATTATCAAATAGTAATGCACGGCAGGGAAGCCCTGGCTGCTGGTCCTCCCTCACCCTCTGTTATTTATGGGCCTCAGGCTGCCCAGCTCAGCCGCCCACACCCAAATATCCTGGCTGTCCTTCAGCCAAACTCTCTGTCCCCGCTCCGGGGAGGAAGCATCTGCCAAAGCTGTCTCGATTTTCCCTGGAATGTGGATGACTCCAGTCCTTTCGGCCCAAGATGCCTGTGACATTTCTGCATCAATTTGTTCTTAATAGGATCTGTTAGTTTCCCTTTAATATCACAAGCAGTTAGAAATCCTAGAAAACCTTGAAAGTGCTTGGTGCTTGCATAGGGATGAGAGCAGAAAGGGAGGTCACGAGGGGGCTCCTCGGTGGGAGGAGGGGGCCAATCTGATGGAGGTGGCAGGCCAGCTCCTGGGGCCAGAGGAAAAAAAAAAGACACGAGAATACCGCCCCCCACCCCAGGCTAATGGGGGTAGAAAGCCCTGGTCCTGGAGGGGCTTGTACAGAAATCCCTATATTTGCTCCTCATCTCCCACCAGCTTGTTTCTGTCCTCCCTTTGACCTCTAAGGACCCCCATTTTGCTGGATTGTGTGCCCCAAGGACACTGGCACCACCACTCCTGTCTGAGGCTGGAAAGACCTCCCCCCCTTTCTATTCCTTTCTGTCTGAGGGGCCCCACTACTGCTCCAAAAGGAAATATACTCTGGGGGTTGCACGTTGGAACTAAAAATTCCCCTTATAACCAGTGTTACAGATCTGTGAGGTTTAACATGGTCACCACCAGCTACATGTGGCTACTTAAATTTAAAAATAAAAAAGCTAGTTTATCAGTTCCACCCACACCAGCTGCACTCCAGGTGCCGCAGAGCCAGGCCAGCGGCTGCCATGTTGCCCAGCAGACACGGAGCATGTCCACCTGTGCAGACAGGGCTGCTGGACGGCATCCGCATAGACGGGGACCAGGGTCTCAATTGGTACAAGACCACACGGTGCTGGGTGCCTTCGGAGTTAAATTAGCTCATGTGGTCCGGCCGGACAGCTGGCATTAATAAGGGGAGATGTACTTGGACACACAAGAAAATCTGGAAAAATGAGTGAGTTGGAGTGTGCATAATGCGGTGACCACAGTTACTGATGTTGCAGAGCACACTTGGAAGCCCCGGACTTGCAAGTGAGCTCTGTACGGTGGTGGGTGCTCACTGGACTGATGCGGTGGTCACTCTGCAGCTGGACAGACACCGAATCACTACGGTGACACCTGAAACCAGCGTGACCTGTCAGTTCTACCTCAATCAAGTTTGTTTACAAAAAACTGGTGGAACTGTATAAAATCCATTATCTTAGAAAAAACTAGCAAGCTTGGGTTAAACAAAAATGTTTTTGGTAAGCCTTGGCTGGCGTAGCTCAGTGGATTGAGCTCGGGCTGTGAACCAAAGTGTGGCAGGTTTGATCCCCAGTCAGGGCACATGCCTGGGTTGCAGAACATGACCCCCAGCAAGCGCACATTGAAAAAACCAAAAACGTTTTTAGTAAATCTGTTTTTGACCAGCTAACGCAGTCATAGGCTTCGAAACGGAAAACGAGGTGCAACAGACACACAGAGACTCCTCCCGCCCCTCCCACTCCTCCTGCCGAGCCCCGCCTCCTTGACACCCGCCGAGTTTCCTTTAGAAAGCTGCTTCTGCTAGTTTTAAAAATACGTATATGTTTCGAATTTTATTTGAAATGAACATATATTACTTTTTGCTTTTTTGCACACAAAAGGCGGCCCACTGCATAATGACTCTGTATCTAGCGTTTCTCACCTAAGAACAGAGAGATTGAGGAAATCCCTCCGGTGGACAGAAACCCCTGCCGATGCGCACACACACACACACACACACCCGTATACACGACTGAGGTTCTATCCCCGGCCACGCAAGGGCCTCACCTTGACGAGTATATAGCTGTGCAGGATCATGAGGTTGGTGGCCATCTCCGAGGGAATTTTGATCTTCTGGGATTTAAGTTCTGCATACATGCTGAAGAGAACGTCGTGTGCGTTCCGATAGTTTCCTTGAAAAGGGGAGGTAAAAGGACACGTTGAAGGGGAGGAATTCTGAGGACTTTCTATGGGCCCTCATTTTATAAACGGCTCACTTATGTTATTGGCAGTATCCTAATAACTTTTTACCCAAAGTAACTGAGTAGTTTTTCCTACCGTAACGGATGGCACTAATATTGAGCCTCAGGAACAAAATGGTGGTGTCATCCTAGACGTCTCCCTCTTCCTCGGGGCACCTACCTGGCTCCAAAGTCCAAGGGGTCGCCAAGTTCTGGGTCTACCTTCTGCGTCTCCCAAATCCAGCCTCTCTTCCCGGGCCCCCGCCCCAGCTTCCTGCCAGCTGCTGCAGGGGCGCACTAACCGGTGCTCCCCAGGGGTGTCGTCTGCCTCCCTTCTGAGGTCAGTGTTCCCGTGAAAACCACAAACCTCGCCCCACGCCCCGAAACCTGGGGGCCACACCCCTCCATAAAACCCTTCTCAGGCCTGAGTGGAGCTCTTCAGCACCCCCTGTGATGCTGAGCTATTTCTTTCACTTCTCTGAGAATAAAACGGTCCCCTCCCCAGTCTTCGTGGTGCAAAGCAAGCCTAGATTAGCATCGGCTGCTCTTCCCCGGGTGGAGGGTGGTTTGGGGAGAGAAGCACGAACACCGGGGACCCACCCGCAGACTGCTCCTCCCGGGCGATGATGATGGCCGTCCGGGCGGCCTCTCGGTACTGCTTCAGGGCCATGTACAGGCGGAACAGGTACTTGGCGTCCTGCCGTACAAACCATTAGAGAAGCGTCACACTCTTCGTTAGCTAAGGAGGGAAACAGCTAAAATTTTGCATTTCAGTTAGGATCACATTCGCTTTCCAGTAACTGACGGTGGATACTGTTTTTAAAGAACCGAATGAACACAGAATTAGTTTATCAAATATTTATTTAGAGTTAAGATGTGCCAGGTAGTATTCTAAGTACTTGAGAAATATTAGCTCATTTAAATATTCACGCCCTCCCTGGGAGGAAGGCGCAACTGCATGGTTCCATTTGACCGAAAACCCAAACGTCACCGGACCTCCCCCAGGGGCCGTGCTCCTGACGCTGCTCCACGGAGCTCGCTCTCACACGCTGAAAATGAGATGTGCTCTCACACAAGGTAGCAGCTTAACAAAATTTAAACATTTTTACACCTATATGAATTCCTCTGGCCTAAAGGATTTTCTCTGGCTTTCGAATATTTTCGATTTCTGTCCTCCTGAACTCCAGACAGTTTCACCTACTCAGTGCTGTTTCCTGGTCACTTTTGGTTAGCGGAGGGAAGGTGCGGGGGTTTAGAATGGCTTAAGGGCCCGAGCCCTCTGACAGGCTGGCCTGGCCTCCCTGGGTCTAAGGACCGTTTGTCTCTAAGACACAGGTACAGGTTTGAGGATCAGTTTGAGGATTGGGGCTGTTACAGTGCTCTCCAGGTGCGACACTCCAGCCCCTTCTCTCCAGATCTGTGACTTGAGTTCCTTCACAAACAGATCCCTTTGAACTCCAGAGCAAAAGGGTTGAAAAAGGAAAAAGGCCCGGGAGCATCTCAGAGGCGTAGGCATCTGCCCTGCACCGGGACTGAGAGGAGAGACTGACTTCTGCCCGAGCTCCAGGAGTCGCTTACTTTGAAAACTAGATTCCTAATGGCTTATTGTTACTTTCTATTTCTAGTGAGTTACTTTTATGCTAAATATGATATCTATTAATTCCCATAATGTTTGAAATAGGAACAAAATACACTAATTTTTAGGAATTAGTGCTAAGTCATGGTTCTGATCATTATTTCTCATGGTCCTAGAATAAATAAAACTCTATGACAACATTGGGAAAGTGGTGGGCGGTGAGATTTGTTACCTGGAGGGATGTGGGTATTTCACAGGCTGCAATGCTAATTATTTCAAAGACAGAACGTACCCAGGAGCCTCTGAGGTGCAGGGTCTGCCTGGCTGACCTGAGGCTACATTCAGAGAGAATTTTGTAAGTCTATGATGCAAGAGCCCTAGCAGGTGAAAAACAAGGCAGGTAAGGTGAAATCTGCCTCAGACACTCGAAAGCCCACGTGAAGAAAACAGTAAGTACCTTGGGCATGCCATCGCTCTCCCCCATGAGGTGGTCTATCAGCTGGCTGGTCAGCAGCTCGTCCTTGGCCTGACCGACCTGTTTAGGGGGAGAGAGGAAGAGTGGATTCAGATCTTAAACCTGAAGGAGGTGGGGGAGAAGACAAATAAGCAAGTCAAGTTTAAAAACATGCAAAAATTCCTATTGTCAAGTGCCCAAAACATAGCTCAGGGTCTTTCTTCATTTCATTTGTGGAGTCGCCATTAATAAAAATCTGTCCTTAAAAACTGTAGCTTTTTAAAGTTGCTTTATCAAAATATTGTTTTTTTTGTTTTTGTTTTTTACACACAGAGAATATGCTTTTTGGACGTTTCAGTAAAAACTTTTAAGGAGCACAGGGAGCCCTGGCTGGGCGGCTCAGTTGGGTGGAGCACTGGCCCGAACACCGAGAGGCTGTGGGTTCGATCCCCGGTCAGGGCACATGCCAGGGGGTGTGTCCCACCCCCGAGCAGGGCGCATGTGGGAAGCAACCAGTCGATGTTTTTCTCTTACCCTCTCCCTCTTCTCTCTCCAAAATCAATAAAACATATTCTCGGGTGAGGATTGAAATAATGTAGGGAAAGAAGGTAGGGGTATGAACAAAATAAGACCGGCCATGTGTTAGTAATAGCTGTTGAAGTGAGCTAGTGGGTAAATGAGAGTTTATTATACAGTTTGGTCTACTTTTGTATGTTTGAGAATCTCCTCAAAAAGTTTTTTTTAAAAAATATTGGCTTTCTTGAAAGTTTCATTACAGTTTACTTACAGTTTCAATTGCCATTTCTATTGCTGCATTATCTTCTGAGCTTGGACATTTTAGGAAGTGTTTAAGTGCCTGAAATGAGAATTGTATAGCAATTAAAAATCTTTGGACTGCTTCACATTGAGAAAAACAAAGCCTGCACACACACAAAGTAATCCTAGTTTGTGCAAGTATCTTCATCTCAATTAGGGGTGTGCACCGTGCTGGATCTTAAAATATACAAAGGGCTCAATACAGTTTAAAATAGAAGGACCCAATTAACACTCTGAAGAATCTAGTTCTTATTTCTGATGAAATCAAAATAAAAACGTACCCTCTTTCAGTAGGAAGATCTGTTTTCATTCATACACTCATTCCACAAATATTTACGGACAAGCTGCTACTATGTATGTGAGACCGGGCCAGAGGCTGTCCGGACGACCGGGAAGGACGTGACGTGGTGCCTTTCTGTACTACGTGCAATCTAATCGGGGTGATGTGATGTGATAACATAAAGGACCACTTATTTTAAGTTATAACCGTCTAATTCCTGAACATCATACCACCACACCTACAAAGAAATTTAAGGTTATAACAGCTCAAAAGACTGTGGTAAGTGGGGAGGAGGGCACTGGGGACCCGAGTAGGGAGGCAAAGATGGGAAGAGGTGAGTGCGAGTGAGGATTCTTCCACAGAAAAGCTGGATGGCAGACTGGGAAGCTCGGGCTGGCTGGTCCAACTGTGCAAGGCGTCTGAATTAGTACTGGAGAGGCCGAAACAGCAAATCGATGGCCTGACGGCAAATTCACACACACACACACACACACACACACACACACACACACACACACTGACTGCTGTTCTGAAAACATCTGTGCCATACTTTAAAACTGGGAGACTCAGACTTCTGTTTCTTGTTAAAAGTCAGATGACCTGGCCGACTGGGCCCGGACTCCCGAGTTGCGGCAATGGTCTTGGGAGGTGAGCAGCAGCCACTCCCTTCGGACAAAGCAGGTGCCACCCCGCAGTTCCAGTCCGGCCACACATGGACACGCAGCGTTACCCCCAGCGCCCCTTGTTTACACTCTCGCGTGAGCACGGTGACCTCTGCCTGAGGGGCCCTAAGCACGGAAAGCACCATTTCCAGAACAAAGTATCACTCCTTCAAGAAGTGATACAGAGAGAAAAGAAAAACAGGCAACTGTTGCAATAATTTAAAGTGAGGTGACCTGGGTTTGGGTTAGGTTGACGGCAGGCAGAATGAAGACGGGCAGGTGGGAGAGGCACCATGAAGAGGAGTGGGACTGGCTGTGGGGGAGAGATGCTCAAGTTGAATTTGAGATGTCAAATCTGGTTGTCTGGGACCATAATATGTTTTTCATTATTTCCTATAATCGTTCCTGTGGAGCCCAGTATGTTTTCTTGGCAAATACTAACTCGTGAATATTGACTGCACAGCAAGAAGAATTTTCCAGCCTGAAAATGCCTTTTTTCTCCTTCAAAATACAAGGCAATGCTTTGATAGTCTTCATTAGAGGTGTTTTCAGAACCTGCAACAGAAGTTCATGGAGTAAAATATCGGAGCAAAACTTGTTTACTTTTTATTGTTAACCTAAAAAAAAAGATCTAAACACAGGTGATTAAAAATTTTAACAGCAAATAATGTTATCAGTATCTGTTTTCATGAGAAAACACATTCACCACAACTATTCCATGTATCAGCTGTGATCCATCGGGGGGCGAAGTGACGAGAATTTGCTCTGAGAATCTAGGCTCTGGTTCAACATCCCTCCCAGCAACTCCACCATCTTTCACAGGAGTCTCACTATCATTTCCTAAAACAGAACCAACCAGGACTGTAATCTCAACCATGATTTGCCTAGAGTTCCAGAACATTCCGAAGCAAAGTTAAGTGCAATGCTAATGTCATCCATCTCCCTTTGTGAGCAGAGCCTGGTTTAAACAATGGTCTGTATGCATTTGTCAGGTAAGTAAAAAAGATGATGTTCAAGTGGCCAGTAGGTGCTATTTAAAGAAAATTATTGGTTTTCTTTTTGGTCTGAGGTTTAAATATATTAGACACAGTGGAAGAAAGCTGCTGGAGTTCTAATTCATTGTTTACATTTACCCACCAGGGTTGGAGGCCCAGCAGGATACCTGTGCCTCCAGCCAAAGGCAGATACGGAGTTGACGAGGGCAGGGGTAAAGTGGAGAAAAGGGTGTGTGTTGATTTGGGGGGTGAGAGTGTGTGTGTGTGTGTGTGTGTGTGTGTGTGTGTGTGATATACACCATCAGGCACATCCTTATGAAATTAGAAAAACAAATAATTTAGTGCAATGGTGCTGATTAATGTTAGAATAGAAATGACATCTGTCAAGTTAAACATTCTAACGTTGCTTTTATCTATACTTCTTTTTTAAATAGTTCTTTATTTTCTCCAATTATCTGAATGACTTTCTAAGATATCAGAAGATGCTTTTACGTATTTCTTCCCTTAAGACTGAAATAAAAATTTTCTCATGAATCCTATCACCAGTTCTTACGGTCAGTTTGTAAATTTTAAAAAACAAAGTAACACAAAATGACAACTATTTTATGACTCCACTTATACGAGGTGCCAAGAACAGGCGAATTTAGAGACCGAAAGTAGAACTCTGGTTCCGAGGGGCTGGGGGGAGGGGGGAGCGGGGAGTAGCTGTGTCAGGGCACGGAGCTCCAGTTCAGGGGGATGGGCGAGCTCTGGAGACGGGCGGCGGTGACGGCCGCACAACAACGGGAATGTACTGGGTGGGCCAAAGAGTCCGTTCAGTTTTTCCATAAAATAAAAGACACATTTTTCATTTTCACCAATAACTTTATCGATTTGGATATTTTGAGGATGTCGGCTATCTCCCACTATTGGCTTCTAGTGGGTAGACGCCAGGTGCTGCTAACATCTTCCAGTGCATAAGACAGCCCCAGAGCAAAGAATTGGCCAAAATGTCAATAATACCAGGAAACTTTGCAAACCACCTCTGACATGTCTGATCCATCACAGCACCTTCTCCATACACAATGCAAATCTTTTGTTTTGCATTTAAGTTGTGTTTTTTTAAGAGAAATTTTTAAAAAGATTTTATTTATTTATTTTTAGAGAGGGAAGGGAGGGAGAGAGAGAGAGAGAAACATCAATGTGCGGTTGCTGGGGGCCATGGCCTGCAACCCAGGCATGTGCCCTGACTGGGAATCGAACCTGCGATGCTTTGGTCTGTAGCCCGTGCTTAATCCAACGAGCTATGCCAGCCAGGTTTAAGCTGTGTTTTTACCTTTCTTCAAATAATAACGCATAATATGCCAAAAATGTTGTGTATGTTCTTCCATCTTCAATATTAAAATGGCCACACAGAAATTCACCAATTTGGTAAGTTTTTTTGAAATGCACACTGATATGACAGCTGTCACAATACAATCAAACAAAATTGTCTTGAATGAAGTTAAAGACAACTAAGTAATACTGGAGCCACAGTGTGGAAAAAACTAAATGAACTTTTTGGCCAACCCAATACTTCATGCCATACTTAAAAATGGTTAAAATGGTAAATTTATGTTATGTATATTTTACTACAAAATAAAGCCAAAGCAAAACAACATGACATGATGTCATGTATGGTCCATGAAATGAAAATCTGAAAATTATTTAAATAATAGAGTAACTGCAAACATGGGAAGAAAAACCTATAAGCAGATGTTCTCTTTTGGACTTTCAAAATCTTTAAAACCCACATCTTTTGTATATTGCTCTTCATCCAAATAGGCACATATCCACTTGTAACTCAATTTTATAAATTTATAAAAACATTTACTTTTTCAAAACTCATTCTGCATTTACGTCACTTTAACTTTGGAAACTTGTTCTATTTACCACTGGTTGATCAATGGCAGGATTTGGGAAATCTGGCCTTTCTTCTCTCAGAAGTTACCCCCAAATCCCTAAGTTCTGCAAACTGTCTTCTAGTTCCACAGCAGCTTTACCGTGAGAGTAGGAAGCCCGAACTGCAATGAGCAATGTACACATATGTGTGTCTCTACGTAAAAACGGCGGGTGTGCATGTGCTTGCAGGTACACCTATCTGGTCACTAGATTACAGGAGTCAAAGTGCTTCTACGACAAAAATCTTTGAGAGGAATTAGGGAAAACAATGATATTTACCAATAATGTCTGCATAGATCTCCATTTTGTTGTGCTGCTGAGCCAGCGTGAAAGCCTCATTGTTGCACTTGGACATGACGAGAAACTGGATGGCAGACCCGTAGTCTCCCAACTGCAGGAAAAACCTGAAACACAGCGCTTACTCAATTAGCCCGCCTCACTTGAAATAAGCTCATTGTTCAAAAAATAAAATATTTCAGCCCTGAGAAACCATTTAACAACTAAAATGCACTAGGTGCACTGTAGTTCTACACTCTATGTTTGTATTTGAAAAACACACTCTCAAACACTGACCATGCAAACAGCCTTTGCATTTACACACTTAGACCTAAACAAATAGAAAAGAATGAATATTCCACTTCAATTTATCTGTCAAAGGGAAGCAGGGGCTTTCTTGTTAGGCTAGTCCTTGGAAGTCGAAACGTAAGAATGCCGACGTCACCTGGCCACCATCTTGGCCCCATCCAGAGACTGGGTCTCCCTGACGATGCTCACGGCCTTCTCCGGGTTGTTCAGGTGGTCCAGGTAGATTCGGATGGCGCTGTTCCACTGCTTCGCGTGCTCATAGGCCACCGCGGCCTCTTTGTATCTGCAGGAATACTTATGTTCAGACAAACTTTGGGGGGAAAATGTCAATAAACATGTGGAACACTTTTGTATTGGTGGTAACTGCTCGTTTTTCTTAAACTTCTTTTTCTTTCATTGGAAAGAACACCAGGGGCAATCTCACTGATGGATGTCCTCTCTGGTGGTTCGATAAACTAACAGTAAAATACCAACGGTGAACTGTGATTTCTATTTTGAACCATATCTCTATAATTTTTTATATTTTAGTGGTCTTTTAAGTTGGATATAATGTCCATATAGGCTTATTTTAGAAAACATGGCAAATACAGAATTTTTCACAATTACAGATAGAGCGTAACAGCGATACAGAAAATCTTCGTGTTGACCTCTAGGTGGTGCTCACGTTCTCTTCAGTACCCTAGTTCTTGAGCTCTTTCTACTTTTTAACAAGACATTTGGTGTATATCAGTATTTCCTAAGGTTTCTTTTCTAAAAGGAACCTTATAATATCTTAATAAGTATTAAAATATCCTAATATGTAGTGCCAAAGAACTTTCTAAAGGCATTAGAAAATCACACTCTGTCACTTAGGTGTAAAAAGTGCAATTGGACACTATGGTTATTAATTTAATATAATCTTTCCTAATGTGATAGGTTAAAATGAAACACTTTACTTCAGTTTAATTACTATTAGTAAAGTAGGGCTCTTTCATATTTGCATGAAATACAATTTCATAATTGTATTTCCTTGTCTGAGTCTCCTCCTTGTTTTGTTTTAATATTGTTTTGAAGTTTAAAAGGTGTAGCCACAGGTGTGGAATTCACGTTTCTTTTTTCCCTCTGCATAAGTAAGTTATCCTTAAGAAAAATGACTATTATTTAACTTCATTTTCATACCATATTATATCAAAATTTCAACTCCTAGTACTTAACCGTCAAGTAAAAAGGGACCGACCATGCTCTGTATTGGGACACAGGGAGAATCAGTTAAGGCATCTCAAGGGTGAGGAAAATGTAGCAGTCCGGCCCTTTGGGCCAGGTGAGAGGCAGAGAAGTTTTCTGTGTCTCCGCTCTGCCCTTTGTGGAGGGCTGCCGATATCAATGGTTAATTTGTAGAACGTTACTTTAAATCTGTGTTAATTTGAGAAATGGTACAAACCTTCCATCTGCTTCTTTAGCTTTGGCATACTGCGAGTGAATCTTTGGGGAAGAAACATGAGGCAGAAGCTCACCAACTTTTGCCCTAGAAAGGTAGGTTTAGGAGAAAAATATCACCACTATGTTCATTCTGAAAGTAGCTTCTTACAACCAATTGTTAGTTTTCCGGACTCAAAAAACACAGTTATCATGATCTTTTAAAGATCTTGGCTCTTCTAGGTAAAAGTTTAATTGCTTTTTCTCTTGACGCTCCCCTCCCCCTTCCACCAGACCACTCTCACGGAAAATGAAGCTTTGTTCATTGGTTCTTTGGGGCAAGAGGGCTTTTCTTTTCCCTAGTGACTTATCTGATCAGTAATTTCTCTGTACCAACTCAATAGAATGTGCTGTTCTTTGAAAAAAAAAATTATTAATATGAACTCATATGAAAAGAAAAGAAAAAAAGGATGGAGGGAAGGCCCAGATAAGGGGAACAGGATGTACAGGTGGGAGGAGCCACAAAGAAACAGGTGGGGAGAGCACCAGGACCCACTTCCATACCTGCCCAGAACAAACTTCAGCACATTCTTACCAGTTCTTACAGCGTATGTAAACAGACGCTGCTTTGTCATAGTAGAGGCCTTTTTCATACAGTTGGGCTGCTTCTGAAAATTGCTAAAAGGAAACAAGATCATGAAAATACCAAATCTGTTATGTACAAGGCCACATGGATATTTAAGCAGAGACAAGCGTACCTTCATATTCTCCAGGATGGCGCCACAGTCTCTCTTAAGGACCCTGCTGGGATGCTTGAGGGCCTGGTTCGCCCCTCGGCGTATGTCTCCCATGCGGATGGACATCTGGGCGACCCCGGCCAGGCACACTTCATCGTGCTCCTGCGGTGGCAGGGCAAAGAGCACACGAGTCAGACCCTAACTTAAAACGCTGTGTTTTAGTCAAACGACTAATTTAAGTCTAAAATGAACCCAAAAGTTATGGTTAACTTGCATTAATCCTTTCAGGCAAATGTCAAGAATTTGAAAAATCATTTTTTTTAAATCACCTGTTGCAGTTAATACGCTGTTCTTCAGAAGTCTAGATCTTTCGTGTTTTAGACCAATTTTTTACTACCTTTTGTCCTAATACCCTTGCATATCTTTGCCTGTCTTCTTGCTATAAAATTTTATGTGAGAAGAAATATACTAGATATGTAGCATAAATGCTATGCATAAAATTAAGAGAAAAAACATTTATCAAATTGAAGATTACCAGGCATGATTAAACATCAAAGCTTTATTTAAAATTGTTTAATTCATTAAGTATAACTAAAGGACTTCCCAAATAACTAATCTAAAGTAGGAAAATGTCAGGTCATATTCCATTTTATGTAAAGCAGTACGTCTGGTAGAATGTTCTATCATGATGAAATGTTCTATTTCTGCCCTGTGAACAGCCACTGGTGGCTACTGAGCATTTAAAATATGGCTAGTATGACAAAGAAATGGAGTTGAGAATTTTATTTAAATAAAAATAACAAATAGCCACCAGTGGCTAGTAGTGACTGTATCTGATAACACAAATAAAGAATGAACTGAAATAGGTGTAGCCAAACAAAGAAAATGCCAAAAAGCCAAGAGATGAATGAGCAAAAGATATGATCAAACAATTCATAAAAAAATACAACTGGCCAATAAAAAACATGCTCAGCTTCACTAATAATCAAATATGTAAAGTAAGACAAAACACCATTTTTTGCTGATTAAATTGGTACGGATAAAATGACTGACAACATCGAGTGCTGTTGAGAATGGGGGAAAATGGACATGTACATACCCTAGCAGCTGTACGAATTATTACCATTTCTTCTGGAGATCAATTTAGTAGTATAAAAAATTAAAAACACATACGGTATGACCTAGAAGTCTTACCTGTAAGAGTATATCCTTCAGAAATACTATCTTAGGTAGCTAAAGACACATGCACTAGGAAGAATATTATTGCAGTGTTCTATATAGAAATAGAAACAATTATAATTCAACAAGGACACAGATGAAAACATTATGGTACAGTAGTCCCCTCTTATCCATGGTTTTACTTTTTTGTTGTCAACCGTGGTCTGAAAGTATGAAATGGAAAATTCTAGAAATGAACGTAAGTTTTCAATGGGGCCCCTCTGAGTAGCATGAGGAAATCTCATGCCACCTACCCAGACGTGAGTCATCCAGTCATCCAGCACATCCACATTACGTCCCCAGCCCGTCAGTCACTCAGTCGCTGCCTGGGTTATCAGATCCATTGTCACGGTATCGGAATGCTCGTATTCAAGGAGCCCTTGTGTTATTTAAAATGGCCCCAAAGTGCAAGAACACTGTTGGTGCGTGTTTGGAAGTGCCGAAGAGGGGCTGTAGACACTTCCTTTAAGTGAAAAGGTGAGTGCAGTAAAATGAGCTACTTAGAGAAAGCAAGAGACATAACTTTTATTACAGTATATGGTTATGATTGTTCTATTTTATTATTAGTTATTATTGTCAATCTCTTACTATGCCTAATTTATAAATTGGACTTTATCATAGGTATGTATGTATAGAAAGAAACAGTATATACAGGGTTTGGTACTGTCCATGGCTTCAGGCTTCCATTGGGGGTCTTGGAGCATATCCTCCCCAGGTCGGGGGACAACTGTACCTCCACACAGTGGAATGACAGCTCTAAAATCAGCACACGTCATCTGTATTGACTTGAAAAGACCATTAAGAAAGCAAAGTGCTGCTTTTCACAGGATAAAGTCACAATTGATCTTTGTTTAATAAATGGATATGATTTCATGTTTAGTAAAAATCTATACTATATACATATGGAGAGAGTCTAGCTGGAAACATAAAATTGTTAACAGTGGTTACCATTAAAGGGTGTGAATGGAAGGGAATGTTGGACTCTCACTTTTTAAAAAATAATTATATTTTGTTGTTGATGCTATTACAGTTGTCCCAAATTTTTTCCTTTGTCCTCCTCCACCCAGCCCCCTGCTCCTGCAGGCACTCCCCACCTGTTGTCCATGTGTCATGCATATGTTCTTCGGCCACTCTATTCCCTATGCTTTACATTCCCATGACTATTCTGTAACTACCAACTTGTACTTTTCAATCCCTTTTCATCTATCCCCTTGACTGCTTCCCTTTAAAACATTCTCTGTATCTATGATGGTTTCTGTTCTGCTTATTTTGTTTTTTAGATTCAATTATTGATATATATATATATATTTATTGCTTTTATTCATATTTTTGATGTTCTTAAAGAAGAACATTAACGTTTCATATAATAATGGTATGGTGATGAAGTCCTTTAGCTTTTTCTTGTCTGGGAAGCTCTTTATCCTTTGAAATCTAAATGATAGCTTTGCTGGGTAGAGTAATCTTGATTGTAGGTGCTTGCTTTTTATCACAGTGAGTAGTTCTTGCCAGTCTCTTCTAGCCTGTAAAGTTTCTTTTAAGAAATCAGCTAACCATCTTATGGGAGCTCCCATGTAGGTAACTAACTTCTCTTCTCTTGCTGCTTTAAAGAATCTGTCTTTAACCTTTGGTACTCTCTGTGCTTCCTGGACTTAAATGTCTATTTCCTTCACCAAATTAGGGAAGTTTGCTTTCATTATTTTTTCAAATAGGTTTCCAATTTCTTGCTTTCTCGCTTCCTTCCAGCACCCCTAGGATGTGAATGTTGGTATTCTTGAAGTTGTCCCAGAGGTTCCTTACACTATCCTCAGTTTTTTGGCTTCATTTTTTTTCTTGCTGTGCTGATTGGTTGTTTTTTGCTTCCTTATGTTCCAAACCATTGATTTGATTCTTGGTTTCACCACTGTGCTATTGATTTCCTGTAAATTGTTCTTTATTTCAGTTAGTATATCTTTTGTTTCTGACTGGGTCTTTTTTATGCTGTTGAGGTCCTAAGTTCCTTGAACATCCATCCTTATAACCCGTGTTTTGAACTCTGTATCTGATAGATTGCTCTTCTCCATTTGGTTTAGTTCTTTTTCTAGAGTTTTGTTCTGCTCTTTCATTTGGGCCATGTTTCTGTCTCCTCGTTTTGGCAGCCTCCCTGTTTGTTTTTATGTATGAGGTAGAGCTACTAAGCCTCCCAGGCTTGATAGAGTGGCTTGATGTAGTAGGTGTCCTGTAGGATCCAGTGGCACAGCCTCCCCTATAACCCATACTGGGTACTCAAGGTGCACCCACTTTGTGGGCTGAGTACACCCTCCTCTTGTAGTTGAACTTTGATTGTTGATGGCACATCCAAGGTCAGCCATCACCTGTGTTCGGTTGGGTTCACACAGCATTAGCTACAAAGAGATCTGCCCATGGCTGCTATTTGTGCTGGGCTTGGAGGTGCCCAGGACAGGCCAAGCTGTGAACCAAGGCCAGCTGCTGCTAGTGCAGGGCCTGGGGCCTTAGTGAGAGGTAAGGGGCTTGCTGAATCCAGATGCTGCTTATTTGAGAGAATTTAGGAAAATCCGATGCTAGGGCAAAGACAAGCCATTCACATGGAAAAGCCACTAGAAACAGCTTGGGTGGGCCTGAAATTTGGTTGGGGCAGGCCTCAGGGATCACCAGGGTGGGGCAAACAGTGTGAGAACCAGGTTGATGGAGTCTCAGATATGGTACCCACATGCTGGCTCTGTTGGGGAAGGGCTCAGAGAAGCAACAATGGTCTCTGCCAACACTTTTGCCTGGGAGAAAGCTGTCCCCCCAGCTTTTGCCCTGATGCTGGACAATTCAATCCCTCCCTGTATATAATGATGTCTTTCAATCTGCTGTCCCAGCACTGGAGCTCAGAGGGAGTTAGTTTAAGTGAGTTTGAGCGCAGACCCTTTAAGAGGAACTGACTGGGATTCCGAAGTTTCTGTTTCCACACCTCAATCCCTGCTGGTTTTTAGAGCCAGAAGTTATGGACACTTATCTTCCTGGCCCTGGAGCCTGGGACAGGGGCTCTGGTGTGGGGCTGGGACTCCCTCACTTCCGAGATCCTCAGGTGTGGGATCAGCCCATTCCATGTCTCTGCCCCTCTTATGAGTCTCAATGTGTGGTTTCTTCTTTAATTCTGTAGTTGTAGGACTTCTATGCAGCTCAATTTCTGACAGTCCTGAATGATGGCTGTTTTATAGTTTAGTTTTAATTTTGATGCGGCTGTGCGAAGAGGTGAGCGACACTGCCATCTTGACCAGAAGTACCCTCGCTTTTCATGTTAACATACTTTGGTGCTTTTTTAAATTGACTATAATAAAATTGTATTACTTTTGTAATAAAAATACCAGATATAAAACAGAAAGTAAAAAATACTTTCAATCTTTATAAGATATTACCTAACATAAAAACATCAATTTTTATTACAAAATCTAGCTTTTTAAGCTAAAACCCTGGGATGGTGGAATGGGTTGGAGCAGTGGGTAAGGTCGTGTTTACCAGGTTCATCATAAAAGAGACAGCATGAAAGATGGGACAGCAGAACTTTTATGGTTTGAGAATTCACTTTCAAAGTTGTTACTGAAACTTTTTAAGACTGAAAGGAAAAACCTTATGAAAATCATAGCCTATAAGTGGAAAGGGATACAAATCTTACTTCCAAACTTAATAAGCAGCTCATATTTAGGATGCAACTGAAAACAGTTTTTTTCCAAACTGATAAAAATATTGTTATCTTCAGTTTTTAATAATTTAAAATGATTTAACTATATACTGGCAAAGCTGTTAATAAACTGAAAAAACACTTACCTGCTAAATATAAATAAATACAATGCAAATAAGACAATATTTTAAATGAAATTAGTAACAAGCCAAAGATAATTATGCATATCTTATCTTTATTCAAGGTTACCTTATTATCACCTGTTATTCCTTTCTCATAATGAGCCAAAGCATTTGCATAATCACCCCTGAAAGAAAAATTAGAGTGAATTTTAATACATATCTATGTTACTTATATATATAAGATTTAGAAGATAATCTTTGTCATTTCTACAACTATAATCTGTGTCAATATTCTCAATGAACCTAAAGTTTATTAAAAAAGTGGAATTATATAAAAATGTTTTTTAAAAATCAAATGTTAGAACCATATTTTCTTTGTTTATAAAACAATATTTTCCCAGACTTAGAATTATTGAAATTGAAATGTATCTTATAATAAATGCCAAAAGAAATTGTCCAGTTGTGATATAGTTATCTCACATACATGTGAGAACTTATATTTGCAAATATTGGACTGGCCAAAAAGTCCATTTAGTTTTTTCCATAAAATAAGACACTTCTTTTTATTTTCACCAATAATTTTATTGATTTGGATATTTTGAGTATGTTGACTATCTCCCACATGGTATAACACCAATTGTTCTCAAATCTCAATTTGATTGTTACCAACTTCAACTGATCCACCCGACTGTGGAGCATCGTCCAGTGAGAAATCTCCAGCACAAAACTGTGCAAACCACTTTTGACTTGTTCGAGCAGTCACAGCATCTTCTTCAGATACTGCACAAATCTTTTTTTGCATTTCAGTTGCATTTTTACCTTTCTTGAAATAATAAACCAGAATAAATGTTGCGTATTTTCTTCCATCTTTAATATTAAAATGGCTACACAAAAATTCACCAATTTTGATAAGTTTTTTTTAAATGCACACTGATATGACATCTGTCATACAATACAGTCGAACAAAATTGTTTCAAATGAAGCTAAAGACAACTAAGAGCTACTAGAGCCATTTTATGGAAAAAACCAGATGAATTTTGGCCAACCCGACAAATGATTCATTTATTGTCTCTGCAGGTATTTGTATTGGTAGCATTAACTAGGGCTGAATGTGAATTAGAAGTGGATCTAGCATGCTTCTAAAATTACATGTTTATGCAGCATTAAAATAAAAATGTATATATTCTGTCAACTAAGACTATTGGTAATTAAGACTGTGTAGCAATTAAGTGCACTAGAAAATTCTAAATCTCTCAGAACAGATTATGTCCTTCTCAAAGGAAGAAAGGATTTGGGAAGACTATTCATGCATCATGAACGATCATTACTCAGGCAGGGAAATCAGCCTGTGAAAAGCTTCTGGCTTCATTTTCAACATTAACTGTTGAATTTTATCCATATGCAATTCAATTAAAAAATACAAATTTAAGCAAATAGAAGTTGTAGACCCAAACCTAGTATTTTTCACTATGCCTTGAAATTACACTATAAATCCTCAAATTATTCAAAGAGGTCAAGACCATGAGCATAGGTTATGAAAAGCAGTATGTCACCTTGATATGTGTAACTCTTATTGGCCGAATGTGATTCAAAACAATATTTAGACTGTAAATGTAGAAAAGGCTTAGACCCAAACTTAGAATTTGACACTAGAAATTAAAATGGATAAAAGCATGGATAAGACATCATTAGTTAGAAAAAACATTTTTGTTTGCATAATGAATCTCTTTTCCACTTAAAAAGAATTATTAAATCAATAGAGGGCCTTATAACAAATGGAGGTTTAGAACTAAAGATATTCACTAATTATTTTAGTAATCAGTAATTCAGCAATTAGATAGCAACTGAAACACACAAAGACAAGTACTTACGTGAATTCAAGCTGAATAGCATATTCTTTTGATATAAACGGTATTTGGTCCGGGGCCAATCGCTTCGCCAGTTGCAGGGCACTGTCCCAGTGCTGTAAATCCCTTCTCATCTGTCAGGAAGAGAAAGAAACCAGCAAATTATTTTGCACAGTCCCCACACAGTAACGGTTTTCATAAAAGTGATGCAAAGACGTTTTGTTTAAAAGATGAAACTTGATCTTTGCAAAGGTGATACATCACTGTAGTCTACTTTCTCAGTGGGGGTGACAGAACCCACAAGGGGGTAACAGTTGATTTGGGGGGAGCAAAAATATCTTAGCTATTATCACAATGGCTTGCGACTCACCACAACTCAACTCTACCCAACAAAATCTTATTCTTTAGTATTTAACTTTTCTCAATAGGAAAAATTAAATTGAACCAAAATTAATTAAAATTAATTCAATGAGCCGATTGTTCATTGTCCTTCTTAGTGAGATCATTGAAAAAGTTGAAAAATGCTTTACTACAGAAATTGAGGTTATTTTCTGAGAAAATCAAAAGCTATATCACACATGAATAACAGCAAATAGAAATAAAATGTCAGTGTCTTTCTCTCTAGCTCCTGAGGTCTTTTATTTGTGTCTGGTACACAATCCCAAATATAAACTGATCAGGAATTTTTTGGAGTTCATTCCTTGCTTTCATTCCCATTTTCTCAAGAATGAATAGTAGCTAACATTTTTCAAGTGCTGTTTTCTGCCAGGCAGTGTCCTAGGGCACTAGCTTCTTTGCTTTTCCCAACCAGGCCTTTTGCAACGAGCCATTCTTGTGCCCATTTTGGAGAGCCAGAAATTGAGGCAGAAGAGGCTTACTTTTGTACACAGATTCTCACTGTTAGTGTGAGTGTGTGGCGGAGCTGGGCAGTGGGGCCTTGACTCTTCTTTACCTGGCTAACCTGTCTGCTTTCAGGGTGAGGTAAAGGAATGACAGGGGGCATTCCCCTCTCCATTGTGAAGACGTCACCTCAAATGCTTCACGAATCTTGTATCGCATGACAAGTGTGCACGGCTAAACACAGAAGAACTGAGATAACATCTGCGCCCTCTCTCCTTGCAGCCGTATTCCTGCCTCGGTGTGTACCTATCTAGGTCCTGAAAGTTTGTCAGGGTGTCTCTAATGATCCCAGATGATATTGTAAAATTACCTGAAATCTTTTCTTAAAAACAAAATTAATTGAGCTCACTTAAACATTTTTAAATGAAAATTTGCTATAGAACAATGTTAAAGAGGTGGTAGGTTTTGAAATTAGCAGCAAATATGTTTTCACAACCGCCTCCTCCACGTGGCTGTGGAAATGCTGGTTTGCGGTGGAGCAACGTCATGATAGCAGCCACCACTTTTGTCTTTTCTATCGATCAGACACAGTCCCAAAAGACCTAATCTCATTTAAACATCTTTACAATAACCCCGAGGGCTAGCCCTGACTGCTGTGGCTCAGTTGGTTGGGCATCATCCCACAAAGCGGTCAGGGCACATGCCTGGGTTGCGGGTTCGGTCCCTGTTCCGGGTACTTACGATAGGCAGCCGATTAATTTTTCTCATACTGATGTTTCTCTCCCTCCCTCCCCCTAAAAATAAATAAAATCTTTGAAGAAAATAACCTGCGGGCTAGACAGTGTTATCCCTACTTGAAAAAGATAAGATCCAGGGCACAGAAAGATGAAGTAAATTGTTCAAGGGTACACAAAGCTAGGATTTGTCTTCTGTGTTCCTAATCACCGTTCCCTACAGCCGCTTCTCTCTTCTTCCTGGTGTCGAACTAGGTTGTTCGTCCTGCTCTAGCCCTCCCGCTGCTATGCTCGCCTCTGGGAAACAGGTGATGGTGGTACACTAGTCCTTGGCCCACCTTTTAACGCACAGGAGAATTTCATATAACAAATACAAGACAAATACATTTTAGGTCTCCCACGTGGAAAAGAGAGAAAATAAAAGGACTACCTCAAAGGCTTGTTGTGAGAGCGAAATTAATTACAATCTGTCAAGTGCTTAAAAAAGTACCTGGCACGTGTGAGCACTCAATAAATGGCAGTTGTTTTTATTTGTGTGCATCTTTGTAAGCTTTAAAATCTGTTCTCTTTGGACACATGTAGACTTTAAGTTGTTTGGTAATGTTACAATACCAAGCCTTTTATGGCTCCACAGAATATAGAATGAAAAAAAATATATCTTTTTTTAGAATGAAAATATTTTTGAAGTTAATGAGGACTCGGGGGTTCTTAAGGCTGGATCCTCAGTTCTAGCAGGGGCCAGGCACATGGCGTCTGGTGACGAGAGACTTGAACTGTGCAGAAGGCGCCATCCTCTCTTCCCTCCCTCCTTTCCTTTCCTCGTTGCTGCCGTACCTCCAGAGCAGCGCCAGGGCAGCTGGATGCAAGGTACAGGTCCTGGGCCAGGTTGAAATCATTCGTGAACATGGCAAGGTGTCCTGCCAAAAGATTGTAGTCCTCTATTCCCTAAAAATAAAAGTGGTTTTAATGAGAATATATGGGTTTAATTTTTTTTGTAAAAAAGATTTTGCTTAGTACAAAGAGGTAATGTTCTATTAATGAGTTAGGTAAGATTAACTACAAAAACTTAAAATGTATGATGAAATACCATTTAAATCCTAACCTGATAATTCTTATAAGATGCCGTTTACCTTTATTTGTTCTAAGGACATCACCATGCCAACATTTCCAATTTTCCGATAAACGCGGATTGCAAACTCCACCTCCATGTGGTGGAGACAGGCCGTGGCCAACTCATCCCAGGCAGCAGGGTCGTTCAGGAGCCGGCACATTTCCCAGGCATCGGAAAACCTAGAATGTGAGCCCAGGAGTTCAGTCAGGGAGCTCTACTCGCTCCCTAGTGGACAATTTTCAGATGGTACATAATTTAAATGCCATGCCCTAGCTGAATTTGATAAAACATGTTAGTCTGTAATCATTTCCACGTTATGAAAAATTATATAAACTTTTTTTTGTACAGATGATTTTTCTTGAATTTCTTTTATAAATCTAAATCTACTCTGGGTAATCACCTTCCTCCATTAACAACTAGTTTTATTTATTTTTGGTTTACTTTATACACAATGAAAATTAGTTTTGATCTCACAAAGTCTAATAAAAGTAGTATTCTACTCCTATACATTCAGAAGTTTAAGACAAGGGCTAGCAAACACGGCCGCAGGCCCAACCCAGCCAGTGGCCCATCTGTGAGAAGCCAGTCTGAGGGGAATGCAGCTGCCCGTCAGCTGTGCTCGTGTGGCTCGTCTCAGCGGCCCCTGCGCTGCAACGGGGGCCTTGCACAGTTGTGACGGAGCCCCTGTGGCCCTTAATGTGCGACACACACACCATTTGGCCTGTGACACAAAGTCTGTGGACCTCTGGTTTAAAGCATGATCATAGATGCCAATGAAACTTCTTGTGGAACCTTTACACTAATGAATGTGTTACACCTATTCATCTGCGTCCTTCCATCTCACGCACATTGACTGAACACCTATTGTGTGTCAGGAACGGTGCTTGGAACCAAGATCGAAACCAAACACAGTCAGTCATTGTCCTTCAGGTGTCATCACTGGGGAAGGCGGAGGAGACCGGTGAGTGAACAGATGCCTGTGACACAGCACAACAGAAGGAACTGAGTGCTTACCCTGTGTGAGTCTTTGTGCCAGGCACTTTGTATAAATTCTCTCACTGGATTACCCTGACAACTCTACCCACTATGCATTATTATTATTATTTCTCCTTTACAGATGAGGAAAGTGAGCGTTTGAGACCTTAGAAGACTACCCCAAGTCACACGGTGGTAAACGACAACGTTCCCTCAACCACTCTGTACGAGCATATTGTATCCTGGCTCTGAGGCGACACATCAGAGACTGCAAGTGGTTGGAGGGCTTCAGGGAAGACTTCCTGGAGGAGGAGAGGGCCTTGCTGAATAGTGAGGAGTGAAGAGTTAATAATGTATAGAGAGAGGGGAAGGCCATTCCAGGGAGAGCAGCATGTGCCAAGGCAAAGCAGCAGGAAAAATACTGGATTCAAGCGCCAGCGTGAGAGGGAGGAAGGAGAGGCGTGGGGAAGGCTGAGGCTGGCACTGAAACGTCGAGTGCCTAGATGCCACGCCGCCGTCCCCAAGGGGTAGGGAGCTCTTCGGAAAGGCGATGGGAAGCCACTGAAAGATCTTCAGCCAGGAAATAAGGTCAGACGCACATTTTCAAAAGTCTGTGAGGAACAGGTGAGATTGTTATGAGGCTATCAGCAGAGAGCAGTCTGCAAGTGGTCACTTACAGTACATTACTCCAAGTGAGGGACTGAGTTAAGATTGAGGAACACGGAAGGACAAAAGGACCTGGGGTGTGTGTGTGTGTGTAGGCATGTGTGTTAGGACATGTGCATGTATGATTAGAACGGGGGAGAAGAGTGGGTTGGGGGAGTCAATGAGTTGTCTTGAACAGGGCAAGTCTGAGGAGCTCATGACTCCCTACTGCACATGACTACGGGAAGTGGTAGGCACAGTGTAAGTTAAAGATGCGCATTTTGGAGTTAGCCTTGTATAGATGGCACTGAAGCCATGTACGTAGATGAGATTCATTCAGAAAAAATAAATCAAGTGAGAAGAGAAGAAGGAAGCTTATGGAGCCCTCCTTGAAGAATGGCAACACTTAAGACATAGCCAGAGGGAATAGAATCACAAAGGGGTTCGCAGTGGCCCTAAGACATAAGACAAAAAAGCAAGAAGAAATCTTAAGCAAGGCAAATTCAAATTTTATTATAATGAAATTAAGATATTGTTGAAATAACCATGTTTATTAGAATTTTACAAGAACTGCTCTATCTGGGGGATTAGAAACCTTTTGGTTCTGAAGGGCTTTTCTTGGAAGCAGCCCCGACATGACACTATGCCTTTCTTTAGAATTCACACACATCCCCATATCCATCATCTTATCTGAGGCTCACAGTAATCCTGTGAAGTAAACGAGGTAAATGCTATTATCTCCATCTATTTTAATAGGAGTTGACCTTTAAAATCAGCTTCATGAGGAGCCTTTAAAACCCTACCTTTTCAGCAGTAACGTCTGTGTCAGCATCTGCCTCAGCTCTTTGGGCCCCACATCCTTCAGGCTGTGGAGGAAGCCGTGCGTGCCCAGGTAGATGTTGTTCACCTTCCCACTCTGTGTCTGGCAGGTCAGCTCTCCGTTGTACAACAGCAAAGGTTTGTAAGCATAGGGAACTCGGGTGCCACCAGCCAAGATGACCTTGGATCCTATATTACAAAACAGACATTTTACTGCTGAAAGATACTCCTCAGCACCAACATCAGAAAGGAATGTTTTAATTTTACTGCCATGAAAATTTGTTTACCAACAAATGGACAAAAAAAAAGTGATTAAGTACCTTGTATAGTGTCCTTGTGAAAGACATAAGTATACACCTTATCATCATCGTAAGCAATAAATACACCTTTATCCAATGGCCAGTTTTCCCAGAGAACACCTTTAATGGTTGGTGAAAAATCTGGAATCTCATACGTAGCATCATTAACCTACAAAATAGGATTTAGAGATTTGCCCCAAGTCTGTACATAAACCGTTATCATTTGCCATGGCAGGAGCCTGTTTGTAGCCTTGGCTGGCATGGCTTACTGACTCATATTCAACCCCAAAACACTCAACCATAACAGGGAGGAAAATCCTTTTCCCATTCCTATACTAGGACTGGCTTGGAAAAAAAAAAGAGTTATATGAGAAATCAAGGGTTCGCTCTAAAATTTGGTGAATTTGCAGGAAAAACTACAAGCTTGGACATAAAGTGTCAAGTTAAGAAAAAAAAAGCTGAAGCTGCTCAAGGTGACAGAAACTTAAACTACGAGCTCCTGTGTTTAGGAATTTTTCAATACTGGGCATAGAAATGCTCCAACCGGAAAAGAAACAGAAATGAACTCACATGTGATTTCAAATTTAAATAAACTCCACTGGCTATGTTTTATTTCAAAAATTTCTCTACAGTGTGCCCTAAAAAACAAAAAATGTACTGCTACATCATAAAAGCTATTAAAAAATCAATCCACCTATTCCTGTGAACTCACGCAGGTAGACTAATACATACGCTGAGTGTGGAGCTGAGAAATGCCTGCTTTCTCCCTAATCTAGCTTCCTCTAAAAACAGAGATGGAATATAAAACTCTTGCAAATAATAACTAACACTATAGAGCAGTGCTGTTTGGTGCAGCAGCCACCATGTAAAACCCACATGTGGCTCCCGAGCACTGGAATGTGTGCAGTCGAATTAAGGTGTGTACAGGTGTAAACCACACACTGGATCTCAGGAAGTTAGTCTTAAAGAGTACAAAACGTCTCATCAATAATTTTTTCTACTGACGACATACAGGAATGATAATATTGGATTAAAAATATATTGTTGAAATTAATTTTACCTGTTTCTTTTTAACTTTAAAAAAATGTGACTAGCAGAAAATTAAAAATGATGTATGTGGTTCAAATTTTATTTCCATTGGATGGTGCTGCTTTACCAGGTACTGTACCAATTTAATTCTAAACTCACAGTCTACAGATACTATTGCTATGTTCATTTGCAGATGAATAAACTGAGGCATGGAGAAATTTTCCCTAAGTCACACAGCTAATAAGTTGAGGAGCCAGGATTTGAACCCAGGCAGTGTGGCTCCAGTATGTGCTTCTAACCACTAGGTTATACTGACTTTCGGTTTGTAAGGATAGCAAACCAGTGCCAATGGACTGTGGTGGCGTTTTTTTTTTAAGGGTAACCATTTGCTGTGTGCTTATTATGTGTACTAAAAGCTTTATGTGCAACATCCATTTCATCCATTTGATTTTTATACAACAACCTACAAAAGAGGTACTAGAACTGAATTCATTACATAGATGGGAAAACCAGGAGGTCCAAGTGAGAGCTCGGGAGGAAGCCACTCTGGCCTCATACCAGTGATGCTGTTTGCTGGCTGTGTGACCTCAGACACGTAACTCATCTTTTCTATGCCTTAGTCTGTTCACCTGGAAAAGGGCAACAATGTGAGTATTGATCTCCAGGGTTGCTATAAGGATTGAAAGAGATCCCTGATATATGTAAGGTGTACGCAGTACAGATATACTAGTTGCTATTATTACTAATCTTGAATTCAAACCAGTCTGTCTTTAAAGTCTATGCACTTAACTACCACATGTACTGCCTCTCTCAAGGGCAACATGTGTGTAGACTTTCTAGGACATATCTCAAATCATCCTTCACGGGCATTGAAGGAGTGGTGGGGTATGCACATTGCTTTATTAGGGCATGTGCAGGAAAAAAGTCATCTCTCCCAATTCTAATATACAGCACGAGCCACTTCCTTACTCTCCATACAGTGAGGAAATATAGATTGAATACATACACATGTGAAGGGAAATTTCAAGTTGAAGAATTTTAAAGAACAGTTGGTGTCTGAATAGTTATATATTTGCATACATGTACATCACAGAAGCAATGCTTCTCTCAAAGTATCTGAAGCTGAGTGGAAAGGTAAGCTGCAACACTAGCACACGATGACAGGGTGTGTGTGAAAGTCAAATGAAGTGCACAGCGCTCTGGTCTAGAGTCCGAGGGCCTCAGTGCAGCCTCCTGCTGTGTCCGAGGCCATGGGGAAGGCTGGCCTTCCTCACAGATGAGGCTGGGTATTATCTAAAAGAGGAATTTACTCCTGTGGGCACGGCGCTCCCCTGTGATATCCTGTCCGAGCACTTAAGATTCTAACCTAGCAATGAAATCTTAATTTGAATAAACGCAAACTCCCACCTACACATTGGGTGAGGGAGAGCCTTGGCTGTTATGGAGTCATTCTCTGTGTGGATTTTGTTTTACCAGGGTGTTTTTCTTAATACCTAACTGAACTGCAGGTTAGAACTGGAAAAGAGGTGGGGATGAGCAGCCACAAATGAGACGGTTCTGGACTTGAGGGGTTCAAGGGCGGTAAAGAGGCCAGGACTTTGACTGACATCTGCTACCTGTTCCTGCTAACATGCTTGGGAAAACTAACTCGCCGACACCTCATTCCAGTTCTACATAGGAGCTCATACTAGCCTCTGTAACAGAAATGATAATGGAAAGGAAAACTGTAAAGAGAAGAAGAAAGATGTATCGAGTTGTTAGGCAGGTTGTACTCTTTGCCCTTTCTCCAGCAGTTAGACCCAGTTCTGACTGACTCCCGTCGGACACCTGGTTTACCTCCGACCCTTCTGTGTGTCCCAGGCAGCAGCTCCACTTGCGGTGCCCCCACGGGGAGCACGGCAGCTCTGCTTCCCTGTGCTGAGTTACAGAACTAGCACGTTAAAAAGTTTGCATAATCAAGTTACTCCTGTGGAAACCTGCTACATTTGTCAAAGAAAGAAAAGGAAAAATGAAGGGAAGAGAAAGGAAAAAAGAAAGGAAGAGGAAGGAGGGAGAGACAGAGGGACAGAGAAAGAAGAAAGTTTTAGTATCTCGGGAAGTGTACAGTGAGGGGAAAACTGTCTTCATTGAAACGTGTCTTCTCTACGGTGAGGTTACTAAGGATGGGCCGAGGGCAGCTGTGGGCCGTGTGAACTGTGACCACAAACACACTCAATCATTCGCTGGAGAGCAGGAACAAATACCAACTCCAAGGATAGTACATGGTGTGAAAACACATTTCCTTTTTCTAAATCTGTTTTCAAGAAAGTTAAAGATGTGTAAAATTAACTAAAATGGTTCTGTCTGTTTATAATCATCTGATACCAGAATACCTTTTCTTTGTATTAAGGGAAGAAGAAATTTAACTGAGGCGGGAAAGGACAGGGTACAGTCTCAGTCCTCAGAAGCTTACTGCATATCTGGAGAGAAAAGTCATATATATGATGCTATACTATAATAATGTACAGTGGATATGGTTAAAAGTGGTGCAGAATATAACCGTTTTTTTCTCACTGGGGCTGACACTGAAAAATTAAAGAAAAATGGAAAAACGTTTTCTTGGTGTAAATGGTCATGAAATAGATCACAAACATGAAAACAAAGTTCTATAATCCTTGGCTCTGTGTATAAGAAAATAAGTCTATACATAAAATATATTTTAAAAATACTTTTCTCATGGGTTGTATTTTTTAAAAACACACATTCAAACTTTTCTAGACTTACTGGACAATAGACAAATCCATCACTTTTTTCATCAATGAAAATTAATCTGGTCCCATTTGGGTCAGGAAAGATCTTTTTCACACCAACAGGATGTCGATAATCATTAACGAACTGCCAGTCTTCAATGTAGAAATACTGAATGACACCAGTCTAAAAAAGTTCAGTCAGAGAAACACGAGGTTGTCAGAAAATACTGACCTTCAGCATTTAAGTTAAACATGCTTTCTAATCTAAAGAGAAAAAAATGTCATATGTTTGAGGAAGAGTCCAAGAACAATGTTTGCTATATTTACAAGGTACAGGCAGAAGAAAATAAATGATAATATATATGTGATTCAACAGTCTATTAATTCTAATATTCTTGGTGGTATTAAAGCTTGATTTTCAGATTTTCCAATTGAATGAAAAGAAACACCCTTATTGTTTAAGAGTAACTCTCAATTCATATTACTTTAAATATTTTTGTTATTAATTAATAGACAAATTAGAAAATTAAGTTTAAAATTAAAAAAAACCCACCTTATACAATAATTGTATTCCTACACATTAACCATGAACATGTAGACAACAAAAGTTTAAAATATGGTATCATTTACAATCATCAAAAAAATGAAATACTCAGGTGTGAGTTTAACGGAACATGCACAGAACTTGTATGCTAACAACCACAGAGCACCGATGCGAAAACCAAAGGGGATCTAAATAAACGGGGACACAGTAAACACACTGTGCTCAGGGACTGGCATCGTGGTAACATGCTAATGCTCCCCAACCGGTGTATACAGGCCTAACTAGACTCCAATGACCATCTCAACATGAGTTTTTGTAGGTACAGACAAGATTACTCTAACAGTCATACGGGATGGTAAAGGAACTAGAACAGCTGAAACAATTTTGAAAAAAAAAGTGGAAAATTAGTCTTTGTAATTTCAAGGCTTTTTTTTTTTTTAATAACTACCGTAATCAAAACTGTGTAGCGCCGGGGGAGGCGTGGACACGGAGATCATTGGAACAGAACAGAGCAACCAGAGACAGAGCTACACAGGCATGTCTGACCAATTCTTCCTTTTTTCTGTTTCTAAGATGCCTTCACTTTTATTTTGTAATAATAGCCTACTGAAAATAACTCACCTACCATATAAGTCACCCACTTAAAACATACGACTCCCTGGATTTTAGTATATTCATAGAGTAGTACAACACTTAATGACAATTTTAAAACATTTCATCACCTCAAAAAGGAACTCCATTTAGTAGGCATTCCCCATTTTCCCCAACCTCCGTAGTCTGTCTCTGTAGATTTCCCTATTCTGGACATTTTATATAAATGGAATCACACAATATGTGGTCTTCTGTGACTGCCTGCTTTTATTTAATGTAATGTAGAATATATAAAGAACTCTCAACACTCAAGAATAAGAAAAGAAACCAATTAAGAAATAATAAAAACATCTGAACAGACACTTCACTAAAGATATTCAAATAGCAAATAAGCACAGAGATGCCTCCACATCATTGGTCCAGTAGTAAGATGCAAATTAAAATCACACTGAGATGTCACTGCACACTCATCAGAGCAGCTGTTGTGAGGATGTAGAGGACCTGGAACCCTTACACACTGTTGGTGGGAATGGAAAATGGTACAACCAAGTTAGAGACCAGTTTGTCAATTTCTCAAAACAGACTTGCCACGTGAGGTAGCCATTCCACTTTTAGGTATTTTTATCTAAAAGAAAGTGCATGCCCACACAAAAACTTAAACACAAATAATTATAGCAGCTTTGGAGTATTTGCAAATAAGCCAACCTGGAAAGAACTCCAATGTCTATCCATCGATTCATGGATGAGCGAAGTATGATCAACATGCAGACTATGTAGTATTACTCAGCAAGAAAAAAGACTGAATTACTGAATACACAACAACATGGATGAATCCCAGGATGATTACACTAAGGCCAGACACGAAGGAGTACCGACCCTATGATCCCATTCACTTAGAACTCTAGAAAACACAAACTAACTAACAGCGACCAAAGGCAGTGGGGAGGGCAGGAAGGGGAATCATAAAGGGGCATGAGAAAACTTTCGGAGGTGATGAATATGTTTGCTATTTTGACTGAGCTGATGGTGTTTCACAGGTGTATACACACGTCAAAACTTATCAAATAGTAAACTTTAAATTGTGTAGTTTATTGTATATTAATTATACTTCAAAAAGCTGCTAAAAGCCCCAATATTTTCAGAATCACTTAAGAATGAGGTATAGCATAAGAACAAAATTTTGTAACTATGTATGGTGACGGATGTTAACTAGACTGTGGTGATCACTTTGTAATATATACAAATACCAAGTCATTATGCTGTACACCTGAAACTAATATAACGCTCTGTTAATTATACTTCAATTTTTTTAAAAAAAGAATGAGACAGATAACACTGCTTTACTGACAGACTATTACACTTTGAGTTCTTCAAAATGCCATGTGGCATAGTAGAAAAAGTAGATATTCCAACACAAAACCTTGCTTGTTCAAGTTCCATCTCTGCTACGGCCTCACTAACCTCTCGGCCTTCAGTGTGCTTCTCTCTAAAACTTCCCCGCTCGTTTTATGGAGTTAATGGCATAAGTGAGATTGGGCTTTATAATGTTAGGTGTCACACAAATGTATTGCATATTATTTACCAGGTATCCCTCCCTACTTTACCTGATATACTAAACCTACCCTACCGGTGTAAGCTAGCAAAAAGACTGGTTATTTTAGGTCAAACTTCAACTGATACATTTTCTCTCATGGCAATAAGCATGTTTTAAACATGCCCTTTTAAAAACACAATTTAATGGGAGAGAATGGAATGTTTAAAAAAGTGGATAATTGTTTTTCTGATGTGGAAAACAATACCTTTTCTACCTAATTGGCTGAATTTAGAGACCGAACAAGGTAACAGGTATGACAGGCTTTCAAAAAATCTTTGAAAACTTTTTACAAATACTAGACGCTATTACCATAACTATGCTTTATCTCCGCGTGGCTAATGTAATATTTAGAGGTGTAGGGTACTGGTGGTTCAAAGGACCACAAGACTGAAGGAGTAGGATTCTCAGTACTCTATTAATTTTAGTATGTTATTAAATGCCCTCTAAATATAGACTAAAGTGGAATGAGGTGTCTTATTAAATCCTTAAAGCATCTAGATAAGGAAAATGAGGCTCGGAGGGGTTATGCAGCAATCAGCAAGTAAAAGGACTGATATTCAAACCCAGATTTTCTAGACTCCAAAGTTTACTCGTTTTACTATGTTCCCAAAATTACTTATAGTCTCAGAAGCACTTGGTACTAGCAAATCATGCTACCTATGTGCTCTACACATATTTACTTCTGGTAGTTACATGTTCTCATATACTATATGTTTATATATGTAATAAATGCTGTATCACCAAGTAAACATTGGAAACTGCCCTATGTTCTATAGTGAAGAAGACAACACATACATCTGTGCCGTAGACGAGGAAATCACCAGTCAAGGCATGACACAGAATACGGCACTTATCGTCCACTGCTGGGAAAAGTCGAGTCTCACGTTCTTCTTGAGCATCCAAGAATTCACTTTCTATCTAAAACAAAGAATAACAGTGGCTTATAGACTGATCTGAGTAAACCTAGTCTGCAATGTCTAGAGGGTAAGGGAGGATCTTTTTCTTCAGTTCAGTTAAACCAGACTCACTAGACGACCACAGACCAGCTGACGCAGAAAGGTATCAGAAAGGAACCACAGCTCGCGAGTGGGGCAGCATCCGACCTCCCTCTTTAGTGGGAACAGTCTTTGCAGGCTCTGAAGCTGTCTAGCGGCTGATCCCTCTGGCTTCCCAGAAGCAAAGAGCCAGGAAACAGATGTGGAACACGCCCTGGTTTAGCAGCCCGCTATTCCAGGGCCAATTTATCTCTTGAACAACCCAAGAGGCATAGTATAAAGGATCCCCACAAGCGAGATGCCCTAAATGTATGAGTGAAATACATTTCAGGAAACCCAGATGTATGGCATTCCCATCAGTTTTTATCGTTTACTTCTACTTTCTAGATACAGTTACAAACAGGGCAACAGGTATTTTACCATAAGCAATGAGGCATGTAGCAGTTGATACATTGCCAGGTTTCTTAGGAAAGTTAATTGAACATCTGATGCAGAAGGGTAAAGGGTTTTGTTAATCCTTTACCCACACCTGGCTTTCTAGCTAATCTGTACATGGTTGCTTCCTGACCAAAGTTCTTAATAATGAGACTGTTCATCATCACTGCCAAGTTAACTGGGCCGGCCTCCAGGACATCAAGATTATACTCACCAAATGTAACTGGACTTTGCCTTCAAACAGTGCTGCTGCGTAGTCCGAATGAAGGGACACACTGGCTACTGTCCCCAGATACTCCATATCTTTCAGTTTCTTCACACCTTGAGCAATGCAAAAGAACAAACAGTATATGAAAATATTAATAAAATTATATAAATATTTGCAAGTGACTTTACATGTGCACCTTTACAAGGATATTCTGAACCTAAAAATTTTTATTTTAGACATCCTAAAGAAAATCTTAGTTGCCATATAAAGTTGCCTTCAGGAATTCCATAAGGGTTTCCAGGAAACAAAGTAAAAGAAGATAAAATTACACACAAAACAAATATTAAACCTTGATGACAATAAGCTTGATGGTGAATTCGGACAACAAAGCTCAGGTTTGCTCTGTTGCTGAGGAGATCTGACCTCCAGCGTGGGGGGGTGGGGGGGGAGGGAGGAGGGGAAGAAAAAGCCAGGCTCCCTTCAGGTGCTAATGGTCATTATTCAAACAGTACAATACGGGCCCAGCTTTTGTTAAGCACCTACCAGAGCAAGGAGAACTAAGAAAGAAAGTCACTGTGCAAAGGCAGAGCACACGGTTTATTTAATTTTCCACACAACCCCGTACACATCGAAGAATCCTCATTTTCCACAGGATAACCCAAGACTCAGGGGGGTAAAGAATTTGTGCACAGTCATCTAAGTGAGGCAGAAGGGGAATCGAGATCCAGGGCCTAATTGTCAAGTTCATACTCTGCCTGCTATACCGAGCTGCCTTCACTACAAAGATTAAAGAACACAACCTTTCCAAAAATTATGCAAAAATTTTAGAGGACTCGCAAAACTCTTTAGACTAAGAGCGAGCGGTCTGAAGGAAGAAAGAGTGAAAGACTTGTCAGATCTTCTGCTTTCGCCCTCAAAAAGCTGTATGAACGCGCCCACTCCCCTGTAGCCGTAGGTTGGGTAAGGTTTAAACTGTGGAACTCAAGGGGACTGTGACCAGTTCCTGGGTCAATAACTTGCGACCTATTGGTCACACAACAGTTCTGGGGAAAACTATAGATGACGTCTCAATTCAGTGTTCACAATTCTTCATAGGAAGGACAATAATTTACAAGCTTCCTTTGCAAAAAACAATGGAGACCCAAGACCATCTGCAATGCACGTGACTTTCTGATAGAGCCTTAGAATCTACTCCTTGACACATGAACAACAGATGGAAGACCCAAGGAATTTACCCTAACTCCCCCTCCCACTCCTCTTATCCAGCTTAAAAACCCTTAGCCTGGTCCAGCAGGTAACATAGAGCTGAGGCATTGATGAGTCTCGCATGTTCTTGGTTGACACCTTCTTGGTCAAAAAATCTTTCCTTTCACCAATCTGACATTTTGATTTTTGACCTTTTGAAGTGTAGGGCACAGGACCCGGAGTTTGGTAACAAATGCTTCCCAAATAGATCAGGAATTCTATGCTAGAGAAGAAAACAACTGGATTCCGACTTGCCGTTCTCTCCGAGGACATAAAACCAAGCTCGATTGTTCATTCCCACAGCCAGATGATACAGTCCTACTGCCACGAAGTTGGGTTCCACATCAACAGAAACTGTGATCGGTAGCTCCTGTCACATAGAAAAGTAACTAGTGAATCAGTTGCTAACATTATTTTGATTTTATTCATAAAATTAAAATAACACCACTTTCATACTCCTTCAACAGGGTTGGCTACGGTGACTTCCAGAAGGGAGGTGAGATAGGCAACCCTTGTGCTGCAGGCGTCGCCAAGGATGGGAAGCTTGGTCAGGAAAACATGGAGTGAGCCCCTCTGGGTGGACAATGCCAGCAGCTGGCCATCATCTGTCCAGGACAAGCTATCCAAACCTGAAATAAGTTACAAAGCAAAGGATTATTCAAAAACAGATATACTGTTGCAGGCAAACAAGCAAATTATTTCCATTTAACCTACCAGAGGCATAAAAATCTCCAAATGTTTTTTTTTTTTTAAGTTTAAAGAGTCTTTATTTAGCCCTGGCTGGTGTGGCTCAGTAGATTGAGTGCTGGCCTGCAAACCAAAGGGTTGCGGGTTTGATTCCCAGTCAGGGCACATGCCTGGGTTGCGGACCAGGTCCCCAGTTGGGGGCGCACGTGGGGCAACCACACACTGATGTTTCTCTCCCTCCCTCCCTCCTTTCCCCTCTCTCTAAAAATAAAAATGAATAAAATCTTTAAAAAAAAAGTCTTTCTTTAGACTAGGAAATTCACCATGGATTGACATATGACCATGAGCACTAATTCATTCAATACTGGCTTAAAGGGTACATACATAAAAACTTAGATTTTATCATTGTAATTAGGATAAAGTTTACTACGTCTCTGGATCAAAGTGGACTTATATCCTTCTAGTGAAGGAGTATGACTCAACATAGTAACTAGAATAAGGAGGCTATTTTAGGAAACTCTAGTGAAGGGTGCTAATAGTATTCCTCCTACAGAAATGTAAACTGTACAATAACAAACACACTACTCTGGAATTGGGATGATAAAATGCCATCTGCTTCAGAAAAATCAATACCTTTAATTTCATCATCCAGGCTGATTATAGCATACATGTCTTTTAATTCTGCCAACTCATGAATTTTAATGCTGGAAAAAACAACAACAAACACAATTAAATATGAGCTCTAAATAAAATTGTTTTTGTTTACAATTGTAAGCTATACATATTTAATTTCTCAGTCTATTTATAATCAACATTTAGGCTACTTCAAGCAGAAGTAGAAATCTTATCACATATAAGAATTCTATCCATTCCCCTTTATATTGTAATCGTCTTATATTGCATCTTCATGCAATGAACACACTGAGATTATAATTCTTGCTTTCAGTAGCCACATATATATTAAAGATCTCAAAATTTAAAAATAGCCCATTATATTTACCCAGGCCATCTACCATTTCTGCTGCTCTTCTTCGACAGAAGGAAATCTGAGATGTCCCAAATTCCTTCTGGCATCGTTCTCTTCAGCAATTCTTTCAGAGCATTCCTGCGAGCAATAAACTCTCTTCCTTTCCTTTCATCTGAGAATGTTTTTAATTTCCCCTTTATTACTGATGGATATTTCCACTGGACATAGAATTTCAGTTTATAGTTCTTTTCCTTCAGCACTTAAAAAATGTTGTGATGCTTCCTTCTGGCGTGTGTGGTTTAATATGGGAAATCCACTGTCACTCAACATGTTGCTCACTGGCCACTTTCAAGATACAGTCTTTGTCTTGGTTTGTGGAAGTTTGTTCATGATGCCTCTGGGACTAGACTTCTTTGGATTTACCCTGTTGGGGATTTTTTGAGCTTCTATAATAAACCTATAGGTTTATGTCTTTTGCCAAACATGAGAAGTTTCCAGCCATTATTTCTAAGACTTTTATGACACAAATGTTAGACTTTTTGGTATTAGTTCACAGTCCCTGGGGGTGCGTTCATTTTTTCCAATCTGCTTTTTCTCTGTGTTGAGACTGAATATTTCTATTGGTCTAGCTTCAAGTTCACTGACTCTTTACTCTGTGATCTCCATTCTGCTATTAAGTGCACTACATTAATTATATTGTTCAGTTCTTAAATTTCCACTTGCTTATTTTTTTCATAGGTTCTATTTCTTTTCTGCAACTGTTTCCATTTGTTTCCCATTTGTTTGGAGAAATGGAAATGATAGTCCTTACCTCTAAAAGCACTTTTATAATAGCTGCTATCTTTATCCTCTCGGTCCTGGCTTCTTTTGATTGCCTTTTCACCGTGAGTTGAAATTTTCCAGATTCTTCATATGTCAAGTAATTTTGGGTTATATTCTGGACATTTTTAATATTATGTTATGAGTCTCTGTGTCTTGTTTAAATCCCATGGAGAAGGTGAATTTTTGTTTTTAAAGCAGGCAATCAACCCAGCTGGGTGAAGGCCACGAATTTCAACTAGTGTTCTGTGGGTTATGGTTTCAGTGTAAGTTCCATTTTCAAAGCCTTTGCAGTGGTATTTGGACGTGTCCCTGCATGGCCTATTCTGTGGCCAGTGTAGAACCTCGGCTATGACCTGTTCCTTAGTTCAGTTCTCAAAGTCTCTGGTGTGTGTTTAGGGTGAGATGCATATACGCAGCTCAGGGAAAAATCTGCGAGTTCATAAATATCTTTATAGGGTCATGTCCCAGAGGTCCTCTCTCTCTGGGATTTACCCAGTACTTTCTAGTTTTTTGGGACTCCCATGTTTTGTTCTCCGGTTGGAAGCTGGGGCTCTAGTTACCATGTCCTGCCTTGTACTTCCCACAATTGCACCCATGCCCGTGGCCGAGCAGGAGGACAAAGAGAAAAAATAGGCAACAGGAGTTTGCCGCACCATCTCGGCAACACAGGTTCTCCAATTAGAGAGGAATGCTACCCTCCATGTTTTAGGTGCCTGTGGGTCCTTGCAGCCATTGCCGTGGCTGCCACTGCTGTGGTGAGATTGCTTGGTTGCTAGGGCATGAGAGAGCAAAACACAGGCAGAAAACTGGTGGATTTCCCCACCTGTTTGAGTGTTAGGAGTTCTCTTTCCTGCAACTTGAGCCAGAACTAGAGAGCTTCTCTCAGAGCTCCTCTGTCTGTGCTCCGGTGCCGCCTTCTGGATTTCAGGCTGCCTTGAATCCTGAGACTGGGAGACTCAACACTGGTTCAGTCGTACTTCAAATTCTGGTATTCTTTGTCAATCTGCTTGCTACTATTTACTTTTCAGAGTCCTTAAATAGGTGGTCTGTGCATTCTATCCAGGTTCTATAGCCATATTCAGTGAGGGAGATGGGGTGGAATATGTTTAATCCATGCTACCCAGAACTGCTTATTTTATTTGTTGTTTTTTAGTATATTTTATTGATTATGTTATTAATTGTCCCTATTTTCCCCCCTTTGCCCCCACTCCACCCAGTACCTCCTTTCCCTCCAGCAAGCCACCCCCCCACCACCCCAGTTCACATCCATGGGCTGTGCATATAAGTTCTTTGGCTTCTCCATTTTCTATACTATTCTTAACATCCCCCTGTATACTTTGTACCTACCAATTATGCTTTTTAATCCCTAGACCATTTCCCCTACTCTCCCTCTACCTCCTACTAGGCGATACCCCTCCAACTGATCTCCATACCTATGATTCTGTTCCTGTTCTAGTTGTTTGCTTAGTTTTTCTTTTAGACTCAGTTGTTGACAGTTGTGAATTCGTTGCCTTTTAAACATTCATAGTTTTGATCTTTTTCTTAAAGAAGTCCCTTTAGCCCTGGCTGGCGTAGCTCAGTGGATTGAGCACGGACTGTGAACCAAAGCATCGCAGGTTCGATTCCCAGTCAGGGCACATGCCTGGGCTGCAGGCCACGGCCCCCAGCAACCGCATATTGATATTTCTCTCTCTCTTTTTCCCTCCCTTCCCTCTCTAAAAATAAATAAATAAAATCTAAAAAAAAAAGTCCCTTTAACATTTCACATAATAAGGGCTCAGTGATGATGAACTCCTTTAACTTGATCTTATCTGGGAAGCACTTTATCTGCCCTTCCATTCTAAATGATAGTTTTGCTGGATAGAGTAATCTTGGATGTAGGTTCTTGCCTTCCATGACTTTGAATACTTCTTGCCTGCAAAGTTTCTTTTTAGAAATCAGCTGATAATCTTATCAGTACTCCTCTGTAGGTAACTATCTGTTTTTCTCTTGTTGCTTTTAAGATTCTCTTCATTTTTAACTTTTGGCATTTTCATTATGATGTGTCTTGGTGTGGTCCTCTTTGGGAATCCACCTTCTTTGGGAATCTCTCTGTGCTTCCTGAACTTGTATGTCTATTACATTAGTCAAATTAGGGAATTTTTCTTTCATTATTGTTTCCAACACGTTTTCAATTTCTTGCTCTTCCTGTTCTCCTTCTGGCATCCTTATGATTCAGATGTTGGTACATTTGGAGATGTCCCAGAGGTTTCTTACACTTTCCTCATTTTGTTTTGTTTTTGAATTGTTTCTTCTTGCTGTTCTGGTTGAACGTTTTCTTCCTTCTGTTCCAAATTGTTGATTTGAATCCTGGCTTCCTCCCCTTCACTGCTGGTTCCCTGTACATGTTTATTTTTCTTAGTGTAACCTTCATTTCTTCCTTTATGTTGTTGCCATACTCATTGAGTTCTTTGAACATCCTGATCACCAGTGTTTTGAACTCTGCATATGATAGGTTGGCTATCTGTTTCATTTAGTTCTTTATCTGAAGTTTTATTTTGTTCTTTCATTTGGGCCCTATTTCTTTGTCTCCTCAATTTGGCAGCCTCCCTGTGTTTGTTTCTGGGTATTAGGTTGAGCTGCTTTGACTCCCTGTTAATGGTACCTATAAATTGTGTGGGGCAGAGTCTTAGGTAATCATCACAGCAGGGCAATCCACTTCACCGCTTTGTGGCTCAGGGTGGGAGGAGGGCTCAAAGAGGGGACTGTAGTGCTGCCTGGCTTCTGAGGTTTGCCTGGCACTTGCCCTGTTTCCAGTCCCTTTGCCCACTCCCTATTTGTGACTGGCACCCTTCCAGCTGTTGTCCTGTTGTTGAATCCCAGAGTAGCTGGGCTTACATATGTTTTAAGATCTTGCAGGCCCTTTATGTGGAGTTTCCTGAGATTCTTGCAGTTTTTCTTCCTCTCTAACCTCCACTGGTTTTTACAGCCAGAAGATATGGGTATTTTTATCTTCCTGGTGCTAGAACCCTGGGCTGTGAGGTCTGGCCTGGGGCTGGGATCACTTGCTCCCAAGGTTATCCCTACCAATTTTTATCCACCACACATGAATATGGGACCACTTGTGCCCAATCTGCTGCCACCGCCTCTCTGCACCATACCCTGTCTCCTCGCCTCCGCTCCTCCTACCTGTCTGGATGAATGTGGCTTCTTTACATCTTTGGTTGTTGGACTTCCATACAGTTCAATTTTTTAACAGTTTTGGGTGTTGTTTTGAGATTTAGCTGTAATTTTTTTTGTGGTTGTGTGAGGAAGCAAGGTGTGTCTACCTATGCTTCCGTCTTGAATGAAAGTCTCCTATTTTGTTTTTAAAAGTGATTTTCAAGCATAGTCCATTTCAGGTTTTGTATTTAGTATACATTTAGTATTTTAGATTTTGCCATGGGAGTTAAAGGCAAGGAGTCTTAGAAATTCTCATTGCAAATATGTTGTTAGAGTGCAAGAAAGTATGGTTGATTCTCTTTTTTTTTCAATCCTCACCCGAGGACATTTTTTTCATTGCTTTTAGGGAGAGAGAGAGCAGAGAGAGAGAGATGTGAGAGAGAAGCATCGATTGACTGCCTCCCACAAATGTGCATGGACTGGGGATCTTGTGATTGACCAGGGATTGTAAGTGCCTGGACCAGCGATCACATGCACTTGGGATTGTACCCCCAACCTGGGTACGTGCCCAGACTGGAACCAAACCCGAAACCTTTTGGTTACCAGAGGATGTTCCAACCAAATAAATCATACCGGCCAGGACAACCGATTCATTTTGGCTACAAAAGTCTTGTTGACTCTCTTAATATTCCTTATATAAGCTTTCTAGGAATTTGTAAATATAACTTACCAGTTATCACCACATATAGCAGCTTTGTTAAGGGTCTGTGATACTGCAATACTAGTTAGACTATCTTTATGATCACGAGCTTGAAATACCTCTTGGCCAATCTCTCGAATATGAGTGGAAATTACCACAAAAGTTCCACGTGAAAAACCAATCATGATGTAGCCATCACCATACCTAAAGCAACAAAGGCAACAGTACAGTAAAAAGAGAAACTAACTATCATTGGAAATATAGTTACATTGGAAATACAAGTTACATAAGCAAGTAACTTAAAATGAAGCAGAGAATGTAATTTAGCAAGGGCTGTGTGCCAGACAGCATATGCTAGATAGTTTCACATACTGAACCATAGTCTGTAATCCAGAAAATGTTACATAAGGAAATGAAAACGATTCAGGCAAAAATTAAATATAATCAGTAAAGAACTCATGGATGTCTTTCTGTAACAACCTGCAATGATCTCCACATACCAGCTATAGCAGACAATGTTGCCATAGTGCTCCTGAAATTCCAGGTCAATTGAACTATCTGGATCATTGAGATTAAAAAGAAACAAACTTTTCTTGCCAAGCACCACACTTATCTGCCAGAAAAAAAAATCATGAGATTGTTAAATGAGCTACTCAGTACTTCATGAAAAGACACTACGTAAATTCAAATACATGAAGGTAAGTCATGAAAACAAGCCAAATTTGGATGTGCTAAATGCTACAATTACTAAAAGAACAATGTAACTAAAAAAATACATTTTGTTAACATATAGCCTGGGAAGAATCCTTGACTTTATGCATATCTAATATGCCCTTGGAAGTACACTAAAATACCTAGGCAGAATCATTTTTAAAAATTCTCTATACCTCTCATTAGAGTACCATGCAGTATAGGACTGTAAGTCTGATATGGTTTCATCAAAATTGAATTCATATTCAGAATATAGTCTTCCATCCTAAAAGGTCATTTTCCTTTTGAGCCATCTGGCACAACAAGTCCACAACCATGTGGATATTCTAGCTTTTATATCGTCACTCTTCCCATTACCTGTAGGTCAATGTGACTAGACAAGTGTCCCTCTGTTACTCACACAAGCCAATACTTAACTGTCATTTTCAGTGGAGTGTTTAATTGTACTGGGGAGATAAAAGAGCATATTACTTAACTGAGCTCATTAAGGGTGATTAATATATACATAAAAAGAGAAACACTTTGATATATTGGGTTGGCCAAAAAGTTTGTTTGTCTTTTTCCATATGATGGCCCTAGTAGTGCTTAATTGTCTTTAACTTCACTCGAAAGGATTTTGTTAGATTGTATCATGACAGCTGTCATATCAGCGTGCATTTAATTAAACTTATCAAAATTGGTGAATTTTTGTGTAGCTATTTTAATGTTGAAGATGGAAGAAAATACACAACATTTTTGGTATATTGTGCTTTATTATTTCAAGAAAGGTAAAAACACAACTGAAAAGCAAAAAAAACATTTGTGCAGGGTAAGGAGAAGGTGCTGTGACTAACTGAACATGTCAAAAGTGGTTTGCGGAGTTTTGTGGTAGAGAGCTCTCTCTGGATGATGCTCGTGGTTGGGAAGAGCAGCTGAAGTTGAGATCAAATAGAAACATTAGTGAGAACAATCAATGTTATACCATGTGGGAGGTAGCCAACATACTCAAAATATCCAAATCAACAGTTACTGGAGAAAATGAAAAAATGTGTCTTTTATTTTACAGGAAAAAAATTAAATGGACTTTTTGGCCATCCCAATATTACATTAATTCTAATAGCTATAATTATAAGATACTACCAATTTAATAATAGCTTTTTAAGAAATAAAAAACATTACTTCATATAAATATAGGCATGTCGATTTTAAAAACTGTCTGGATTTTAGGATGTTAAAATGTGGCAGGGAGTGCATCTGAGGTATTAAGAAAAGCTGGTCCCATTGGATAGTGAAAATAAAAAAGTCATACAGAAATCAATATGTCTGTTTATAAAGGGACCCCTACTCCTTTTGCTACTACAAGAATGAGAAAAGCTCCACCAAGTGTTAACAGGAAGATGTCTTCATTTGCTGTAATACCAAGTAGCCAGCAACAGGAAAACAACTTTCAGTCCTGAGAGAAGGGCCTACACGGTTTAATATGTGATAGACTATAATTTATTAACCACTATAGATTCTGAACCACCCAAGAAAAGGAGAGAGCTTATGCTACAAAATTATTAAAATCAGTTGGGGTGAGCTCTCCCTCTCAGGAGCATGCCCACCTCTTTCTTCCCTCTCAGGGTTGCCTCTCTTCTTTTTTAAGAGTCCCCACTAAACTTGCAACCAGGGGAGCAATGGGCAACAGCAGTGCAACCTGGCCAATCCCTGAACCTGTCTCCAGGAGCCCCTTCTCTCTGACTTCCCGATGAGTAAGAGCAGCCCAGCCTAGGCTCTTTCCTGTTGCTCCTTCTATCCTAAGCCCTTCTTTGCCCCACTGCCCTCAGCTTTATTAACACACTCTCAGAGCCACCTAGACTTGTGTTGTGAAACCTTTCCACATGAAGTCAAGAACCCGCACACCACCAGCTGGCCCAAGGAAAACCCGCTCCAGGCCCGGACCCTGTCCCGTAACATTATGAATCTGGGAGTTGACATAGGAGAGAGGCAGCAGCTCCACAACACCTCCGAAGAGAAGACAGACACATTTGTTTCCTTAGTGTCAAAAGTCTTCCTTGGTGATGGGGACAGACTCATGGATAGAGAGCATGAGGACAGCTCATGAGGGGCAGGGTTTGGGGGTGAGGGACTGAGCAAAAAGGAAAGAGGACTCATGGACACGGACAACAGTATGGTGATTGCTGGCAGGAGCGGGGTATAAGGGGACTAAATGGTAATGGGAAAAATACAATAAAGATTAAATAAAACAATAATCTGGGCATGAATTTGATTCAGAATTCTTACTGTGTTTTCCATAGCATAGGTTCGGTCATCGGTCTTCATCGTGGAAAACTGCATGTCGCTAGGCTCCAGTCTCACGGGTGACTGCAGGAATGAAAACACTGTCACTACGAATAAACCCAGCACTTCAAGTCACTGGGAATAATAAAACAGGTACCTTGCTTTAATTTATGTTATACGTTGGACTAATGACCTGAAATTCCCACTGCTACAAACATCTAGAAATCCTTGACGACACAGAGCAGGTATCTCATTAAAAGTATAGTAAGTCGGAAGGACAGTAAGGAAAATTTCCAGGGACATAAGTAAAGATCAAACTGAAAACCGAAGTGCATGTAGGAAGCAATCCTGCAGCTACCCAAAACAGCTGGTAAAAGGGAACAATAAGGAAGCCATTTAACTTGGGCTCAGCTTTGGGTCAGAAAATAGTTGAAAAGTTGAAATCAAAGACTTTACTCCTATCCTCATTATGGTCTGAGATTCAGGTTAATACTCTGAGTGATCTAGAAACTCCCTGCAGTGTTTGGCAAAAACAAATCCAAAGCCTCTTTCAACACTGCAAAAAATTTCCTCAGCTAAGCCCTGCTGAATATGAGCTCACAATTCAAAATGAGAAAACTCAAAGAAACAATGCATCAAGAACAAACATTAGGCCCTGGCTGGTGTAGCTCAGTGGATTGAGCGCGGACTGCAAACCAAAACATCACAGGTTTGATTCCCAGTCAGGGCACATGCCTGGGTTGCAGGCCACGGCCCCCAGCAACCACACATTGATGTCTCTCTCTCTCTCTCTCTCTCTCCCTCCCTTCCCTCTCTAAAAATAAATAAATAAAATCTTTTAAAAAATATGACTCTAACCTTTCAAAAAAAAGAGAATGTGATAGCCATTTAACATAATAAAAAAAGAACAAACATTAGAAGATCTAAAAATAACAGGATGATCTGAGAGACATTATAAAATAAATACTTTAAAAACAACTAAAAACATAAAAGGACTTACAAGTATGAGAAAAGACTTAAAAAAAATCCAGACAGATTTCTACAAGAACTGCAAAGTACTTTCCAAAAACAAAAAGTATAGTCATTAGAAGAAATACTCAATGGGATAGACAGAAGATCAGACAAATTTGAAGTAAAAATAAGTAAACTGATTGGAGGAAATTATCCAGGTTACCCAAAATGACAAAAAACCCTATAACAGAATTAAGAGCTCTGAGAAGATCTGACATATATCTAGCAGAAATTCCAGAAGGACAGAATGGAAAGGACAAGAGGTAATATTCAAAGAGATAATGGCTAGGAATCTTCCAGAGTTGATGAAAGAGTGATCTTTAGATTCAGGAAGCAAGGCGGTCCTCAGCAAGATAAATAAAAGTAACCCACACAGGTGACACAACAGCAACCTACATAACAGTTAAAAGTCGAAGCCACTCAAAGACCATACCAAACAAAGCAATGCAAAACCATGTATGTTTTGCTTATGACATGATAACTTAAGCAGTATGTCACACTCTGGAAGCATACTTTTTGGCAATCAGAAACAGGAAACAGCTTTCTTATATGTGAGTAACAGCTAAATGGGCGTGGCTTCCTGGGACGTTAGATGGAAGAATATCGTGAGTCCCTGCCGTGATTCAGCAGGAACAAAACGCTAGTGCCTACGGGTGCTGTCTACCGCGATGGCAGGGTGGGGCGCTCGAGCACTTGCGCCATGCACCTCCCATTCTAACTAGTCCGGACACAGAGTAATCACAGTTACAAGGTTTTTAGGAAATATTTTTTACATTAATGCCAGATTAATCTTCCTTAAGAACAACTTTAATCACGCTATAATTCTGTCCAACATGGCTGAGATAGTTACTTCAGCCTAACTTTCCAAACTTTCCAGATATGGGAATGAACTTTCTTCTTCAGCCTTACTTTCTGTAAATTCTCAGTCAAAACCTGTATCTTCAGCCAAGCCATTCTGAGCAAGCCATAAACAAGCTATAGGTTTTTCCTCTTAGCTTTGTGCATGCTGTATTGCTTCGGTTGAAAGACACACATTGCTAAATCGTCTTACAGTACCCATTAAAACAAGTTACAGCAGGACACGTGGTCACGTAGGTAGACCAAATTTGCAGCTTCCCTGGCAGCAGTCAGGTGTGACCATGTGACTAAGTTCTAATCATATGCTATGAATGGAAATAATAAACTCCTCCTCCAGATCGGGGCCTTAACAGATTTGTTGCACTCCACTTCTTTCTCTCCCTTCCCTGGGCTGAAATGCAAATGTGGTGCAGTACGCTAGTTTTATCATGCAGAAGAGGGCAAACACCCTTGACAATTGCAAAGCAATGGATGAAAAGAACATGGGACTCTGTACAACCTTGTGAATCAGACATACACAGGTGACCTGCCTACACTCTCTACTACATGAGAAAAAGAGGCTAAAAACCCACCCAAACTACCATATTCTTAGAGCCCTTGTACTCTGGGGTCTCCATTACAACAGTTTAGCCTATACCCTGACTTAGATTACCTTCTCTTGTTCAGTGATTCACAAATACAACTTTCACGCATCTCCTCCATCTCACAAGTGCTATAGGACTTACAAGCTATATGACAAAATTTGGCAATCATATGAGGCTACATGTGTTTTATCATGATTAGTTTTGTCTTCTCAAGAGTAGGGGCCTATAGGTGCGAGCCTCCAAGATGGTCCACAATGACCCTCACCTCCTGGTTTTTATGCCTTTGCTTAATTCCCATCCCTGCCCCCTTGAGGGTGGGGCTGGGTCTAGTGACTCACTTCCAGAGAACAGAATATGGCAAAACTGATTTCGAAATCAGGTTATTTATGAAGAGATTGTACCGTAAGTCTTGAATGCCTGCTAGCACTGTTTCTCCGGCAGCTATGTTGCGAGGCACTCGATGGAGAGATCCACGTGGCAAGAGAACGAGGCAGGTTTCTAGACACTAAACAGCCAGAGAGAGGAACTGAGACCCTGAGCTTAACAACTGGTAGGGAACTGGACTCGGTCCACATCCACGTGAGTGAGCTCGGAAACAGACCCTCCAGTCAAGCCTTCCGATGAGACCGCAACCTGGACTGACTGAGAGAGGGGAGATGGGGAGGCGGAAGCATGCAGCTCAGCTGCATCTGTATTCCTCTCCCACAACAACTGTGAAATAATAAAGGTTTACTGACTCAAACTGCTAGGTTGTGGGAGTAATTTCTTATTCAGTGATAACTGATACAGGGTGGTAGCCTATATTTCTCCTAAAGCACGCAGCACCGTGTCCTGTACCTAGCAGTTACGTTTAGAAATGTGTTAGTTCATATTGCTCCAGCAATGTTAAGTCATGAGCCAAGTAGTTTAGGTGAACTTTTCCCATTGGGGAGATCATGTAGTTATTGGTAACACAAATTCCCTAAAGGAGGAGCCGCTGAAGATCTAATCAAGTGGGAAATTTGAACAATAGTAAAATTTAATCCTAAAATTAAATTTAATTAGGGTTAGTTTGGAAATAATTTAACATATCGGTTAAAAGTGTGGGTATAGAATTAGGCAGACATGACTCTGAGTCTAGTTATTAACATTTATATTATAAATATACATATATAAAATAGTTACTTCACAAATATACTGTCTGACTAACCACAGGGCTGACAACCCATGCTAACATTAAACAATGGGAAATGTACAAAGGAGGATATCTGGATAAAATAGCCACATTAAAGAAAAAGGAAAGTTTTTGATGTTTGGAATATAAAGTTATTGTATACATACTGCACTTAGAAATTTAAAAGTTTTACAGATAGGTTTGATAGACAAACTTTATTTTAGGTAAAAATTTGAACGTATCAGACTAAAGAGATGTTACAGTATTACCTGTCTTATCGTGTCCCCTTCCTGATTACTAACTGTAATCATTCTGTCTTCGCCACCTAAAGCAAGCAGATTCTCTGCATTCCAGCATCCACATGTGATTTTCTTATTGTGTTTTCCTGAAAAAGAGATGATTTTTGTGCAAACACACGGATTTCTCAAAAAAACCCAAACAATTAAGAAATCTGTAATGTCAATCTGAAAGTTTAGGTGATATATCATGGAAATCGGACAAGGAATTTAATATATCATCAAATCAGTTAGTGTCTAAGAAATCTTATTCAAAACAGTTTATTACCAAGTTGTAACTCAAGACAATGGTATATGAAGGTTATAATGTTTTCCAAGTTTCTATGTGGATATGAGCATAGGCCCTAAAATAAGAACACATTCTACTTCTTGACGAGTTTGTTTAGTTACCATATCACTGAACCTGTAACGATAATGCTTCAAGAGAAGTAAAGCCCAAAGCACTGAGGTTCTTGGTTTGATATTCAGCTTCACGGTGTGGTAGACCCACTCAACACTGACCGCCTGGACTAGTCATATGTATCTAAAGAACACGGTGACTCGTGATAATACTGAGGTAAATATGAAAGCACCTTATCGAGACTTGTGTTAAGAATTAAGTCACTTAACTAGAGTAATGTTAAATGACCATTACTATCAGGATACTTTCTCTATTGGGGCTTCTAGCCAGTGCAAATATCACATGCTTGATATTGTGGGCATTTACTGAAGGTCCTGGAACAGACAAATACTCAAGAGTCCCAAGGTTAATTAAATCTACAGATTCTGGGGGCAGACTGCCTATGTTTGAGTAAGAGGCTCATCACTTACTGCAGAACCTTGGGTAAATTACTCAGCCTTCTAATCCTCAGTCACGCCATGACAAACTGTGTATGATGGCGGGAGCTATCTCACAGGGCTGAGGACCAAAGGAGTTCAAGTACCCAGAAGAGTGTCGAGGCATGCAAGCAGTGCTACAGACGTGTTAGAAATTTTAGCTGCTACTGAGAAGAGACCACGTGCATTTTATTCCTTGTACCCCTTACAGAATCTATTATGGTACCTATGCAGAAAGCGGATACTAAATAAACAGCCACTGAGTAGACCCTGAGCAGGAGTGTGCCGGTGTGTTAGAGGACAGTGGGGCTGGAGCACAGGAAGGGAGGAGAGAAGGGTATGGGTATGGGATGAAGTCGGGCAGCCTGCAGAAGCCTGGCCATGCAGGGTGGCCTCGGTGAGGACTTGCACTTTGACTCTGAGTGAGATGGGGAATGACGGGAGAGTTACGAGCAGGAGGTTCACTCTGGACCCTAGGGTTGGGAGTATTGTATAGTGGGGCAAGAGCTGATGCAGGGGGACCAGTTATGACATTGGAGAAATTTAGGTGGAAGAGGTTTGAGACCCACACCATGATGCAGTAAGAAGAGGCTTGATTCTGGAGATATCTGAAGGCAGGCTGTACAAGATTTTCTGGCAGATTAGATATGGAGGGTATGAGAGAGAGAAAAGTCAAGGATGATGCTAAGGTTTGGCTTGAAGATCTAAAAGGATGAAATATCATCAATGATGAGAGGAAAAGCTGTGTGTCAAAATGGTTTTGGAGATATTAAAATTTGAAGTGTTTATTTGACCTCTCATCAAAGACGTTGAGTAAGCAGTTGGATACGTGAGTCTAGAGTCTGGAAGAGATGAATAGGGGAGTTGTCAGGATAATAGCCAGCATTTCAAATCAGGAGACCAGAGCACAGAAGTAAAGGGAACACTCAGAAAAGAGACTGAGATACAGGATGTTTTGCTGGTCGTAGATGAATGGACTGGGGTGGCATACTAGAACTGGACATCCAAACAGATGGGCATTAGGAAGGGAGGAAGGAGTACATGAAGAGAGGTGGAAAATGCCAAAGACAAACTTCTTTCTGCACCAAGAAAAAGAGAAGGAAATGTCTTCTTTCTCCTCCCTCTTATATCTCAAAACCCTTTTGCTTTCACTTCTCAGAATTCAGGTTAGCCTTAACATCAGTAGTAATAGTTAACACATTTTGTGTGTTTACTTACAGTAAGCTGAGCATTTCACATGTATCAAACTTGTTTAATTAACATTGACTCATAGTTAATGTACTAAGGTAACTGAAGTTTGGACCATGTTATTGGGAGACTGGTAATAGTTCATTAAGGCGTAGTAAATGAAATGCACATATATGAGAACTATGCAAAATGAGAACTGCCTGTACCTAGTCTAGTTCAAGGAAATAAATCAGTGCAAGACGAAACAAAGGTGACAGATATTTAGTTCCTATAAAACACCGACAGATCATGTTACCATGTAGCAGCTATCTAAAATGGAATGGCTTGGTTTTAGGAAAGTAAGTTATTTAAAAGGAAAAGGGCAGAGCCACAAATCATAACCAACTCTGGAAGAGACAGCTATATATTTAACCTAAGATAGCTAATTAACCTGAATCTTTTCAGGTCCATTTTACATAGTTAATAAATTAGTCTGAGAGCAGAATCACTATTTATATTAAACACAAAGATCACATAAAATCATGTGTATGTGACAAATACCTGACACAAAATAATCATGCTTTGCCAAAGTATTTTCTTACAAATTTTAAAAAAGATTTTTTAAATTTATTTTCAGAGAGAAGGGAAGGGAGGGAAGAAAAGCGGGAGAAAAACACTGATGCATGAGAGAAACATTAATCAGTTGTCTCTTGCATACCCCCAACTGGGGACCTGGTCCACAACTCAGGCAAGTGCCCTGACCAGGAATCGAACTGGCAACCTTTCAGTTTGCAGGATGATGCCCAACCCACTGAGCCTCACCAGTCAGGGCACTGGCAAATTATTTTCTTAACTTTAAGTGTCAGAATAACTGGTAGGCCATACCTGCAGATGAAGTGGCAAATTATATGGTGAAAGTTTACTATTCTATGTAAGCCTGGGAAATTCTTGGTAGGCAATGAAGAAGGATCTTCTAGTTTAGCTGTATGTGAGGCTTGACCAGGGGAGTCTTCATACTACAGAATTTCCTTTGCAATCTCAGGAAAGTCAGAGGCAGTAAAATTTACATTTATGTAAAGCATCTCAGATATTTAGTGTTCCCAACTATAACCTACCAAGGATGGGAATTTTTCGAGATGTCTGATGATTATAAATAAGCACACATCCTCTAGCAGTTCCAGCAGCCAGGAAACTTCCAACTTTCGACCAAACAAGAAAACACATTTGATCCCTGTAACATTAAGATATAAATTACTAAACAATTCACAATCATAACCTCTAACTAGTCCTTTTAAAAAGTACTGCATAAATGATTTTAACATCTATGTAGAAGAAGCTAAAGTACAAAATTACAACTTACTGCTTTAGGACAAAGACTAAGTACTAAAAGACTTGGTAGGGTCAGTTAGACTTAAAGAATACAGACTTTAATTCAGTCATAATGGAACCTCAAGTTTCATATGATGACATGGTTATTAATTTGGCTGCTAATGACAGTTGTAACTCTATATGTGGTAAAAAAAAATCTTAATGGATAATGACACCCTGTGCTTTAAGAAAAGTAGGATCCAATAACATGATGTATTAAATTGGAAAAATCGTTGGGAATTCATGAAGGACATATTTTTTTTCCAGCTCTGTCACTATTACTACTAGCTCAAAAGGAAGTCAAAAGCAATCTGCCCACCACCAGTTCTTATGTGCATTCTAGGACGCACAGAATATAATTCCCTACTAAAGGGAATCAGGACTCCTGATTCTATAATATTGAGGAATGAAAGCACAATGGATCTAGAAAAGCGGTTCTGAAAATGCAATCCCAGACCAGCAGCATCGCCTGGGAGCTTCAGAAATGCCAGTTCTCAGAACACAGCCCAATCCTATTGAATGAGAAACTGATGGTGCCCAGCTATCTGCATTTTTAAAAAATTCTCACCTGAAGACATGCTTATTAATTTCTTAGAGAGAGAGGAAGGGGGGAGGAGAGAGCAAGAAACATCAGTTGGTTGCCTCCCATACCCACCGTGACTGGTGATCAAACCCACAATTTTTCTGGTGTGTGGGATGATGCTCCAACCAACCGAGCCACGGGGCGGGCCCAGCTATCTGCATTTTAATAAGCTTTCCAGGTGATTTGGATGCAGCTAAACTGAGGACCACTGATCAGGTTACTATTTTCAGAAAGCAACACTGCTTCCAAGTATGTTGAAAGCAGTAATGAAAGGACAAAAGCATAAGCTTAAGGGAGCTTTGTCTGGTTAACTAAGGAGAATTTGAGCATTAAAAATTACATAATTAATTTAACCACGTTGAGTTAGTGAAAGGCCATAAAATCATGGTGATACATGGAAGACAAAAATTCACTGAAAGTATATGAGAAGTGAGGAGTATTAGGTAGGTGAATGTAATAAAATGTTTAGTTTAAAATTTGTTATCAGTAAGGAAATATTATATACCAAGATGCTAGGTTTCTTCTACTAAGTACGTATTTTATAAAAGATAAGTATGGGCCTGCCCAGGTAGCTCAATTGGTTAGAGCATCATCCCAATATGCCCAGCTTGTGAGTTCAATCCCTGGTCAGGGCACATATAAGAATCAACTAATGAATGCGTAAATAAGTGGAACAACAAATCAGTGTTTCTCCTTATCCTTTCCTCTCTCTCTAAAATCAATCAATCAATAAACATTTTTTAAAAAAGATAAATAGGCATTTTTCTCTATCTGTGTAAGAAGGTGTGGCAGCCATGAGAGTATGCCTCTCAGATCTCCAACGACAGAAAGGGAACTGATCACAGCCCCAGCTGGTAGGCACTGGATTCCATCACCTCCATGAGCTGGGGCCACGCCTTCCACCAGGCTGCACCCAGAGGGCGACTGAGCACGGCAGGAGTACTGCTGAGGCCCCTTTCTGGGAGACACAGGATTCCTTTGATGGGGAACTTTGGCTTAAAATCTCTCCACAGGCCTCGTTGAACTTTTTCAGAACTAGGCTGCAGTCCAAGAAGTTTCTACCTGACCCTTTTTCCTCCTTTCACTCCTTCACGTGGGTCTGAGGGTGCACTGTGGTCTGATGGCTGTCCTAACCTCTTCCTTCTCCCTCTATATTCCCTCGCAGGCATTTCCTGCAATAAATCTCGTCCATTTAAACCTTCTTAAATGGTTTTGAAATCTGCTCCTCAAAAAACACAAATAAAGGAACAGTGAGCGATTAAATAGTACCAGAGAAAAGAGCAACTCTGACAAGAGCAATGTCTGACCGGCAACGGGGCCACGTGTACCAAGAGGAGAGTACCGCTGGTCCACCCGACAGGTTATCATTACTAACAGTCATACCACAACTAACTACAAAGACAGTCAGACAATGTATTCCAAAAAGATCCAGTAACCAAGTGTCCTCAGAATTGCTGACAGAACAGCTTCCGTTTCTTTTCTTAGGAGATAAGGCCTCCAGAAGGCCCTACAAAATATGGCAAGTGACTAAGGCATACATATGTTTCCAATAATGCTAATGAATCAGGTCAATGTATATGTATAATAATGTATAATAATCACATGTATTTCTGGCCAACCAAACTTAGAGAATACATATTCTGGGGAAATGCACCTGGCGAGAGAGAGAGAGAGAGAGAGAGAGAGAGAGAGAGAGAGAGAGAGAGAGAGAGAACACCTATGGGAACAGCATAGGCTTAAAAAAACCTTGCTGATATGGCAACTGAAGATTAATTAGAAAAAGGCTGAGTAGGGCGACTGGTGCTCAGGTCAGAATGGCCTTGGGAGAAGCACCCACGTCCCATGATCCAACCAGAACCAACTGGTTCATGAACCAGATGATGTATTTAGAGTTTTCTCTGGAAAGAATGCCATATCCCAGGTTTATAATATCTGCAAGCCTACTTGCAAGGTACTTATCCTTTCTCTGAGATCAATTACACATTTTTTCCTGGGTGAGGATGTGTCCTCACCAATGCTGAAATTGGTTAAAGAACGAGTACTTGATATTTGTAAACATTCTCGAGTGGAAGCCTAAAGAGTACGTAAACTCTTTCTGAACAGGGATGTACACCCAAAGTGTAAAAGGACAGGGCAGGAAATGAAGGTTCTTAGGCCTTGCTCTGGGCAGATAATACCGCCCGCGGGCGCATGCCTTGTGTTCCGCTTCAGTGGGTCAAGGGAAACAGTGACAAGGTTCCATCTGGAAACAGTGCATGGCCACCTTGCTTCCTCTGGGTTGTTACTCCTTGCAAAATAATCGGGGAACATCCAGGGGTGTCCAACTTTTTGGTGTCTCTGGGCCACACTGGAAGAAGAGTTGTCTTGGGCCACACATTAAACACATTGTGACACGTAATCACAAAAAAATCTCACAGTGTTTCAAGTAAAATTATGATTTTGTGTTGGGCTGCACTCCTAGCCATCCTGGGCCGCACGTGCCCTGCGGGCCGCAGGTTGGACACCCCATGGTATGCATGGGGTCTCCTCCTGCCCACCTGTGGGCCACATGATGCCAGGAGGCAAATACTACTTTTACATCCACTTAATAGAGATGAATAAGCTGAAGCTTAGAGAGAGGTTAAGAAATCTGTCCAGGGTCAAAACAGCAAAATTTAAGGCGTAAATACTGACAAGTTTTTCTTTTCCAAGGGGAAAATGGAAATGGTTTCTATTTTAGCAGAGATCTGTAACTGATTCTGTCTGCCTGATTGTTTCCTTGAGACTCACCAAACCTCACTCCACTCCTCACCTGGTGGAATTAGCAACTCCATAGCCCTGCCTCCTCCACTCAGAGACCCTGTGAGGACCCGAGCGGACACTGGTGATACAATGGCAGCAGGCTCTTTTCTCTGGCATCACATGCTGTGAAGAATGATACAAGCCGATAGCTGCCAGTAGCCCTGGAGAGTGTCTGACTTAGAATGAACAAAGCATGGAGAAAGGAAATGCCAAGAGATAAAGAGTCTTAACTGCATCATCAGAACATGATGCCTGTAAGATCCAGTCATGCCGGCAGCCAATCTCATCTCCGGATTTTCCCAAATGTGGTTTGTCTCATCTTTGGACTTTTCAGTCAATTTTATGAAAAACAACTTTTTAAGAAGCTATATATATTTTTACATTATAACAATTATATTCTAACTAATGGGCAAAATCAATAGGACTACATAAATATAACAAGATGAACTTTTTCTTTTATAAGAAAATAACTCATCAATGTGTCTTTATAATGAAAGTACTAAGTATTGTTGGCATCAAACCCACAAATAATCATATCTCCAAGTGAATATTTAAAAAATACAAACGTTGTCCTTACCTTATGCCACTGTCTAACTGGCTGGTTTTGTTTGTGTTGGCGTCCCACAGATAAACGCCACTAGACTTCTCAGCGATCATTGCTAGGATATCTCCATCTTTATCCCAATCCATAGCAACACAGTTACTTTTTAAAAAGAAAGGAAAACATCACTGTACACTTTTTTTAAAGTAAAGAAATTGAAATACTCACCTATTTGCCATTTTTTTGTCTACATCAAAACCATTCAAGCGATTTTGAACAGGTCACTCACTATTCACTACTTGGATAATACTAACTTAAATTTTTTGTTGTTGAGAGAATGGAAAAATTTTAATCCTATTTTAAATATCATTTTCATGTGCTGTATTAAGTATAACTATACCTAATAAGTTAGCAGATTTCCTTGGATTCTCTAAAAGACCCGGCCTTTTGGTAAAACACACTCATCAAGCACCTCTACAAAGGACTCCCATCTGGAATCAAGAGGTCATTTGATCAAGTTCTGAAAGGTTACTTCAGACTTACAGACAGAAAAAGAAGAAACTGATATGTAATAAAGTCATATTTAGATAAACTGTATAAAAGAGTTCAAGGCTGGGTAGATGTAGTATTGCAAGCAATGGAAAGACTGAATTCTGAAGTGATAAGAAATATTATTTTCATTTTATATTTGAATGGAATGAGAAGAGTGATTCAATTGAGATGACAATAGTTCTAAATAGGAAATGCTCTGTTTAACATGTTTTTTACTATTCAAAATTACTCCAAAGTGTTTATTATAATTCAAAAAATTCCTTGAGGATGAACCTTTCTTCTCTGATGCATTTTTCATTTTGCACTCTTTGTTCCTAGACAGATTTACATTTAGGACAGCTGGGAATTACTTCAGTTATTCTTCAAACTTAAATGTTTTGAGATCTAAATTTTCTATAATAGCCTCAGAGACTTGGGAAATAGAGCAGAGGGAAACTTTCAGATTGTTCTTAAAAATCGTCCGTTTAAAACAATATACAGTATCATTTTATTTATCTGGAGATCTTGTCAGTCAAACTCAACTATAATGAACACAGCGAAAGAATTCAGAAGTAAAAAAAAAAAATAAGGCCGTTGTGTAACCAAAATAGATGTCACAGAGCTTATGTAATATAATAAAGATCATACGATTTACTCATAAGTTTCTTCTAAGTGCCTTCTTACTTTATTTAAGACATAATTGTAACTACCTTGATGTCTGTCTTCCAGAGGATAGAAACCAGAGGGAACAATTAAGAGCAATGGTGGCATCAGGTTGGTGGAGGCAGAGCAGGAATTGGAAAGGCTGTTAGAGATTTGCAAAGGGGGTGGCAACCCACTACAGAAAGATGTAAATTTTAAAACCATGGCAGCATAAGACCATTCAGGTGAGATTTACATATCTTAATAACTACTGAGACTATCAGTAAAAATAACTAATGTAGGTAATGATTACAATGAGTCATAAAAAACGCTTAAGTTATACTCAGCGTAATCTAGAATGATTTCCTGAAGACAGATAAAGTCATCAAGAGATATGTGAAAGTAACTGTTTTTCATAAATTTATTGGACAGGGGATATTACAGTGATACAGGCTTATTTTGTCTGCCTATACACATAGGCATACACATATCCCTATCTAAGGCATATTTATACTTAAATAAGAATACTTTCATATGAACTCTTTCATAATCCTGCCTTTAAGCTCCCCAGTGAATGTAAAGGTTTTTCTAAACTCTAACTTGTATGCTATTTATCTATACATTTCATTAACTATTTGTGGTATAAAAAAAGAAATCCCCTTGCAAATGGAAAAAGCAAAAGAGGAGATACAGCTTAGATATGTTATAAAATTCAATTTTATTATGGTTTTAAGACAATACTTTTTTTATCTTTTAGGCAACAAAGCTTGAAAAAGTTTTTGATCTACCTCTGTACTCACCCAGATAAGTTAATTTCACTTCTTTTTTGACCATGGCGATCAAAGATTTTCACAATATGATCAGCTCTAAAGGCAATGAAAACACAAAAATAGGATTTGACTGTTTCTTTTTCTTTATGTCTCTATGTATATAAGAAATTTAGCTGCTATACAAATGCTTTCAATGTCCTCTCATCATAGCTTCACAATTTGTATCTATTAAAAAGTTATTTCCAGGGACAAGTTTCCTTGTTGTTAATGGAGATGAAGATAGTACTTTTCCCACCATTCAACCATCTCACAACAACTTCTACTGAATAGATGGCGTGATTATGTGGGCATACGACAATCTGGAGTCAGGATGATTTACAAAAAACATTCACTAGTTTCTTACCCTGTTACTGCAAGATAGTTTCCTGATGCTTTTTGCCAGGTAAACTGAATTGGTGTGCCAAGCCAAGTCTTTTCTAGCAGCGAGAAGACACACTACAAAAAAAAAAAAATATGGTTAGTCAGAAAAGGTGTCAAAATATGACCATGAAAACAGCAGGACTCAGGATGGTGAAGGATGATGTTACAGCTTATCCCAAGGAAGTCAACAATGACAAACAACAATTAACCAACTGACAAAACAAAAAGATCACAACCTTGTAAAGTATGGACCTCAATATATTGAGAGTTTATTATAAAACATTTTTGCTTTTGAGAGTTTTTGAATATTAATTTTATAAGAATGTATGTTTCATGTTTTATAGATGTTTAAGATTAAAATAATTTAAACTTGAGTTATCTAAATATCAGTGGCATAAATTTTGGGGGATTAAATTGAACAAAACTGCTATTTAAGAAATCTTAACTGTGATAGAAATACAAAATGGACATACTTTGTTTGAAATTATTTCCTTCCTTTATCCATCAGTTATATTTACTTCATCATTAAGTGTGTTTAATTTGGCTACTGGACCAATTATCACTCAAAAAATCATTCTTTTCTCTTAGACAATCCAGAACTGTTGTTATGGAAGCCACAAACCACATGTGAACTTAAAATTTTATTGAGGGCTTGAAATGTGAGTAGGCCAAATTTAAGTGTGCTGTAAATATAAAATATTGGATTTCAAAGACTATGAAAAATAGAATGCAAATCATCTTAATAACTTCCATATTGATTACAGGTTGAAATGATAATATTTTGGATTTACTGGATATACTATTAAAATTAATTTTATCTGTTTTTAAAATATTTTAATGTGGCTCACATATTTATATCAAACAGTGCTGATCTAGAACACCTGGGAACACAGAACATAAATGAAAGAAAACTTAGATTTTAATATTAGGTTAATTACAGATTAAACAATGATGCCCATATCTAGGCATATGAGCATATAAAGTTTATATACTACCACAGGTGCCTTAAATGTCTCAGTGGCAATTCTTTCAAGGCTCAAAATCAACAGCTAATCAATAGGTATTTCACATGTTAAAGGGATGAAATCTGCCACTATTGAAAACAGAACTGTGCTACAATCACAGGCATATCCAATTTTGTGGTGCATGAAGACACCCTTAAAGAAAAAGGGTATAAAAGCCCTTACTTGTGCAATTTTGTGACTGCATTGCCCTGGAATTCCTTCATGCAAATGAGGGATCCTTAAAGTTAAATTTCATTAGCTTCGTGGTAGACTTCCATGGGAACGTACATATTATTTTTCTTCAAAGTAGCTATATAGATGTTCCACATATAGTGCAGTGGAAATAGTGCTAACCTCACAACTTGAAAACCAAGATTTACCGCTAAATTTTGCTTTTTACATTACCTGTAGGGCTTAAAGGAAGTCACTTAAATTGCCTCGAGCACAGATTTCTCAGCTTTAAAACAGGAATACTAATATCTCCTCACTTTCAGATACTTCATAAATCGTGAAGAGCTTTAGGTACTCGAGTTGTGATTACCGGTCTGTCAATTCTAATTTCCACACTAATAGCCAAGAGGAAGAATTAGGACGAATAAAATAATCTTTAAATTTAGCTTCCATTTCTTTGCCGGATCAGGGCATGGGGGTATTGCTGTAGGAAAGCGGGAAGGTGAAGGAGCTGTAGCCAGTGACCCAGGAGTAGGGTGCACCAGAAGCCCACACCTGGAAACCGTGCGCGCAGGGGATGACGCTCTTGAGCGTCTAAACTTGTGTGTGCGGATTTCTGCGTGAGTGCTGTACACTGGCCACCAGGTGATCTGTAAATAGGACCAAACACTGGCAATACAACTAGACATTATTCCTTCGGAGGCTTTTCACTCAGCTTAAGGCGCTGATCAGTTGCCTGGCTTGCAAGGGGTTTCGCTGTAAGAAATGAGGCAGCTCATGACACCCGAACGAGTCAATTTTATTGCGACCCTGCAAACCCAGTCACACGACCTTAGCATCCTCCCCCGGAGCGAAGTTCGGACTCAGTCTGCTTATTTCCGGCCTTGACGGGGTTTCCTCTCACCGCACTACTTCAACTCGGCTTTCTTTCCTATTTTCTTTCCTTTTCCCTCGCTCTTTCAACTGCGCCCCTATGCTCTGCCTCCCTGGTCACCCTCTTCCCCAGTCCCCGCACGCGGAAGACGGGGAAGAGGGATCACACACCCCCATCCTCAAAGCGACGTTTGGCGGGGTAAGGGAAAGGCCAGGGGTCTGGTCTTCCCAGGATTTGTAACTTACTTACCTTCATCTCCAAGATAGAGCGGCCGCGCAATCCTGCAAGTGCGCAGGCGCACCTAGTCTCGCCCGAGAAGGCTACCGCGTTCCCGTCACCCAGGAGACCACGCGAGCAGTGACCAATCAGGTAGCACCAGCTGAAGGGCGGTGCTCCGAGTAGGACAACGGGAGGCGAGGACTGGGGTCACATGACGCCAAGGGAGACCTCAGAGTTTCTGCACGTCGCGAGCCCTTTCCTCTCGGTTGGGCACTGATCGGATGGGAGCTGGACAGTGGCCTGGGAGCCCAGCGTAAATTTCAGCCTCAGAGTTTGGCGGGGAAGCTTCTGGTGGCTCGCAGGCACCGAGAAAGGGCTGAATGCTGGATAGGAGGAGGCGAAAATTGGCTCATGGGGAAAATATTCTTACACAGTGCTTGCAAAGAGGGCTTGGATGAGCCCAGGTTTTATCTCTTTCCCTGCCGGATTCTGGGCTAGAAAGGATGAGATATGAGAGGTAGTTTATCCCCAGGCCTTAACAGGCCAACCAAATGGGCCAGCTAAGGTGGGCAGGAAGAATGACCTCTTAAGCACCAGTTTCAGTGGCATAGAATAAGGGATTAAAAAATACATGCTCATATTAATAGACACAGAAGAAAAGCACATACCCTTAATTCACACATTTGTGATAACAAACTAGGAATGGGAAGTAACCTCTTCAAAGTGAGGAGATCAACTACAGAACAAACAAAAAAACAAAAACCCCCAAACCGCATAGGTAGCATCATACTTAATGGTGAAAGACTGAATGCCTTCCTCCTAAGCTTGGGGGGAGGAAAGTTTCCTGATCCCTGAATGTGATATATCTTTACATTTACTTTTAAAAGTTCGTAATTTTCAGTATACAAATCTTTTCCTTATTTATTCTTATGTATTCTGTTTAATTTTTTATGCTTTTATACATGGAATTTTTTGGTAAATTTTGCTTTTGGTTTATTTCTAGTGTAGAGAAAGGGAATTGATTTTTGTATATTGTGTCATGGAAACTTTGCTCAACTCATTGATTTGTAATAATAGTTTTTGTAGATTTCTTGGAATTTTCTGTATTTAATTTTCCTACATCTGCAAATAGAGCTAGTATTATTCCTCTCCAGTCGGGATGGTCTCTATTTCCTTTTTCTAGCTACAGTGGACATCCTTTTAGAAATGCTGAATCCTATTGATATGTTGTACCCATTGTTGTCTTTTTAAATGTATTATAAAATTGTGCTGCTATCTTTTAACATTCACTTTTACTTCCAGTTTGATGAAAATCACATAATACGGTCAACTTTAATGTGTTTTCAAAAAATTGGCTGAGAAATTCTTCAAGCTTGGGAACATAATTTTTCTCACTAACCCAGTAATTAAACAAAGCTGGCAAGTAATGTCTGTTGCACATTTAACATTTAAATATGAGTATTAAGCACCACGTTTGGATTTTTCAAATGGCTTTATTTTTGTGCATTGCCTCATAATAGGTGTTTACATATTAAAATGCTTTTCTGTTGTAAAATAGTACTCTCTTAAAGACTGCATAGTGTAATGGTGAGTTGCACTTTGTCACAAACTCCTAGTTTAAACCCAGTTCATGGCATTTACTAGTTCTTTGACCTTGGGCCAATTCCCTCTGCTGATCTGTGTGCCCACAGCTAAAGTGGGAGTATTCTACCTAATTTGATTTGAGGGAAGTTATGTTAAAAGAAATAAAAGAAAATCCCATTGTCAACATATATTTTTTAAACTTTTTCCAATTTTTACCCTTATGTATGCCAATTTTACTATGTTATTTATAACTATGGTATATGTTCAACACATTTCTTTAGGTCAAATAATAAATATAACACGTGTATTAGGGTGCTCAGTCCTGAGCAATAGGAAAGCAACAATCCTAACAAAATGATTTTTAGTTTTCCCATGTTGAGTCAGTCCTCTCTTTCCTCTTCAGCTCCCTTCTGCTGGTCTTGGGCTGAATCATTTAGACCATTGGTTCTCTAACTTGAGTATGTATCTGACATGGTTAGTGTGTGTTAGAATTGCCTGGAAGGCTTGGTGAAGCAGAGTGCCAGCCCCATCCCCAGAGTCTTTGATTTAGTAGTTCTGGGGTGGATCTGGAGAATTTGCATTTTGAACACGTTCCCAGGCAATGCTGACCTTGCCCATCTGTGAGTTGCACTTGGAGGCTACTGATCTCTAGATAATTGTTTCATAAATCCTTTTTGCATTTTGCCATATGTGTTATACAAAAAGCAGTCTATATTCTTTATGTTAAGTTTACAAAGCAACCAATGTCCTAGACATGCCTTCTGAAAGTCACTTTTCAATTTATTTTTAATCTTGGAGAAGCATTTGGTATTGTTTTATATAAATCAAGGATCCTAATTAATGCCTAGTTTTTTAAAAATATTATTCTTGTTTTTCTCATTAGGCTGACAGAATAGGGAGGATTTCAGCTGGTGGGTAAGAGAGAAGAAAGGATTTTGGAAGTAAGGAAATAGAATGGAAGATATAGATAAGGTCATTTGAGCCCAGTAGTAACCACTTAGTAACTTAGATAATGTACTTAACTTTGTCAGTTTTACTTTTCTTTTTTTATTTGAAATATATTTGACATATAACATGGTGTAAAGTGTACAATATGTTAGCTTGATACATTTTAATATGATTGCCATTGTAGTGATAATTATCAGCTTCACTTATCCATAGCGGGCCTCGACAATTAAGGGAAATATTTTTATTTGTGGTATTTTTCTGGAAATATTTGCATTTTTAGAAATGCCTGTGTCCTTATCTGGCTGCAAAATGTTTTCTTATATAATATTTGGGAAAGGAGGGAAATCCAGAGACATGATTAAGCTTGTTCATCTGAGAAAGGATCTGGTGTCCACTTGTTTGGGAGAGATTCATTGAAGAGCTAACCAAGTCATTATACAACCTGAGAAAGGGGTGATTCTAGAGTGTACAGAGCTATTTTTTAAAGCTATAGATGTTAAAACTAGTTGCTTATTTAGCTATACATATCTGCTGTTAGGGCAAGTTTCAGAAACCTATAATTTATTTGGAAAAATATGGCATTAGGAAAAGGCATTTTTGTCAGGATCTGCTATAAAAACTGGTAAGGACTGCATGAAGCTTGTCAAAATAATACTGAAAAAAACAAACCAACCCAGAACATAACTTGCTGTAATATCAGGAAAATGTATTTCCAAAGAGAGAGAAAGGAGAGTTTCCAAGGTGAAGAGAAAGAGGGACAGCATAGGCTGGGGATGAAAAATAATGACTTTTAATACTAAAAACAGATAATAAATTAAGAAATTCAGGTAGAATGCAGGTTTTAAAAATAAACAGAGAGCTTCTTATTGCACACTACATTTCCAGTAAATGACAATATTTGATCATTTTATATTTTTACCTCTAATTTATCAGACTTTCAGACTTTAAAATGATGGTCATTTGAGGAAATAGATCCCTACCAATGTTACAGGGTACAGCCAAGAGGGGGGACCCCAAATAGGCATTTGAAATGGGGTCCAGAACTCAAGGTGTCCAGGAGATTTTAAGATGTCTCTACCCCTTTCCCCACAGGTGTGAGTTAGGGGAAGGGGCACACAGAGCAAGAACATGCAGGGCAGCTTTGCAGCTAATCCATGGCATGGTCATTTAGCATACCTATAGCCTTTGGCTGGTCACTTAGATATGCTAAATAGCTATGGCCATGCTCTAGGCCAGGGGGATGGAAAGGGACCTCCCCCCAAGATGGGACTGGGGGGTAGGTCCCCCGAGTTAGAATGCCTGCGTGGGAGCTCAGAGAAGATTGGCTCCAGGACATGGGGTGACACCTGCCCAGACCCATGATGGCGACCAGAAAAGTTGGAGAAGCTAGCAGATTGAGGGCAAGTGTGCCCAAGTGTAGGAGGAGTCAGAAATGGGGCTGCAGAGGAAGATTGGTGCGGGGGATTTAAACCCAGACACGGCAGCCATTGAGGAGGGAACCACGCGGCCTTGGCAGAGTGGAGACTCCCGCAGCCCTGAGAGGGAGAACCACACGGTTTTGGCTGAGCGGGGACTCCCGTGGCCCTGGGAGAGAGGACCACGTGCCACGAACCCAGAGTGGGGACCCCCGCAACTTTAGAAGGGGGAACCACCACCTGGTTTTAGCAGAGATCCCGGCAACTCAGCTGAGGGTGCTGGGAATCCAGGGAGGTCTCCCAGTCGAGATGGAGTACTAACTGGGAAGAACCAGAGGACTGCCTGAGCCATGGACTTCTATTTCCTTTCCTGAGATACAGTACTCTGGACTGGGCAAAGGGGGAAGGAAGGAAGGACTGTGTTTGTTTGTGGGTGTTTTAAGGGACTTCGGGATTTTTGATAAAGACATTAGGTCACTACTTTAAGTTTGTATAGCATTAAATAAACATTTCCTTTCCTTTTCATGAATCTCTGGCATTGAGAGACGTCTTTCCTCTGGTGGCAGACATGACGGACCTGGGGGCTTTTTTTTCAATAATAGTATATTGTCCAAGGCCCCCCCTTGTTTGTTCTGTAACACCAACATTATACAGAAAGTCTAATAAAAACAAGAATGAATAACTGGGGAAAGATAGTATATTCAAAAATAACATCTGATTAGGCGATCCTAAATTGGAGAGTTTCCCTTTGGTTTTCTAACTCATATCAGTAGCTAAATATATTAATGTCATTTAAAGATTATTAATTACTCTTAAACATCATTAATTTTAAGCTTAAAATAAAGTTGGATATTCAACATTAAGCCAATTATTTTTGTCCACTTCTGTGCCAAGCATAATTCTAGGTTCAGATACATGGCTATGGATCAAATAGACAAGAAATTAAGAAATTAAAATTAGTTCTGGATTCATTACAATTTAATGATTTCTATTCTCAAGGGGAAAATTTTTGCATTACTTTCCTTGAGTTCACAGAGAATAGTAGTTTTCCATCCCGGCTGCTATTAGAGTTACTTGGGGTCACCTGGGGTGGCTCAACCCAGATTTACTGAAATAACTGCTAGAGATGGAACCTGGCCCCTTTCCTCCCTCCCTCTCTCC